CGTTGTCCTTGTTCTTTAGATCGTCGTGCAGTAGACACGATCAGGTGCTGCCTCTCAGATTCGTTTATGATTCGTTTGTGCTTCGTCTAATCCGTCTTCCTTTTGACTCTGTATCTTTCGACTGTGCTTGCGTTATTCGTCTCCGTGATAGATTGTGTGATTGTTGTTTTGTCGTCGTGCCTTGATGACCAGATGCGTCTCGGCAAGTTTCTGATGTCGTATTTTGTCGTTGTCGTTCGTCCTGGCAATTTCGACAATTTGTCGTACTCGTCTGCCGGGAACTGTGCTTTCGGGTCGCTTCCTCCTCACGACCCTAGACCAGTATCCGAAATGTCGTGGCCAGGCCGCCTCCTCTCACGCGCGACGCCAACTTCTCGTCGTTCATTCACGACCATATGCACGCTCGTTCGTCACGCAGTCTTGGCAGCGGAGGCGGGCAAGCGGGAGGAGGTTGTATATGACAAGGCACATATGGGGTGGGAGGGGGTGAACTGAGCAGCGAGAGTGGCAAGAAAAGAAATAGAGTGCTCTGGTGGGCACTCGAAGGCGTCGTATAGAAGTAGTCGCGTAAAGTAGATGAGTAGATGTGTAGATGAGAATATGCGCCTGTTTGGCCAGGCCAAGAGAGAGTCTACCAATCCCGACTGATCAATGGATAGCCTGGGCGGTACTTGGACGGACCGAGCAGCAGGTTGTCGCGTGTGGAAGAGAAGGGCGACAGATGCGGATGAGATGAGCTGCTGGTTGACGGCGGAGAGAATGAGAAACAAGGGCGACCCAAGAGAGGAAACGGGCGTGGACGAGCTACCAGAGTCAGAATATCGAGAATGAACCAGAAATAGAATTGAATGGCATGTGCATGAATGCGGTGCTGGCCGAGCCAGAGACCAGCATGAACCGAAGCCCAAACAGACGGAGGGCGCGCCCGAGAGGTGAAGAGTGGGCGAGACCGTGGAGGACAAAACGAGGACAGAAGAGAGAAGACTGTCGAGAAGGAGGATCGCCGCGGGTGGTGACGAGTGGGCGAGGCGGCACAGGAAAATGCACGTTGCAGAAAAACGGAGGGGAAGGTGCGAATGAGGTAAAAAATAAACACAGATGGAGGAAAGGTGGAGGAAAGAGGGGAGAGTGTGCAGGAGCAGTGTGAGAGGGAAGGGGCAACGGACAAACAGTCTACAAGAGTAGTACGGAGAAGACCAAAAAAAAAACTAACAAAAAGAGAAGGGCCCCCGGATGTGGAGGTGTTAGAATGGGGAAGCTACGATGGAGAGGGTCTGTCGTCAGAAGAGAAAGAACGTGACAGAGGCTGCCTTCCTAAACGATCGATTGTTCCTTCCCTCTCGGTGTCTCTCTGCCTCCTGCCCGATCCAGACCTGTCAAGTCACGATACATGTTCTTGGCGCATTTCTTCACCAGGTGGACTCCGTAATTGCTGCATCGAGTAAGAAGAATCACAACATGCGATGGCAGTTACAAGACCTCTGGGGAGCGGCGACGATTCGCCTATCATGCATCCTTTTGCCTCTGGAGCCATTGCACACTTGTGCCTTCTTTTTTTGCATGTCTGCTGGTCCCTGCGTGTGAAGAGAACAGCAAGGGGAAATGCGATTGGAGGTGGTGGAGACTGCAAGTGCAGGGAAATGTGGAGGGGGGCGTGTCATTTTGGGAAAATAGGTGGTTGCGGGTTGCGCACTGTGTGGACTGTGCAGTGTTGGCGAAACGGTGCGCTGCACTGGCTTTGGGAAGAGAAAACACAAATAAATCTATGGTGCTAAATTAGAGTGTTGCCGGGTCCAACAAACGGGAGCAAATAATGATCACAGGTGTACGGAGTACGACATACTGCGTATAAAAAACACATTCAGATTGGGAGCGGAAGGGAGGCTGCGAAGTGCCAAATGGACCAACGGATGCGAGGCGCAGAGGGGGCGAGAGAAGCAGATACTCCCCACAACTGCCACAACTGTTCACAATGTAGCAGGGAGGCACAAAAAGGTACGGGCCTCGTTCAACTGGTCGACGGTCTTGGCGTGCCTGCATGTACTCATACCGACGGGCTTCTTGCACTGCGCTATATTGCTGTACCAAAGAATCGAAACTGGTCTCGAGTCTTACGATGTGTGGAGGGCAATATCAAAACGCTATCGCATTGATATTGGAGGCAAAGGGACGCCGCGAGGCGCGAGCATCAAGAGAAGCAGGAGGAGAAGGAAGCTCGGAAGATAATATTGGACAAATAACTATAGTGTTAACAGACAGCATAACACGACAAGTGTCGCCGATCATATGACAAGTGGCCACACCGAGTTGGTGAGGAGAAGGAGAAAATGAAAGAAAAAGCATGAGAAACTTGAATTAGCTATCTGCATATCACTCGGAGGAGTGTGGATGGGTCCCACGCGTGAGATTGTTGGCTAGGACAGACAAAGTCATATTGACCTGAGGCGAAATGATAGAATCCCGTAGATCACGAAATGAACAGAACGAAGAAAATAAAGCGCGATCTGTTAGCACGGCAAGGAGCAAAGAGGTCTATGAAAATGTGCATATCTACGTCTACAAAGAACAGAGAATACGACGGCCACGGACATGGGAGAAGCGAAAAGAACCACCCCTGTCAATAGCAACAAACGTGGCGGCCTTGTGCTGGGTGGTGAGATGCCCCCGGAGGAGAGAACGTGGAAGGAGGGCTGGTGTGTATGAAGAACATAAAAACACGCGTTTAATTAACAGTTAATAACAAAAGCCTTCAGAGAAAGGCACCGGTCTGAGATTGATGGTCGGAAACAAATAGAAGATAAGCGGAATAAACAGAGCAAAGAAAATAAAGACGTCGTGCGGAGGATTCATTGAAAAGCACGAGGGAGAACGGAGATACTCATTCTCGACTGTGCCTAGACCCTGCTCTTCGTTTATGTTGTCTATGCCCTTATTGCAGATGCAGAAACACGGAGACATAGGCCACTCTCTAGCAATATGATGTGCAAGTGTACGAGTGATAAACGAGATGCAACACAATGGGCACAGAGCACATAATTGGGCAAACAAACAATAGAAGGGGACGTTGTCCAGGATGACCTGACAGAAACCACTTCGGCTCACCTGACAACACACTTTGTCTATTGGCAAGGGACAAGTAGCCAGACTGCTATCGGGGTTATATGAAGTTTCCTGTCGAGAATAAGGAGAAGAAGTTAGAGAGAGAGAAAGAAAAGAAGAAGAAAAAAATGGGACAGACACACCACGTCTGGTTATCATGGAGGGTTGGAGTAAAGAGGGTCATGCGTGAAGGATCGTCGCCACTTTTGAAACTCCCCCGGATTTCTCGTCCTGTCTCTCGGATCCGTGTTGAGCCCTTTTCGGTGTCGCAGGTGTACCTATTTCGCCCAGTGGCCAAGTGTTGGCTTAGGGTTGCATTCTGCAGCACATGTGCATCCTTCTGCCATTTCCTGTCTCTTGCCCACAACTGAGTGTGTACAGGAGGCGCTTATTCAGTCTGGAATTTATATGCTTGTTTCCCACTCTGTACTTTCATTTCCCCAGCCATGCATGTATTCAAGTGGAGCGTGCTGTGCGGAGAACGAGTAGTCAGGCAGAAAAAAAGGAATTATGACACAACTACAACCTTGCCATGCGTCCTAATTACTGACCAAACGATGGCTCGAAACCTTCGCAGTAGAGAGTGTTCGCAAACAGGATGGTCAGCCTCACGGTTTTGGCCAGCAAGAAAATGAGCAATGAAGAAAGGGCAAAAAACACTCAACACAAACAAACTTCACACCATTAAAAGACGCAAATAATGGCCGAGAAAGGGGCGGAGAGTCAGCAGCACGGTGTACTCCATACACAGGGGAAGAGGGCAAGGGGCAGGCCAGGGTATGGGAGGCCACTATCAAGCCGTTGAACGCAGCGCAAACTAGGCGGCGATGGTTTGTTGAAACGAAACATTGGCAGTAAAAAACGGCGGCAAAGAAAGCTCCGAAAACCAGAATCCCAAAGGAGGCCAATACAAACGGGGAGGGCCGTTCATATCGAACATGATGCTATGAGCGGAAGTGGCTGGTGGGAGGGAGCAACAGCAGACAAAGGTGCCAAGACGTAAATAAACATGAAATGCAGGGCTGGTCGTGTAAGAGGCAGGGGGGAGGGGGTTAGGATTGAAAGATGAGAGTATATCACCGAACGTATGAAGACGTGAATAAAAACTACAAAATAAAAACGACAGTCCCAGACAGAGAGTGAGCTGCCGTTCTTGGGGACTACAGGTCACAGACTATCGCCATGGCCATCAGACAACTCCCGAGCAAACCAGATGCCCTGTTCTTGGAACACAGGCGGCCGATGCTGGGACCTCGTTTGTTGATAGTGCACGCAACAGCAACAATATAGACGAGCATATCTTTCTTTATTTCGTGTCTTACATTGTAAACGCATTTCATGCTTGTCCGTTTTTTTTTCCTTTTTTGTTCTTCTTTTTTTCAGAGCACTTTGACTGCCGCTACTACAGCCATCGGAGAGATGAATCCTTGTCTAGTTTCCAAGCGTCGGTAGATCAATGAGATCGAGCCTGCTACAGTCTTTTTTTCTTTGGCGGCAGCTCATGGCACATATACTTCTCCGGCTAATGCAACATAGAGTAGAGAATGGAATGTGTATTTTCCAGTGATTTTATCGACCGTTGCAAAGTCTATTTGCTGCTCTGTGTTTCGTACACAAAGTCTCTTCAAACATCGTCAGGCCACAGGTGCTCAACGCAGTAAAATAGCGCTGGTACGTCGAAGCGTCCCTCCTCCACAGTGCGGACTGATCATGGCACCTTGAAATAGCGATTTTTGAAGTACCGAGCCCCATACCGATCCACTAGCCCCGTCTCGTGTCATCCATTTCGCTTCGTTTTCTCCAACCACCCCCGCTGGAGACGGTGGATTAGTGCCTTTTGTGCCAATCTATTCGCACACAACAATGTGACGGTAGCCGGACCGAAACTCCCCCCCACTAACATGTTTACTCACAAAGAGAAGGCGCGCTTGGCCAGCAAGGACGAGCCCCGTTTGGGAAGGAGGGACCCATCACACTATGCCTCGCTGACGGATAAATTGCAGCCCACAACGTCGGGAAAGAGCAAAGAAGGGGCGAAAGCGAAGCCAACATACGGCAGAGAGAAAAGGGAAAGAGCAGATCGTGACATGACGAACGCAGGGAGGCGCGACTTGGCCGGCGGTAAATTTCGAGGTCAGCTCACCGATGCTGCGACCTTTATCGCAGTTGTCAACGCGTCCCGGTGAGAGAGCGGTCCCTTCTTCCAGAAATTCCGTGTGGTGCATGCATGTCGTACACTCCCTGCTCGTCGATACGTATGCGCTCGTCAATCCGCACGACCGCTGCCGCATGGAGCAGCTCGCTTGAGCAGTGCCGTTTGCAAGAGCCGGCTGACCCAGAGAACTTTTTTGTTGTGCATAGTCGGTGCACGAGGCACACGTTCAACATACACATACTCAGTACTCCGTACTTACGATGTGGTCGTCCAAAAATACAAGACGACGGCGGACATGACGTTCGGGAGTGGCTCCGAGACAGATGACGCATCTTTTCCTGTAAGCTCGTTGGCTAGTTCGGCCTTTTTGCGGCGCCTACCCTTCCCCTCCCTCAGCAAAAGTTGCAGGAGTCCATTCACGAGCCTTGTTTCTGCCACCAAAGGTTGGGTTTGGGGGCATGGGGTGGTCTTGGCCTTGGCCAGACCGGGCCTAGGGCCCTGGAACCCTGCAAGCCACAGACCCTCGGCTTGCGACGCCAGCGCCTCTCCACGTGGCAAACGGGAAGCTGTCTCATTGTACGGAGTATGGAGTACGTTGTACGACATCGTGATTGTATGCTCAGCATGCCAGGGACAGAGCAAGCGAATGTCAACAGAGGTACCCCGTACGGAGTTCGTTTCCCACCACCACAACCCGTTTGTTGAAACATCGCCTTGACAACAACTGTTGAGAACAGACGTATGTCTTTTCGTTTGTCTATTCGGGACAAAATCTGCGTCGCAATATCGAGAGACGAATACTGGCGATATTGTGTTTTGACAGACAAGACTGAGGTACACGAAAACACCGCACGGACTGCGTCGCACTCCGTACACAATATTTTGCAAACAGACAGCGCACAGTAAGTACAGAGAACCCAGCGTTCACCCGTCCTGTTTCGTGGGCAGTCGTCGGTAATCTACAATCTATCCTTGCATTCGTCGTTTGTTTCATACAAGAAAAGTCGGCAAGTCGAAGACAGCGAAGCGTGAGAAAAAGGTCGGCAGTGGGCCCGTCTTTCCTAAAATGTGATGGGTGCTGGGCGTTGGGTTGCGGTTCGACGCACAAGGAATTACGACGTAGGAGTGCGCCATACATTTATGAGGCATTTGCTGCATTCACATCACATTGCTGTTGCCTCTATGGTATATACCACATTACGACTGGAACGAATATATGTTGTATGAGGAAGAAATTAGCACCAGATGGATTGTATTTGTGCTGGGGGGACTTTTTTTTGGCTCGACTTAACTTGCTAGGCACAGACTGATGCAGAGAGGCAGTGAGGTCATTTGCCATTTTTCTGCCGTTTAGAGCTTCATTGTATTGCTACTAAAAGGCAACAGCCTTGGACCTGGCCGATGTGACATCCCGAACGGACTAACAAGTGCCACGCGATCTTAGCGGTAGGAAAAAGGAGACAGAGGAAGTTTAAAAAAAAAAAAAAAAAAAAAAAAAAAGTAAAAGAAGAGAAAGAAGAAAGAAAACAAAAAAAAGAAACTGTTTAGGCCACCCGAAACTGCCTGCTTCTGGGCGACATGTGTACCTGCAGGCGTGTGGCGCCCTGCACAGACATTGTGAACAAAATACCTGCTGAACAGTTGACATTGTCATTTCGCCTCTGCTTGACAGGAACAAGGAATCAATGACCCGCTTGTTGGCCAAAGCGCCTCCAACCCGGTCTCAGTCCATCCGTTGTAAACGAACGCCGGCACGCGAGGAGGAGTAACAAGGCGAGGGATGAGAGACGCAATACGTTAAAAAGATGCACCAACAATTGGGACGCACTCTATCTCGAACATTTTAGGGAGGGGCGTGAAAACATGGACTGAGTCTTGGACGCGTTTACACAGCAAAACGATAATATTAATAAAATACTATACAAGGGCAGGAACTTTCAATGTTTAGTCGCGCTCGGACTCTGTGACCAGTGTGTTGATTGAGGGAAGGCAAAGTCAGTAAGCAATCCAAAACAAACGGGGATTCGGAGCAACGGGAATTTAATATCATCTACGAAATACGACATACTGTCACAGTTTTCTAGAGTGCCAACATCCTCTTGCATGTTCTTTTCATCAAGGGTGTCCAACTCACCTTCAAACAACCTCGGTACAGAGGATACCACTTTTGATAGTCAAGCAACCAAATGCCAGCCACCCACGTGCCGGTTAAATCAAAATGACACATGAGGATACAAAAAAGTGGGGGATGACTAGCACCCCGAAAAAAGAAAAAAAAATATAACTCTAAAATTGTGTTGTATGGGAGACAATGCCGGTGGTGGAGGATCAAGAAGAGGAAACAGAAAGGGAGATGAAAAATGTGTGGGTGCTACTATTTGTGGGCTCCCTGTCCTCACTCCGTCGTCCGTCTGCCAACCTCTCGAACTCGGGCTTATGGGCTGTCCGAACCAAGAGACGAGAAAGATGCAGAGGAACGTAAAATATATTACCTATAATGGGTATGAACTAAGGTAGAGAGTCTGGGCTTTGGCGACGGGATCCTGACTGCCAATCGCTGGAGACAAGGACGGTGCACGACGTGAGCAGGAACCGTGAGAAGTCATGTATACATGTAGCCTACGAAAATATGTAGCAGCAAGAACCACAACGATGAAAAAGGGCACTGGAGTGAAATGGTCTGTGAACTCGAGCCAAGCACCCCCGGATACAATACAATACGGCATACGTGCGGAAGAACTGCACAGTAAGCATTGGCTTCTAAAAGCCGTCTTTGGTACGCCTTCCGCTTTGAGGTGTGGTGGCGGCACGACGTACTGTTTTGTGCCGCAGAATGCAACGAAAACAGAACAGACCGCAACGGCGTGCAACGGAAAGACCCGTTCTAGGGCGCTCAGACGAAGGGCATTAAGACACCCATCGCCATCGCCATCGCCGGCATTGACGCCAGTACGGTCCCGAAGGGGACTCTTTTGGTTGGGTTGGTCTGTCTCTGTGAGACAATGAAAAAAGAGTAAGCTTCTAGAATCTTTCCTTGTATGTGTGCTTTTCTGCTTCCGTGAAATTCTGTCCAACGCGGTAATTACACAGGAGGCGGCACATAATAAATGCTTGTAAAGGAAGACAGGGGAATGCAAAAAGGGAAATGAAGGAAAGGGCGGCCGTTGCGAGAACCATAATTGAATATCCTCTGGCTGTGCGGCACGTGTGTATCGCCAGCCAAGGACGAATCAGATTCTGGGCTGCGAGGGCGAGAAACGATGGGGGGCGGATGAAAGGTTCTGGGCGCAGAATATGGTGCAGAATATGGTGCAGGGTCTGGAGCTCGATCGCGGCCGATCGATCAGGCTTGTTGGCTACTGGTGGTGGACGATTTGTTGGCCGGCGGTCATGCCATCGGCTCGGTACCGAGCGAGACTCCTGTCCTGTCTGTTGGCTGCCTAGGAAAGCGTGACAAGCTGGTATGCGGCCTGGGCCCAGCCCTGCCAGGGCCGAATACCAGATGAAGCCCAGCCTTGTTGGCCTTGTTGGACAGCCGGCCGTGAATGTTGTAATGTGTCTTTGTGTATTTTGTTTCTCGTTTTGTCGGCGTCAATTCCGTAGTTTCCGAACGAATGTAAGCAAGCAAAACGATGAATTGCAGAGGTGGCTCTTAAAACGCTATGAAAATATGAAAACACGAAACAGTTGCATAAGTCGTATTTCGCTGCACAATGCACCCAAACACTACTCAATTTCCCAGTAAACTCCTTCCACGACCCTTCATGACTACCGATCAAGTCAAATGGCCACTTGCAGACGGGCATCGTCCGGGCAGGGATTGCCCATGCTGCGAATCGTTGACGCGGTCGCCTCATAGACAGCCGTCCTCGTCATCTTCCTCCCGTTCCTTCTTGTCACCCTTCCTATTCTATACCGCACAACTGGCCCTCGTCTGTATGTTGTTTGGGTCCCTACACCGACACAGAATCCTTCCACAAAACTGTCATGCCTCTTGCTACCCTGTTTTGTGTTCACCTGACTCTTATTTCAGGCCGTTCATCCCAGGTCTTCACTGCTGTCTCTGGGTTCTCCGGGTCATCTTGCCCCCATGCCTCCGCCGTGCCGTCTTGACAGGCTTGAGCCTCACCATGTTCCCTGTTATTTTTGCTTTTTACTCCCTAGCGGCTTTCAATGTCACTTGTCCTTGTAGATACCAACCGGTCGGTGCCATGGCCGTGCCATCAATCGGTTATGCCGATGTCAACGGAGATTCTGTATGCCGCCCAGCCTTGTGCTGCTTTTCTAGAACCTCGGGACGTCTTTTTTTTGTCAGTTTTATTTTCCATTCAGTTTTATAGTTATATTTTCTATCTAGGATTTCCATTTTCACTATTACAACACTCGTCACAATTCACGAATACATGAGGCAGGCTCACCGATCTGTGCTTCTCTATTTTTACTCACTTCCCCACACCAAATTGTAGACCCGCATACCGCAAGACGAGCAGTTTGGCTCTTTATCATGTCACGTCGATTCGTTCTCTAGTCTCTTGGACATTTCTTTAATTTCAGTAGTTTCTGTCCTATTTTGTTAGCATTTTGCCCCCCCAACATTGCGACACTACGCCCATCAAATGCTCTGACACGTCCCGTGTTTTAACAACTATGTGCTTCCCGCCTCTCGCCTCCTGGCGAACCACTCCAGCCGGTTGTCTGTTTTTTTGCGTGTTTTCTATTGTACGCCGTGCCGGTCCCCCAGGCGCTTCCCCCAGAACACGCAATAGGGGTGATCCCGGCATCCCAGTCGCAACTCCTCCACAGAAGCAAACAGATGTGACCAGACGCAGGCAAAGACCAAGATGAACCAAAATAATGAAGGGCACGTGGGGGATGTATGTCAGACCATTAGGGTCTCTAGGTGGTCTTTGTCTTCTGCGATCGCTGGTCGTGCCTTGATCTTGCCTGTTCGGAGTCGTTCACACTCGTTGTTCACCTGTCTGCGGATCAAACTCATTGCGTGACCTGTGCCAAGCCGGCTCGGTTTGCGTTTTCTGTGCAAGAACGTAAGAACTCTTTTTGGCAAGTCGTTTGTGAAAGTCTAGACCTGTGGTCAAGCGGTATATCGCATCTCCAGGACGAGACAAGGGAGAACGAGAAAAGACAAAAGAAAAAAACATGAAGAAATTATGATTGGACTTACTGTGTACTTTTTTTTGGTTTACTTCCATTTACTCTCGCGCTCTACGAGTTCTCACGTGTACGGCAATCTCAATACTGTAGCACGCTTTCAAATAATGAAATGGCGACCGCCATGTCTGCGCAACTGGCGGCGACTGCTCCCCCAATTATCCCGTGTTTAGACTAACAACCCCTCAGAGGTTTCATCGCCCACAGGTCTCACAGACGCAGAGTTCACCTGATTGATGCAACGCGGGCGGCATTCAAAAAGCATGATCGACGCCATCCTGGAACGACTGCGTTTTCCGGTCGTCTGCATTGTGTATTGCCACGTCACGTCTGTTGCTGCTTGCCGAGTGTTTTCTCCCCCTTGTCAACCATCCCCCACTAATGACTGTCTGGCATAACTGTAACTGTTGCCGACACCATACAGAGCACGAACGCCTGGCCCGAACAAGAATCGGGACCAAAGAGATATCTCCATTTGGACGTCGTGGAGGCTCTGGAAGGGACAGGGGTTGTTGCTCTATCCGGGGAGGCCCTGTCTTTGATCCTCCATTTTACTGATAGTCTTTTTTCTTGTCTTCTCGCTCACTTTTGGTTCGTTGGATCGTTGCGATTCGGGTATCAACAGTACCGATCCGATCGGACAGCTTTGTTTCCCTCGTTGCTCGCAAATGTGTCTCTGCTTTGTGCTGCTCCTTGCTTTGGTGCACGGAGACATACGTGCACGTTTAGATGCTAGACCAGGGCATCGCTTTGATTGAGAAAATGATAAACGTTGGAAGATAGAATCAATCGATCGAGGAAGAAGGCATGGCATAAAACTAATGGATTAAGCTTAATATCTAAATAGGAAGCTGAGCATGGGCGAAAGAAAGCAGCTAAGCAATATCAAGGGGAGGTCGTTTTTGGCACTTTCTAAAGTTTAACTTTCTTCCTCCTCATCCGAGTGCTGTTTTTATTTTTCCTGCTCAATGCTACCGTTCTTCTCAATCTGCCGCCCCCAGACTCTGCCGCTTGATGCTACAGTGCCATTTGCTACCCGTCAACCACACTTTCAAGTCTGGCCATTCCATGTTTTACACTCTTGATAGTGCTCTCAGACACCACTCTCTCTCAAAGCTCGGCTCCTCATCTTCTCCACACTCGTTGACCTCGGGGGTCGCCGTGTCTCTGCTTCTGACTTTATGAATCTCATGTCATGATTTTCGTTCCATCCTTCTCACCTTCGCTTTTGAGCTTTGCGTCCCATGGTGGCTATCGACTGCTTTTCGCCTCGCTTCGATTAGCCGATACCATAGTTTTGTTTCTTGTGTTTCCTGTTCCATGTTTTTCATCCTCACGTTCTGTCATGTGCCCAAGAGGCATGGGTTTGACATGGGCGGCTGCTAAACTTGCTGGTCATCACAATGTGGACTGACCCATGGATATGCACCGGCAGTCACCTCCGTCACTTGTCTCGTCTTATCTTTTCTTCCCCATTTCTCCCCCATACCTCCCCATTCATCTCCATTCCTCCACACTTGCATGCCGTCTGAGACGAGGTGCCGAACCACGGTTGGCGATTATTGGATGCGTTCTTTGCAAGAATAGCCAGACCTACTCTCCTCGTGTTTGTGAACCCTTTGCGTTTTCGTGCAGTCCTGAGGACCAATCAGTGGCGTTTCCTCTTTGCTTCTTGTCCGTGCTTTTTCATTGCAGCTAGACACCAAAATAACTTCTGACTTGATGTATTGCGTTGTCTTCCGAGCCAGTTGGCTGATCCTATTTCTATGTCTCTTGGTTTTCTTGTGTGTCTTTCCTTCTCCCCGTTCCAACATCGTTCCATCCCGTCTCTGTCCTGCATCACATCGCATCACACCTACTTGATGTTCCTTGCATGTTCATGGGCTCAACCCCCCGCCTCCTTGTCTCGGTCCCTGAACCTTGCCATCGTATGCCATCCATCCATTCATACACCCTCACTCCCAGCGGAGCATCGCACAGACGGATTCTGGAAGCTTTCTCTTTCCGCATCTGGCTTGTTTGATCACAGACAGTCGCCCTTCTGCTTGTCTACCGCCGTGTGGAGTCTTTGTATGACCGCCACTGCACGCATCACTCCATCCAAAATGTGTTCCGGCACTCTCGACAGACCTCGTCCTTGCAAACTGTAACTTCAGCGTCCATCAACGTAGCTGTCATCGAACCGGCCCGCCGTGACCTGCGTCGACCCCTTAATCCCGGTACCCTGCGTTCCGTATTTGCTGTTGTAGTTTCCATCCTTCTTCACCGTGCATTCTGCATGGTCTGTTCGCCAGTCTGGTCACGCATCTTGCTCAGGGTGCTTTTGCATCGGGCCCTGTCCTTGCGACCATCCGGTTTCTCCGTGCACATATGCATGCCTCTGCAGTTGCATTTCCCACAATCACAACGGGAGTGCAAGCTGCTTCTGGTACCGTCCTGGCGAATGGGACTGGCTTGCCGCTTTCTGCTGCCGAGGCAATTGTCATGGCACGGAAACTCTAAATTCCTGCCTCACAGGCACTCTCAGAGCATAAAGAATGCAGCAGAGGCGATCTTGCTACCCGGACCAGTGGCTGCTTTGTTCCTGCTTCAAACTAGATGGGACAGACCTCCATTTGTTCTTGTCATCGTCGCACACCCCTCCTCCATCTCACCAACAATTGTCAAGCACTGTGTAGTACTCGTCCTCAAGGAGGCCAACCTTGGGTTGGGACAGAAAACAAGGGGAAGGAAAACTTCTAGAAGAGAACTAGGGATGCGTCGTATCTGGACGCATTGCGACCAAAGGACGAGAAGAAGGACACGATGAGACTTGTTGAGACGAAGAGACTCTTGGCGAGCACGCTGAGATAATTTGATATTGTAGAATTTACTACACGTGACAATGTTATTATATGTCATCATGACAACCTAGTATACCACAGACAAGTATGAGAAGTATTTGATATGCTAATGGAGGCGGATATGTTGGTATTTTAACGTAGATATCGGTTGTTTACCAACTCCCACTCTTCGAGCCTCATATCCACACGATGCTTCTTCGTTCCTGGCAAAATCCCATTGCAATTAAACTCTACCTGGAAATTCGGCATGTACGTGAACAGGGCATCAGCGTCCTCTCGCAGCAACTTTGCCGACGCGTAAAATGTGAGGCGAAGAACGTGGCAAAAGAAGTCGAGGCTAATATTGATTCATCTTTTATGGTGGCTGACAAGACAATCAGAGGCATGGCAAAGGGCACAAAATTCATCGTGGATGGACGGTGGTCTATTTCTAACACCCTCTACTTCAGCCAACAATGTTATCCATTTCAGCCAAGTCGGCTCAGGCACTTGTCTCTATGCTCCTGCCCTATCTCGTGCCTTGTTTTCTCGCCTCTACGGTGCAATGGCATCTCCATTGTCTTCATCCGCCTTTTTTGCCTCCTTTCGCTTTTCAAACTTTCCGAAATAGCAGCCGCGTTTGCTCCCTTTTCTTGCTCATATTCCACGTATCTCGTAGGATGAAATCAAAAAATAAGAGTCATGGCTGTTTGAAATAGGAAGGAGGCAAAAGGAAGAAAGGGGATGAAAAGGGAAAATAGGTGGCAAAAACAGCCAGGGCACATGGCGTGGGAGAAATCCGTGAGAAGGCACTCATATCTGCCGTTCTCAGTAGATATAAGAACGACATCATGTCCTCGGCCGAGCAAGATGCTCTCAGGTTTCTTTTGATTCCGACCTGATCAGTTTTGGTTACACATCGGCGACGGACATCACTCCGACAGTCGACGACAAAGAGAAGCTATGAGGACGCATCACAAGACAAGAACAATCAAGGCATCGAGCAAAGGCACGACGACACTCGACCACGTTCGCCACCTATCAACACAACACATAGGATCACAGTCGAATGTGTACCGAGAACAGGGGGAGGGCACTTGAACAGTCACGGAGCACAAAATAAAATACATCGAGAAATAGGCAGCCTCAACGACACCCGGACACTTTCAACACATCATCGGCTGCGAGAAACAAAAACAACGACAAAAAGAACGAAGCGACAGCAAGCTACTTTTGGCGTCGAGACAAATCAAAAGCCGACACTAGCAGACCCCGATCGAGTCTACAGAGTGTACACGAAAGCTCGGACATTCGCCACGGGCCACATATAAACGATGACGGCAGATGGTCAGAAGGCCATTGACAACACCAATACTGTTTAATCTAAATTGGGGCAAAGGCAGAGATGTCCCCTTTCAACACATCGGACCGATATCCCGCTGACACGAGGCAACTTGATCAAGGCGAAGGCCCTTCCTTGTCTCATATACGACGGACAGAAGCAACAGCCTCCGTCGACAGTCTGTTTCGGCATATCAGGAGACCTACTGTGGCAACAACGCTCGGTATTTCGTCTCAAGTATGTCGCCGATATGAGACACACCATGCTGTCCAAGCCATCACGAATGCCATCCCTTGGCCTCTCGGCACCACTGCATCAAAAGAGGTTTGTAGGTAGGTTGTAGAAATGCCATTTGCTATGTGAAAGGTAGAGGGAATGAAACAAAGAAAGGCACCCATGCCATAAGCCAGCCCTTTTTGTAAATCCGTAGACAATGACAAGATACAATAATACAATGCAGGATGCAAACAAAAAAAAACCGAAAATGGCCAAAAGACCTCAATGCCCATTTGTGGCCACCTGCCCACCCAGCGCCAGCAGCTCCTCCCTGTTTGCCTGGTACAGCTCCTGGGCCTCGCGTTCGCGTCGGCTGATGAAGCTCACTTCGTCGCGCAGGCCGGCCAGCCGCCGCTGCAGCGCCTGGTCCTCGGACCGGGCCAGGATCTCAAAGCCGTTGAGTGCCGCCTGGGCCTTGCCGAGCGCACTGTGTGCGTCGGTCATCTTCTTGCGCAGCGTATCGGCGCGGTGCTTGTAGCCGCCGAGATGCACCGTCAGCTTCTTCTCGAGCTTGGCACCCTTTTCGGCCGACGCCAACGCAGCGTCACGGACGGCCTATAGATAGTTAGCAAAATGTAAACCAAACAATAACAACGGAGTGGGTGCGCGGCATATGGTCATGGCCTACCTCGAGTGCCGTCTGAAGAGACGCGACCTCATCTTCGTCGTCGTCGTCGTAGCAGCCGAGGCCGAGCAGCAGCGCCGTCGTGCGGCCGTCGTCGTCCGACGCGGGAACAAGACCGGTCCAGGTTGCGTCGATCGCGTCGCGTGGCGGCGCTTTCTTGGCCTCAAGCAGCACCTGCAGCCGCGCCTCGGCCAGATCGTCGTCACCTATTGTCTCGAGAGACACCGTTGTCGCCGGCCGGGCCGCCGTTTTCGTGAGCGGGAACTTGGCTGCATCGTTGGCGACGAGGAGCGCGGCCTCGTGGGCGACAAGCGCCGCAGCTGGATCCTCGAGGCTGGCAGTGCTCGCCAGCAGCGCCGCCAGGTCCACGGACGCTGGCCGTGGCAGGTTGCGCTGCATGACCTGCGTCCGCCGCTTGCGCTCGAGCGCCGCCAGCGCCTCCTGGTGCTCGCGTGCCCGTCGGTCGCGATCTGCAGCGTCCTCTACTTGTTGCTGGGCAGTCCGTGCCGCCCTCTCGTCGTTCTCGTCCGCCTCGTCCGGCAGCTCCAGCTCCCAGTCCGTGTCCTTGGGCTTGGGCAGCGATGCAAGGCCCCGCTGCAGCTGGCCCCGGAGAGCCACTTGGCGCTGGGCCGGTGTCTGTCCGCCATTCATGCCGCTGCCGTCGTTTAACGCAAAGCCGTCGCGCGGCGTACGCAGCGGTGTCTGTCCGGGCCGCAGCGGCGTCGCGAGCACGCCGCTGCCGCCAGCGCCGTCCCCTGTCCGCAGTGGCGTTGCGAGTGGGTTGGGCGTAGCGACGACCTGCTTGCGCGGTGCAGCCGTCTCGAAGCCCGTCGACCCGGACCCTTCGCGCAGCGGTGTGTTCTCGCCGCCCAGCAGCGACGACTGTGTCTGGGTCAGGGCGCGGATGTTGCGGATCTCGTTGGCGACACGGTCCTCCTCGGGCGCCGCGCGCGGGGTGCGGATGGGTCCGCCGGTGCCCTGGATGGTCGAGTAGTCCTGCAGCAAGCCGCGCGTGGCCTCATTGTCGCTGGCCTGCGCCAGCTGGTTGGCGCGCTCGCCGATGGCGCCCATCTTGATAATTTCCTCGAGCTCGCCTTCGCTCACTTGTGGCGCAGGAAGGGCGAGTGCGCGGCGCTTGCTGCTCTGCTCCGCCTCGCGCAGCCGCTGCTGCTGGCCAGCCTTGATGGCCGCCGCCGACAGACTGTCCTTCTTGTCGCCGTCGTTTTTGCGCTTCTTGCGCCCGGCCTCGTCCGCGTCCGCGTCGCCGCGGTTGCGCTTGTTGGACGCCTGCTGCAGCCGCGGGTCAATGGCCGCGCGCTGGCGCTCGTTGCGCGCAATCTCCTCGCTCGTGTCGTAAAAGCCGGGCGCGGGCGCCTTCTCAAAGGGAATGTCGGCGTTGTAGTCCATCTCCCCCTTGCGCCGCGTCACCACCTTGATGTTGATGCCGGCTGTCTTGAGTTCACGCCGCTTCTGCAGATTGGCCAGCCGCCGCGACTCCTCCTGTTCCCGCTCCCGCGCCTTCCGCTTCGCCTTCTTGCCCTGTGTGTTGGCCAGGCGAGCACGCGCCTCACTGAGCATCTCCTTCTCGTCCTCGTCCAGGTCGATCGTGTCCGGCCGTGCCGGTTTGCTTTCCGGATCCGGGTCGACCTCGCCAGGCCGTAGCCGCCGCACGTGGTCGGCCGACGGTGCGGACGCCTCGCCGTCGGCGTCGCCCGTCAGCCCAAACTCGGACGCCTCCCGTTGCTCGGCCTCGTCCAGCAGCCTCTGGTAGCGCTCGAGGCACTGGTTGGCCGTGCGGCCGACAATGGGTGCGATGGTGCGCCATTGTGTGGGCATCAGCTTGGCCAAGTGCAGCAGTTTCTCGTCCTCCTCCTTGCTCCATTCGATCTTGCGAATGCTGGGGTCAAGGTACTCGTTCCAGCGCGCCTTGCACTGCTTGGGCGTCTTGCGCGCCAGCAGCGACGACACGCGCGCCCACTGGTTGAGGCCATACTTGGAGATGGCGGCCTTGAGCACCTCGTCCTCGATGTTTGTCCACACGCCGCCTTTGACGGCAACCATGATTGCGGCTGTGGATAAAGACTGATGGTTTTGTTGAAAGGGGTGCGACCCGAAGGCGCGCGCAGGGACGGTCGACACAACCCCTCGGCTTTTTTTGTCGGATGAATAAAGTCGAGACAAATGCAATTCAATGCAGGTCCGGTCGTCTCGAGGTCGGGGATCGGCCGTGGGGTGCGGGGGTTGATGGTGCAGGTTTGGTCGATGTTGGTGTTGTTGGCGCAACTGCAGCCAGTGAGGCAAAGAAACGCGACACAGCGCAGCTCGCGACTTTTTTCCTGCTGCAGGCGCTTTGCAGGGCAGGAGCCAGAAAATTCTGGAGCCGCAGGCACGGCACGAGGCTGAAGTGTGGCTTGCGTGCAGCCTAAATGTGCTGGGGTTTCTAATTGGCCAAATCCAGCTAGCGCCACATTTGGCCGAGTTTGCAGGCGCTGCCACTCACTGCGACGCCAACTGACACAACCGCCAACACAAAGACCGACGCGCCTCTTCAAATAGCTTCAGTGGCCCCAGCACAACAGAGCTGGACCGTCGACGCTGCAACCAACCACACCGCCAGCCCCCTTGCTTCACGACGGTCTGCGTAACCGGTTCGACTGATATCAATCGGAGACGCGCTCATCGTCAGTCTATTTTGTTCTCCGCTAGCTTCTGCCCTCTCAATGGCCGCCGACGCGGAGGTTGCCCCGGACGAAGCGCCGCGGGCAGCGCCGACGGGCGTCAGAGTAACACCCATCCCACCGCCGACGATCCCCTATACGTCCTTTGCCTCGCAAGCTTCCGCGGGGAAATCACCCACGCCGCCCCCTGGCGCGGCCGCATCGCGTTCCTCGGCGTCGCCGGTTCCCGCAGCGCCGCCGAACCCGCCCTCCACGCTGCCGCAGAAACGCGCCTTGGCCGACGAGGACCACACGCCCGCGGTGCGGTCGCCGCTAAACCCCGAGTCGCGGTCGACGCCCAAGCCGACGGGGCCGGGCGACGATGTGCCGAATGTGGCGGTGCGCGAGAAGCGCGTCAAGAAGGAGTCGCTCAAGAAGCGCGAGTCCAAAGCGGCCGAAGGCGGGCTGTCGCGTGCGACACCTGAGCCAAAACGGAAGGAGACGGCAGGAGGCGGGGGATCCAATGAGTCGACGGTGACGTTTAGCGTAGGCGGTGGCGGTGGCGGCGGGGGTGGCGGAGGGAGCGGGAACGAGACGGCGAGCACGACGACGACCAAGGCAACCGCCGCAGCGAAAGCCAACGAGGGCCTGCCGGTGCGCGTACGGCTTGCTGGCCCACTGCGGCCCAGCGACTTTGAACCGCCAGCGAGCCCCATCCACCGGGCCCGGCACAGTGTGCAGCTCGCCAGTGGGCAGGAGGTTGAGTTTTTGGAGCTGTTTTCTGAACAGTATGTCGTATCCCGCTCTCTTCTTTATGTTCTTGTTTTTGACCGAAGTGACCTTGTTGAAAATACTGACGTTTCATTAGACCCATCAACCGACGTGGGTACGTCTACGAGAGCGGCATTGCCGACCCTCGCTTTCCGTCCTCACACTACTTCCGGCAGACGGAGCCCAAGCCGCACTATGCGCACTTTAGCTTCGAAGACGCTCCACCCAATGTCTTCTTTGACCAGACGGGACTCAACATCCACGGCGACAGCGGCTTCCGCACGGCGCGCGCCAATGTGGCGGCACGACAGGGCCGGTGGTATTGGGAGTGTAAAGTGACGCGTGGTATTTTGAAGGACGGCGAACGGAGCAATGGCAAGCAGAAGGAGACAGACGGCAAAAAGGCCGGCGAGCCACCGTCGCACGGCCATGTGCGCGTGGGATGGGCACGGCGCGAGGCGTCGCGTGACGCACCGGTCGGCTACGACGCATACGGCTACGGCATCCGCGACCGCAAAGGCCAAAAGGTGCACATGTCGCGGCCCAAGGAGTTCTTGTCGGTGTCACAGAGCGGCGGCAGTGGAGCGACCAGCGGGAATGGCAGCGGGACGGGGAGTGGAAATGGAAATGGAAGCACAGACGGCGATGACGACGAGGACATTCGCGAGGGCGACGTCATCGGCCTCGAGATTCAGCTGCCGTCCGAGGCGCTGCACCGCAAGGTGGTGCAAGGCACGTACAACCCGGCCGTGGACACGGACGACGACAGCCGGCACGACTACGACCACGACGACGGGCCCAACATTGTGCGCGACCGCATCCCGTTCCGTTTCCAGACGACCAAGACAGTCTTTGAGAAGTTCGACTACGTGCCCAGCCGCGAGCTCGAGGACCTGGCGAACCCGGCACCCACCCTAAACGGTGCAAGCAACCCGGCGTCGGTACACAACGCAGCCATCAAGAGGCAGCCTCCGGGCGCAGCGGGCGTGCCGGGCGGCGGCGAGCCGCCCAACCCCAACCACCCGGTGGTCTGCATGCGCACGCTGCCCGGGTCGCACATCCGTGTGTACAAGAACGGCAAGCTGCGGGGCACACCGTGGACCAACCTGCTGTCGTTCTTGCCGCCGGCGTCATCGACCAACAGCAAGATCCAAGAGGGCGCGCGTGAGCGGCTCGACGACGGCACGTTAGGGTACTACCCGGCCGTGAGCGTGTTTGGAGGCGGGGCCGTGGAGGTCAACTTTGGCCCGGACTTTTGGTACCCGCCGCCGGGTGAGAATCTCAAGCCCAAGATTGACGGCAGCGGCGGTGGTGAGGACGACGAGGACATTGGCGACGTCACGATGGTTGATACGGGCGACGACGACGGTCTCTCGCGCAAGATGGTGCCGACGGCACCGCCGCCGTTGACCAAGCTGCGGCCTGTCGCAGAGCGGTACGCGGAGCAGATTGCCGAGGACATTGTGTACGACATTGTCGACGAGGTGTACTTTTGGATGCTGGACGGCGGCGGCGCGGGCGGAGGAGGCGCCGTGGCCGACGCAAGCAGCAGCACGAGGACAGCCCGGGCCGCTCTGGAAGGCGGACGAGACGCGTCGATGGACGAATGATACAAGGGCACGCGCATTTTATGGCGTGTACAAACACGAGACGAACAAAATATAAAAGCACCGTGAATGATTGAATTGCGTGTATTTTGCAGTTGCTCTGGTATCCAACATGAGTCCGCACTCATCCCTAGTAACTTATTCTGTCTGAAAGAAAAGAAGAACATGAAGACAAAGATAAAAGCAAGAAAATTAGACAACGTTTTAAATATCCTTTGCGGTACATTTCCTCCGGGTATCTCGTTTCTTATTTCGATTTCGGCGCATCTGGGCCAATGGGCGGCCGCGGTAGGCCACTCGCCGCCGCGGCCTCCTCTTTCGGAGAGACCTTGTCGATCACAATCGGCGGTTCGGGCGTGCCGGCTGTCTCGGCACCGCCAGGTGCTTCCGCGTTGGACGGGCCAGCAGCGGCATCGCTGGCCTCTTTTCCCAGCCGCACCTCACGGCCGCGCTTGTGGCAGTACCAGAGGACAAACAGGAGCACTGATGGATGGTTAGCATGGGAGGAATCGCGCAAAAAAAAAACCAAAAAAAAACCGGATGCGGTCACGTACAGAACAAGGCCACACTCCAGATGGCGCTGGTACCGATAAAGGCAGGCCAGCGCAGCTTGAGCGCGTTCATAATGGCCTTGAGCATCTTGACAATGGCGTTGGGTTTGGTGAGCAGCGGCAGCAGCATCGTCTTGGCGGCGCCCTTGGCCGTCACACCCTCCTTTTCTGCCTCGTACGCGACGCCCTGGGACGCGGCGGCGGCCGCCATCAGCTCGGGCGCGAGCGAGGACGTCAGCTTGCCGGGCAGCTGGGAGACGAGCTTGCGCAGGCTCGACGGTAGGCGCTCAAAGCCGCGGGCGAGGGCGCCGTCGCGGTCGTCGAGCAGACTCTTGAGGTCGTCGGCCGCGGTGGGGACGCCGTTCACCAGGTCTTTGAGGACCAGGACAAACCGGCGGACGAGCTCGGCCGACTCGGCCGACAGCGAGACGGCAAACTTGTTGGCCTTGGACTGCTTGCCCCGCGTCTTGCCGCCCTTGTTGTCCTTGGTGTCCTTGTTGTCCTGGCTGTCCTTGCCGAGGTCCAGATCGTCCAGCACTCTCGCCAGATCGGCGCGCTCCCGGTCCTCTTCGGTCGGCGTCACGGCCGCGGCCAGCTGGCTGTTGGACGAAGCGGCGTCGGCATCCACGTCGACCTTGCCTGGCACCACGAGGTGCGCCGGATGCGGCCGGTCCTTGTCTTTGCCCTTTTTGGAGCTGAAGAGGGTCGACAGCCGCCGGCCGACGCCACTGATGCCGCCACTGATGCCGCCGCTGCTGCCCTTGTCCCGCGCTTCTGTCGGCATCAACACGTCGTTGTCGACGGCCACCAGGCGCTCGCCGCGCACAAACGACTCGCTGTCGCTGTCCCAGGTCAGGTCCGGTGTCTTGATGCGCGGTGGCAGCGGCGGCCGCTCGCCGGTCCCGTCGTCATCGCCGTCGGCATAATTGTCTTCGTTGTCCGAGGGGCCCCAGTTGCGCGTCAGGTTCTCGAGGAACGACTGCTCGTCCCGGTCAAGCACCGGAACGTCCTCAACAGGGCCAGTCGACGTCGGCCGAGGTGGTTTTGTCGGTGCCTCTTGTTGTGGTGATGCGCCGGAACTGGCGCTCTCCGGCACCGGTTTGCGGTTCTTCTTGGTGTTCAAGTATTCGAGCATCACGGCGGTTGGGTATCGTATGTTTGACTGTTAAAAGGAATTGATCGGTACGAAAATAAGAGAAGAAAAGAAGGGAAGTCGGACCCTTTATCGATTGTCGTTTTCACTGCTTTCTATGCTGTCCCGCAAGCTTCGAAGTCACTAGAGGGCGGCTGGGAGGCCGCTTTTCAGCTCGCCTCCTCCTGGCGCCTGTGGAACAGCACAAATGGCGGGTCGCCGACCGCTGAAGCTTTTTAGCAGCGGGCGCTAATCCGCTGTAGCACGGCCACCGCCACTGTTCCAGAACCCGCGGCGGGGTGATGTCATTCCCAAGACCAAGGCACCAGGATTTCGACAATGACAGGTTGTGCAAAATTGACGAATCAGCATCAAGGAAATGTTGTCGGTACGTACAATGTGTGAACCACATGTGATGCTAGATGCCAGCTGGGATTTATGCACTTCGTAGCATGTAGATTAATTCATGGCTGCTATCATCGCCATGTGCCGGATCTACGAGCAAAATCTGCTCCTTTTGTACACCGAAAACGCCCGGTCGCCCGTGCAAAACAAAATACCAAAAGAAACCCAGATGTGTCTCTCCTCGTCCTCCATCCGCATGTCGTCGTAGTCCTACTCGTCCTCGCCGTCTGCTGCAACCTCCCGTCGCCGGGACGCTGCTTGCCGGAACGGCGCAGCCACTTCGTCCTCCCCTCCTCCCGTTCTTCCTCGCCCACTGCCTCCTGTGGCCGCCCGCGGCTGCAGCGTGCGCATCAGCTCGTCGACGCCCTCGCTCGGCCGGCCTTGGCGCTTCTTGCGCCGGTAGACGTCCGTCGACGTGATGGCGCGCTCGCCGATAAAGTGCAGCTTGCCCTCGACCTCGCCGTTGGCATCCTCGGCTTTGCCCCAGGGCGCGTCGCACTGGGGACACCGGTGGCGGTGGCGGTGGTTGCTGTTGGTGGTCGTGGTGGTGGTGTTGCGCGCCGCCTGCGAGCGCCAAAAGGCTTCCTCGCAGTGGTCGTGCAGGCGCAGCGTGCACGTCGGCGTCGCGCAGCGCAGGCCCGAGGTGATGAGTTCGCGGCACGCGGCGCAGTACTTGATGCGCTGCCAAGTGGTGGCCGTCGTGCCGGTCGGCTCTTCGTTGTACTGGTCGACGAGGAACGGCTCCAGCTCGAGCAGGGCGCGTGTCGTCAACGCGTAGAATCCCTGTGCGCTCTTGGCCAGCCACCCCTGGCGGACCAACGACGCCAGCAGCGACAGCACGACGGAGTGCTTGAGGCCCTTGTCGCGGGCCGCAGCCGCTGCGGCATTACCGTCGGCGTCGGCACCAGCACCAGCACCAGCACCAGCTCCGTCGGCCTCCCCGCCCACACTCGGCCGCGCTGCCGTCCGCGGTGGCCGCGACAATTTAAGAGCCTGCTGCTCCGTAATGCACAGTGCCTCGATGCGCGGGGTATTGTACGTGTCGAACAGGGCGTCCAGCAGGCGGTGGATGAACGCGAGCTTGCGTGGCGTAAACAGCACCGCCAGGTGCGACTTGGGGTCTTTGTCGGTGCTCACAAGGACCCAAACGCGGCGGTCGTTGCTGCTGCTGCTGTTGGTGCTGCTGCTTTGGCCACCGCTCCCACGACTCCCGCCACTGCCCATCGACCGCTCGTTCGTCGCCGACCGAATGTCAAAGTCGAGCGGCACCAGCGCGGCCTTGGCCTGGTTGATGTAGTGCCGCAGCGTGTCAAATGTAACGTCCTCGGGCGACAGGTGCTGGATCTCTGTCGGGCTGGCACCGGCCGCCGTCGCTTCGAGATTCTTTTTCACGTTGAGAATGGGAGCCAGGACCTGCTGGGCTTGCTGGAATGTCAGGGCGCCGTGCGCCATGAGAGCTTGAAGGAATGCACGGTTGCTGTCGTCGTAGCCCGCGGGGAGGCGCCAGGAGCTCTGTGCGTTACTAGACGCTCCGTCGTCGTCAACGTCCATACCGCCGCCATTGCTCGGGCCGGCCAGCGAGTCTTCGCCCCGGCTGTCGTCGTTGTCACTGCCGTTGGCGTCGCCGTCTTCCTCACGCCGTGATCGCCGGCGGGCAGAACGGCCGCCATCCGCGTCGGATCTTGCCCGTTTTCGACTTGACGATGGCATGTCGGGGCGCTGTCTGAACCTATGCTCGTCGCACCGTACCGGTCGTGTCGTGTGCCAATGTGCTGTTGGTATTCTGTTGATAAGGTGAAGCGATGTACAGAGTATGGTGAAGTGCTCTAAAGAGGTGCACATTCGGACGCGTTGAGCGCGTTTTAGCGCCTTTGGTGCTAAAGTGGCAAGCCCCAGGCTCACTGCGGCTCCTAAAACTCCTAAAACCACACCCACCCTCCGAGCCAGTCAGATTCCTTTAGGCGGGGTTGGCCCCAGGCCCCGGGCGAGCCATAGTAAAGCATGTCGCCCCCGCAGCCTCCAAATCTGGCCAAGCCTCGTGTATTTGCAGTTCCGTTCCTGTATAAGACCAGCCAATGACTGTGGACACAGTAGAACAAAGTAAACAATGAAGATGATATAATTATTTGAATAGCTTTGAGAACAGATTTTTAAGAAGCAAAACGGCTAGGACGAATCCTGGGGGGGGGTATAGAACAGAATAATCAATCCAAGAAAAGGCTGAAAAAGCGACTACCAAACACAATTTGATATCATAGAACAAAATGGTACTTGCCAGACGAAGTCAGTAAGGAAAAGGAGAAGCAGAGAGGACAAAAGTTCAAGAGAGAAAAAAGCAGTGTGCAAGGGGAAATGACTAGAAAACGAAACAAATCCAAAATACACATCCAGTGCTCACGGGAGCCAACGGCGACTGCGGAAGCTAGAGGGATCCAAATAGGACCGCGGCAAGTTCGCCGCGGTTGCCAGCATATGATCAATTCGGTTGCCAAATACGAGGCGGCTCTCGGCTTCCTCCGGCGCCTGCGGCTCGATCTCGCTCGGGCTGGGCACATCGAACCCGTCGTCGCTATTGGCCTCTCCATCGAACTCGGCGAGCGTATCGTATTCACGGAGGACGAGGTCTGCGATGGGGTCGCCGAGGGGAATGTCAGTCATGCCAGCGCTCCCTTCCATGACAGGAGCGTCGTCTTCACTCATGTTGTCGGCGTCGGCCTCGTCGACATCGGAGCCGGCGTGGTTGTCTTCGGGATCGTGGCATAGGACGCTGTCTGCGTCGGACATGTGATCGCAATCGATATTGGCTCCGGCCTCGGTCTCGGCCCGCGAGCTCGTCATCGGTTCGTGCCGAGTTGACTTGCTCGCCGAGGTCCGATCCATGGAGCACTGCAAGACCAACATCCGGGTTCTGCAACGGGGCTGAGACCGTCTCTGGGACGGGCGGCCGCAGGACGCCGCATACTCTCTCAGAGAGAGGCAGCAGATGTGGGGGCTGTTCGTGCTGCACCGACAGGCCGTTCTTGTTGCCAGTGCGTCGATGTGCTCGTCAAACGGGCCGCCATAATATGTGCCGCATGTCGTGACATGCTGCTGCTGGTGCTCCTTATGGATGCCGCTTGTTGAGGTCAGCCGAAAACCTGACGAGACACACAGAGGCTGCAGCTGTGGCCGAAACACGGTTGTGTGGCGATGTCTATGGTGGTGGGAGTTCTCGTTCGTTGCATTGTCTGGAGCCATGATTGCTCGGCAGTACCCAAGCGAATCAGGTAACGGCAGTTGACGGCAACGAATAGTTGAACGAAAAATAGCGAGATGGAAAGCGAGGGGATGTGCCTGAGCACCGCTGATTGACAGGATCGGAAATGTTGCCGGGACAGAAGTAATGGGGAACAAGGAAGCGCCTCAAAAATTACGGAGAAGAAAAGTCACGGGATCAGAAAATTATACAATATTCAAATATATTTAAAAAACGAAAATAAACAAATAAAAATGACCTGCTCAGTAGTTGAAAGAGGGCAGCAAACAGTCATGGCCGATGGGCCGACCCAGAGGGCAAGGGCTTGTCTGTTGGTCGGGCTTTGCCCTAAATGGGAAAAATGAGGCCAATAGAACAAGACGGAGGAGCATGTCACGCTGCTGTCGACTCGATGTTGACTAATAGCCGTGCCGTCATTGTCTGTCAGCGCAACTGCGTCGTTATCGGAGCACACATCAACACGCAGACAGGCACTGACAAGTGTACCTCCGACCACCAGCACTCTTTTCGCATTGTCTGCGAGCCCTCTCGACAGCTCTGGTAAATGTAGTATGCAACTACATTGTGGCACTATACGGAGTAGGTGATGACACATTGCTGTCTATGCGTTACGATAGGCCAAAAGTGCCACTGGTCACGCTGAAAACTTAACTGACTCTTATAAATGGTGCCGTCCCTTCAGCTACAGAGGTGTCTACCTGAAGTCACTCTCCTCTATGGTGAAGACTCATTCTCTGGATTTAGTCTTGGGTATTGTCCCAATGCAAATCTATGTCGAAGTTAACGGCACCACTCATGGTTCTTTTAATTCGTTCAGTGGTCCGACAGAATACAACGGTCTATTTTCAGTAAATTTTATTTATTGATTGTTCTAATCAGATGTGTTCAATAACAAAGTGTTTCTTTTGTTTCTTATGTTTTTCTAAATTTCATTTTATGCCAACGCATGATTATCAACGGTTTGCTCCTTTCGTTTTATAAAACATTGCTAAAATAAAATATCATTAAATATTCAAATACATACATACTATTATTGAAAAGTAAAACAAATAGGCACGTAGAACTCACCTCCTATGTCACATTCTCTCTCTGCTAGCAGCCAAGAGACGGAACTCGTTTGGTGTTAGTCGAGAATCAGTTGTCGAAATCCAGCGACCCACAATTCGAGCCTCATCATTCTGGCCAATCAGAATGGGACCAGGATGGAAACCTCCAACCAGCTGGTGCTCACCAAAAGTGGCGGGGTCTTCCGAACATCGCCAATCAGCACCGAACAGGCTGCAATCGGCACGTTGCGCATCACCGTCCAACAACCACCAATTTCTGTCCCTGTCGGCCAACCGTGAGCACCTCACGTTCCAGTCGCTTACTACTACAATAGAAAGGCCCGGAATACTGTCCAGCAAAACTGCTCCGGCCTGTTGATGCTGCACGGGCCCTAGCTACCTTTGGCCAGCTTCAGGGAGCTTCACGTCGCCTCAGCTCCCGCCTCTGCTCCAGCTTCTCATCTCCCCAAACTCTCCCCCATCCGCCAACATGGTGGCCTCTACCGCCCCGGCCAACCCGTTCCTCTCAACTGTCAAGGCCGCCGACGCCGTCCCTGCCGTCCTCCATCCCCTCGTCCTCCTCTCCATCTCCGACCACATCACCCGCCATACTCTGCGGAAGCAGCCTGGCCCTGTCGTCGGTGCGCTGCTGGGCCAGCAGAATGGCCGTCAAGTCACAATCGAGCACACATTTGACTTTGTTGTCAGCAAGAACGATGGGGGCGACGCGAGTTTCAGCGCCGTCTGGTTCAACGACCGCGTCGAGCAGAGTGCGTCTTCTCCTGACCGTTTGGCCCAGGTTGTGGCAAAACCTCCAACATATTGCCTGTGTGCTGACTCTCGTCTCCAGTGAAAACTGTCCATAAGGATCGGCACCTCGACCTCGTCGGCTGGTACACGGTGCTTGGCCATTCGGGCCCGACGGCCCAAGTCATGCAGGTCCACGAGCAGATTCTGCCGTTGTGCAGCGAGTCCACCGCCGCTGTGCTGCTGGCTTTCCACCCCGAAGACCTTGCCGAGCCGTCCGTGGGCGGCAAACTGCCACTGACACTCTACGAGACGCACTACGAGCAAGACGAGAAGATCAGCGGGCAGGACGACGACAACGAGGACGAGGAAATGGCCGATGCATCCACGGCCAAGGCATCGACGGCGCCCCAGCTTGCCATTAAGCTGCGCGAGATTACGTATACGGTTGAGACCGACGAGGCCGAGATGATCAGCATCGACTTTGTGGCGCGTGGTGCCGCCAACGCCTCAGCGACTAGGGATGCTTCTACTGCTTCTGCTTCTGCTGCTGCTGCTGCTACATCCGCCGCCGAAGACTCGAGCAAAGACGCCGCCTCCAGTTCCTCGAGTCCCAACAACAACCGCGACCGGGCCGTTGCCATAGAGTCAGGAAACCGCGGAAAGAGGCGCCTGGTGGCGGCCCCCGGCACACCGTCGCTGACACCGACATCGTCCTCCTTGAACGAGCCACAGGCGCCGGCACCAGGAGCACCAGCAGCGAGCGTTGCCACCAACGACACCCACCTGTCCCCCGAGGAAGAAGAGCTGATCGCCACGTTGACGACCCGTGCCAACGCCATCCGCATGCTGCATGCACGTCTGGAGCTGCTGACCAAGTACCTCGCCAGCCTGCCGCAGGACGCATTGTCACGGACCGGCGCCGGTGCCAAGGACGTGAGTGAGGACCCCAACGCGGCGGGCGTGTCACTCCCCATCTTGCGGTCGACCCAGGCCCTCGTGCAGCGGCTGCCGCTCGTCGTGCCCCCACCGGTGGCGGGCGCCTTTGAAGAGGAACGTCGGCGCGAGGCCAACGACGTGCGCCTGGTGTCGCTGCTCCTGGACGACATGATGCAGAGCATTGCCTCGGCGCGGCAGGTGGGCGACAAGTTTGGCGTCGTGGAGACTGCACGTGCGTCCTCACGGCAGCAGAACAGGCTGGCCGGCCAGCCCACAGACTTTTCTGCGCGAGGAGTTGGTGCTGGGTCGGGCTCCCTGGACGCGCTGTTGTGAAGGAAACGGGTCAAGGAGAGTACGAGCGCCGACCTGTCGTGTCCTTGCAGATAGGAGACATGGCCCTTGTGACCAAGCATACTAGAAATGACGACGGTTCATGCTACGAAATGACAAAAAGGTGAACAGCCAGACAAGCATTTCGGTACGCGGCAAGCAGGGGCTGCCGCACATCTTTTAGCATAAACGAGCGAACAAATATGTCATAATTATGTCCTCATGCATCGATTCTTTTCATCTTGTGAGGCAAACACGTCCCTGATAATGGCAGTGGCTGTTTTAAAATGCTAACTTCGGAAGAGCCACCGCAAAGAGAGTAAGTAAGCGATGCAAAGAATAATTGCAATCGAAAAAATATCAAATTGGGGCACCTGGGCCTTTTAAAGGGTCTAAATAATGACGCGTTACAGCAATAAACATCATAGCATCCGTGACAATCGTATTCCAGCCAGAACCGCCGTGATTATGGCGAAACTGCAATTAAACCTGAAGCCGTGAGAAATAACAAACGAAACAAAAGCAGAAAGAAAACAAAATCTGGAAACGCGTTCGCTACTCTCAAGACATTAAGAGAGACTTTCGAGGAACAGTGATTAAAAGAGGCCCGAAGCAGACCAGCCACCCTTACCACGCAAGATAGCCTTTTTGCCTTTGGCATCTAGTGCAGATAGTCTATTGTCATCAATCACATTAAGGTCAAGCAAAGCATCCAACAAAAGACAAATTTTCCACAGCCTCCAGAACCCAAACCGAACCAAACCAGAGCAGAAGATAGGAGGCAACGAACTGGGGGGAAATCAACAAGATCTTGTAAGAACGTAAGAGATCGAGTCATTGTGACTCGAGAAAAATAACGTAAGAGATAAAATACGGCACCATGCGTGTGTTCTGGCGTGGTGATGTGAACATCTTTAGTCCGCCGACGACTCAATGACCACCTTTAAGACAAGGTTACCCTCGTCGTCCATCGTGCCACTGGCGATCTCGAATGCATCTTTGGCCTCCTTCAGACCCTTGAAACGGTGTGTGACCATGTCGTCGAGAGATGGGAGCATTCCGGAACACATCATGCGAATGCCTGCAGCATATGTGTTGGCATAGCGGAAGATGCCGAGTATATCAATCTCGCGCAGGTGGGCGACGGAGATGGGCAGGTTCTGAATCGGCGTGCCCATGCCCACCATGACAAGTCTGCCGCCCGGTTTTGTCGCGTACAGGCCAATGTGTGTGCACACCTCTTTGCCCGTGCACTCAAAGGTGATATCAAAACCCTCGTCATCGTCCTCATACAACAAGTGCGGTGGCGGTCTGGTCAAACCCTGCAACTCGCCTGCGATATTCTTGGCGCTCTCGAGCTGTGAGGAAAATGACAAGAAACTGGCCGGTGTCGTGGTTCCCGACTCGGCAGGTGTGGACACACCCGAGCTTGCTGTAAATATTGACGAGCTGCTTGACGTGTTGTGGAAGGGTCGTGGCACGACGTAACCGTGCGTAGCAAAACCCTTGGCGAGCGCGTATCTCACACGGCCGGCATCGATATCCATGATGGTAACTTGGGAGCAACCCGAATTGCGCGCGACGGCGGCTGTCAGTAAGCCAACGGTGCCGGCACCGGTAACCAAAGCCGTGGATCCAGGCAGTGGGTTGGCACGGTTGACGGCGTGAATGGCAACCGAAAGAGGCTCGAGTAGAGCAGCAGCGTCAAAAGAAACATGGTCAGGGAGCCTGGATATATTGTCAATATCTGTCTTTGGCCCGTGTTATCAAGGTGAATATAAGAGGGAAACGTACTTGTGGCACCAGTCGGCAGGGTGGTTGATCCGCTCCTGGAGGGTACCTTGGTAATGCGGTACACTCTTCGCACTGCTTCGGAACCGCATCTTTTTGCACAGGTTGTAGCGACCACGTCTGCAGATGGTGCAGTTTCCGCAAGGAACCCCGACCTCTAGAGCGACCCGGTCGCCCATTTTGAAACCAGACACACGAGGACCGATAGCCACAACGATACCGGAAGACTCGTGGCCGAGAGAAAGTGGCATGCAGGCGCACAGGTCGCCATTGGCGAATTTCTTGTAGTACGACACATCGGAGCCACAGATGCCTGTGGCCTTGATGGCAATTTGCAACTCGCCCTCGCCAGGGTCTTCAAGGTTTCTGACCTCCTGTCGCAAGAAAGAGTCAATTTTAGCGGAGCCCATGCAAGCTACCTTGAACGCGTACACAAAACCGCCGTTCTCGTTTTCGCTCGCTCCCCTGCAATTCTATGCAGAATTGACGTAAAAGACCCTTGTAGTTGGACACGATCTTGTGTAACCGCACGATCTGGGGTAAGTGAGGGGCGTGGGGGTGGTCTTACCAATCTTAGATCGCGAGGGCCATGCAGAACAGAAGCGTTGACGGTCGACGCTTTGGAATAGGTGGGATAATGCGTGGCCGCATCTTCGACCATGGCGGCGGGTGCCATGTTTAGATTCGGTGAAGAGATCGGTGGTGTGAAAACGGGAACTAGTCTAGCGGCGTGGGATGAACTCCGCCCTGTCGCTCTAGAATGGGGGTACACAGCGAAACGGGCTGAAAACGAGGACTTTGAGTTGCCTCTTTTGGAAGCACACAAAGAGTAAGAGATGCTTAGTTTATCTGTGATGCCGATGACCAACAACAACTAGGGTCGTTGAAGCAACTGCACTCAAAAGGTGAAGGAATTGAACTGAGTGTAAAGTTCCGGGTTGGGGGACGCGGGGGTCGTAGGAGCAAGCTCAGGGCGAAGCACACAATACAATAAAACTGGGAATGGGGGCGCACAGGAACGCGCGTGGGTGAAATGTGGAAGAAGGGTGTGTCCTTCGTTCTAGAATGTCCTTGACAAGAAAGAGGCTGCTCAAGATGGTGAGGCCCTTTGGAAAGCCGAGTCGTAGCGTGGGTGTAAGTAAGCGTGGGAGCGCGTGGGATGGCCAAACAAGTTGGTTGTGGGCGTGGGAGGCCAACGTGGGTTGCCAAAGCTGTGCAGGAGAGATATATATTTATATGTATGTGCTCGGTTCCTGTGTGGGGTGATCATATAAGAGCTTCAAAGTTCCAACAACGTAAAATGCTCAGTGTGGAGAGTCTGTCCGAGGACCTGACGGGAGATTGAAAGGGATTAGAACAGGGAGTCAGGTAGGTTTGAAATTGCAAGCTGAGGGGATGTAAAAGAAGATGGTATCTTTATCAACTCACTGTACTCCGACGCTAGGAGGGCACGAAAGGAAACATCTGGAGTTAGGACACAACGGCAGCACAGCAACGGAACAAAAGACAGCTCAAGACCAATGGTCACAGAACGAGGTAGATGGGGGAACACGGGTAAGAGGGAGGGTACATCCCCCAAAAATGAAAGGGAGATAAAAGAATGGAAAAAAGTCGATAGCGGCTAAGAGACAAAGCAAAATGGGTTAGGAAAGGCCCTGAAAGTTACAGAAAAAAAAACGTGAAAAATGCAAAAGCGGATGCATGTAGAAGGATACAATGTCACAGAAAATGGCGATAGAGCAGGGACAGGGTAGCTTGTGGAGAAATGACACAAGGATCCGAGCCTTCAAGGTCCCCCAACTTATGACCCCACATGCTTCATGATGTTCTTTCTCTTTCGTCTTGACTATGCTTTTTTTTGCTTCTTTCCATCCCTCCGTCTTCCACGGGAAGGCTTAGGTGGGGGTCCCGGCCGACTTCATGAACGTTTTGACCTCCATGAATTGATGCGTGACCAACATGATTAGCAGGTATCAAACAAGGACAGGGGAGCTAGGAGACGGGACGACGACGAAGACAAAAGTGCCCAGAACCGAGCAGAGAGGTAGTTCGGTTTGCCGGTGAGTGAGGAGCGCGAGGGCCACAAATGGTGCACACCGTGTTTGATCAAGCCGCTTCTTTTGCATTTTATTCCTTTTTTTCTTTCGTTAGTGGTATGGTTTTGTTTCCGTCCGAGCCGCCTAATTTTCAGTCGCAATCGCACCCTGCAACGTAAGAGGTATTCTGATGTGCAGCAAGCTTGCCGCTCTGCATAACTTCTTGAGCTCGTTTCCTGCAGTATCAATGGCGTCGTGTTAGTGCGTGTTCATCGTATTGGTGCATATGTAGAAGCAGTTGCTTCCCGAATCAAAACCCAAATGAGGAAAGGTAGCGAATAACTGGCCCGTGCAGGCCAGTCAAACGGCTACAAGTTATCTCTGCCTCGGGATGGAAGTTGGGATCCTCGAGTTGGCTTGACGGAACTCGACAGGGGGTAACATCAGGGGCAAAGACAGAACTGGAAGTGGGCGCAATCTAGGAGGGTGTGCAGACACAGAGAGGTGTGGGAGAATGGTGCGGTAAGGAAAGCGTCAAGTATCGGGAAAAGGCAATGCAGGTTCGGTTGTGATGGTGAGCAAAGTACCTCTTTGACAAAGGACAAAGCTGTCGCGTCCACCCTGGACAACTGACGTGCTTGTGTTGGGTTCCGGAAAAGTTCATCTAACGTCGTATCGGAACCAGCAATGTGGAGTTGAAGGACGGTCTCTGGGAATCAAAAGACAGTAAGGATCCAAAAGAAGAAATGGCAAGTAAGGCTGCCACACCCCAAATACTCATACGGTGTGCAAGGGATGGGGGCACAAAATAGGGCTTCATCCAGCGGAAAACCGTAACGAGTATGGGATATTACTTGTATGGTGCAGGCCACATGCGACTTTTGCAGGCTCAAGTTGCATTCGTGTACACTGCGTTTTGCTCAGAATGTGCTGTCCTCGTCGATAAAAGGGTGCATCAATGGTGGAAGGCAAATCACCGCACCTTCGATAGTGCCCATCTGGGGCCGCCACGCGTTTGGGATGACACACGGCTCGGAGGATAAGCCGGGGAGCACATGTTAGCCCTGACGTACAGATAACACAGAGAGTCAGAGACGAAAGGGTTTGGTGGTTTTGCTCCGATTAAGAAGCGGCTTGGAGACGGCTCAGCAAGTACGCACCTCATTTTCTAACCATCCCCGAGGTATGTGCATACTGGAGCTTGAAAATGCGCGCACAATGTATTGCAGCCAAGGTAAATGTACCCCTTACAAACTCACTCTCCGGAACCACAGGTTACGACCCGCCCTAGCTATGAAGCTCGACAAAAGAGGCACTTGCGGCGAGGATGTCGACATGCGGCTGGTGATGGTGTTGCTATGAAAGGATGTGATATTCGCTTCTTTCTTCATGTTTGGCATTGCGCGCTTCCTGGGCTGTCCCGGAGGATACGATGCAAAAGCACGGTGAACGGGATCGTCTTCGTCGGACCAACATTGCAGAAGCATGCATGTTGTTTTCTAGCGGCAGTAATCTCACAGGAGCGCTAACGCACAGGTCGTCCGACACATCGTGGTCTTGGAATAAGCCGACGGAGATGCGGTCAGCGACGCCTAGTTGGGTGTAGCCTCGTAGCAGGGCCTTGTTCTAGGCAAAATGACCCTGTCGTCAGGATGTGGTCCTGTCCATGTTTGTGTTTCGGCTAAAGTAATCTTGTAGTTTGCGAAATGTGTCCTACGTTGGTCAGCCATACATTTGTGCATTGGGAATGAGGTCACGAAGCGGCGAGACGCAGAGTAGAGAAGCCGGAATGCAGTCCTCATAGCCCACTGGTGCGAAAACGCGGACTGTCTGTGGAATTTTCGGAGTTGAGATGATAACCACACCGTTTATGAATTGCGGCAGCTCATAGACAGCGCACCGCGGCCAATGCTCGTTGGCGTGTGCGGCAGGGTTGCATCCGCTGGTATCTCAGCATGGTGTTGCCAACAGGTCTGGGAAAATGCAAGTGTCAGGGAGAGGAGACAAGATAGCACGAAAATTTCAACGCCGAACGCAAGAGAGGTGACGTTGAATGTGCAATTTGGCACTGCGAGAGTATGCAGCAGAAAGGGGTTGGGGGGATTGGATTTGTTGAGGGCGGCAAAGTGTGTATGTTCCATTACATTGGAAGGAGCGATGGTCAGTGACTATCAGCGGTCGCGACTTCTGTTTCCGTGTCGGGTTTGGCACTCTGTACCTTCCTGGGGCGCAATTAACATGCCCCTACTCCGTACTCCGTATGTGTGTCGTACCTTCCCGTGTCCGTGTATCGAGAACAACGGCGACTACATATTGTGATAGATGGACCCAACACCCGTCTCTTTGCGCACTGTTCTTGCTGCAGTTGTCCACCATCAAAGATAAAAGACTATATGTTGGTCATTTCTCTGATTTTTACGTCGCACATGCTGATGCATATGCATGGGCATTTACCATTTACAGGTGCAATGCAACCCAACAGACAGACCCCCTTGAAAATTACGTGCAGAGAAATGGCGAGGCGAAGTCCACGTTGACACAGTATCGACAAGGCTAAGGCTACTCAAGTCGACAAACTCAGTCCGTGTCTGCAAAGAACGAAGGCGTATCACTCTTCCCTCGTGTCTTACGCCGCAACCAGGTTGCGTGCTCGGCACTTTTGTTACCTTTCACTGTTCATGGCTCGAGTCGTTCTCAGCTGCGTGTTGAGGCACCCGGGTGTATTTGGCGGTAAAATGAAAAGTATGTCCCGCATAAGCCGGTTGACTTCTGGGCTGTTCGCCTAGATCTTGCTCATGTCTGCCGTCGCCTATTTTCTCGCTTGTGCGGCATTGTATATTGCGTGCCAGTTACTTGGAGGCTTTTTTACTTTCTAGAACACCAGACGAGACGGCTAAGATGCCAATGCTCAAACTACGAATTCTTTATCAGCGGACAGGAGAGAATAACCAAAATAGAAGTGCTTGGCACAAACTGCCGTAAGGCATCAAAGAGACACAGGGCATCTGTGGTTGTACAATGTCGTGCTCGATTCTGCGCGGATGTTGCTACTGGCCGTCTTTCTCCCGAGGGCGTCCATTGTTGACTGGGGATAAAGCGGTACATTGTAGTAGTGCAGGTAAACGGAGAGCTTCCGTCCGGAAAGCCGCATAACAGCTGCAGCTACAGTGGACGACGGATGGTGTGCCTTGATATGTCTGGAATGAAATCTAGCAATGCGATAGGACCCCAGACACCTTGGAAACGACGGTGTAGTGCCACCCCTTGGAACACACATCTGCGTTGCATTGGCGTAGCTTGGGCCAGCCGGGAAAATACCGATATCTGGCGACTGGTTAATGTGCAATTTCGCGGAAGCAGGTCGTGATAGGCTTTACTGGCTACGAGCTCTCCCAATCCCGTCCACCACCCGTTCGTCGCCCGTTCTTTGGCCCCATGCAACGTCTGGACCATGGCTGGCTAGTCTTGGTTTCAGCACAGGTTGGGACAAAAAAAGTTGAAAATACACAAAAAGGCAAAAATGTAAAAGACATCCGAGTAAAAACGTGCCGTTTTATCAAACCATCGGCAAAGTGCCTTGACCAAGAAGCCTTACCGCCTTTTTGCGTTTCCAAACAGGTTCCAGCCGCCTCCCTCTCCGCTTTTATTTCTGATATCGGAGGAGTTTTTGGCACTAGGAAAGCCTTGAGAAATGGTGGTAAAATGGAGAAAACATTCAGCATCAACAACTGTGCATCCGGCTCCGTCGGAAGCTTGGTTACTTTTTGAAAAGTAAAATGGAGTGAAGAGAGGGGAGACGGGCCGAACAGAAGCTTATTGCACATGCGGCGTACAAGGTGAGATAGGTAGCTGTTTTATTCCTCATGAAGTAGGTCATCACGGCCCACATCCCCTTCTCCGCCTTGGGTGTTAACCGTACCTTCCCATTGATGGAGACACCGTCAAATTCATTTTGTGCTGGAGCAAGATACAAGAGTGGCGATGCACGAAAACAGAAATAGCGAGCAACCCAGTCTCTTAGGCGCCCGCTTGGTCGACACAGCCAGAGCCCCTTCTAGAATGGGAAACAAGAGCCACAGTGAGGACGGCAGAAGTGAGGAAGGGACGGGATGGTCGCAACTGGCAAGAACGAACAGTTCGCAATAGATGGGGTAGGTGGGGGAACAAGTGTGCGTCGCTCTTTCTTACACTTCCAAAGTTGGATTGTTTTGGTCCACCAAATTTACGGCCGCTTGATTGAAATCACAGCAAAAGCGGCAGCAAGGACAAGGACGGTGTTGTTCTTGCAAGAGCTGGCCGACATTGCGCGGAAGAGAACAAGGGATCGCGGGTGCCGTCCAGCCTTTGTCCAAATCGGGACATTTCTAGCAAAGGCGATAGAAGAGCACATGAAACCAAGCGGAAAGTGCGCACGGTAAGGAAGGCGAAGTCGATGCTGCCGGTTGTTCTTTCCGTTTGTCTGTATCATGTTGGTTTGCAGGGCAGGTACGTTTGACTTCGTTTCCTCTCAGTGGAACAACTGGGATGCATCGCACTGCTCTTTAGCAGTCATCCCCTTTTCCTTCTGACACAATGACATGCTATATTATGTAGGGATCCTCGTTTGTCTTTTTTCAACATGAAATTCCTTGCCCCATATCTGTTCCTCCATTCCTCTTGTGCATCTTGATGTCTTCTCTAGCTGCATACTGGACACGTCAAGGCACCGCAACTTGTAAATGCTCCGAATACGGGCCGGTGAATATCTCGTTTTTACTTCGGAGAAAGCGCTGTTCATGTCTCACTGACTTCTGTCCGAGACGATGGATCGTCGTCAATGCTTGTCTTTATTTCTCTTTGTCAGATATTCACAGATTCATTCAGAAACCTTGCCTCAATGGGCTTTTCCGAGAAAACTTTGGCTCGAGATTGAGTCTACCATTTCTCCTGTGCTTGACCACTTCAGGCCTACCTTTATGTTAGTCAAAGGCCGAGTCACATCATGCAGAATTTGGTCGCGGTCCGTCGTCAACAGGGGCCAATTGGGAGACGACGGCGTGAGAGGGTGTCGGGGGGATGGCCAGAATGTTTTCGGAGGCAATGCATTCATGGCACGAATAAACCCACAAGCAATCCAACGGACCCTGCCTCATGATGATCCTAACGTAGTCCCCGGCCTATGGAAAACTGTCGCGTATTCGCCTCTATGAAATGTCGGGGCTGCCTGCCCACTCTTCGAAGTTTCTCCATGTCAACACACCGGCCCTTTGCTTTTTATTAGGGTTTGAATTACAGGCACCGGTCCGAAGAAAGAAATTTCTTGGATGAAAAATACCAAGCAGAAATATATTCAAATATATCGGTCACAGAAGCGGTGAACGTAGGGCTCGCGGTCACTTCGTTACCTTGTGAGAGGCTCGGATGTGTCTTTCTTATCCCGAGCCTACTATATCCGTTTACGTCAATTTTTGCTACCACAAACAAGGAATTGCGAGAGATAATCTTCATTGGGACCTGCCATACGTCTTCAAAGGTATTCGTGCGTGCCAGAAGGACAGAAGATGGACTGCAGCCAGATGTCTAAGGACCATCCTGGCAGACCGGTTCACCATCGTCATTTGGGACTGAATGTGTGCGCGCAAATGGTGTCGTTGATTTGTCAAAATGCGTCGTGTACCTCATCGGGGAGAACATACCGTCCGTCTCTTCTAAATCATCGATTTTATTGTTGCCATTTACTGCTAGATGTTAGGTCGATTTCCATCAGATACAAGTCGTTGTTAATTGTCGCGCAGCGTTTATTCGTGATCTTTTTTTTTTTTTTTACAGAATGGCGTTAACCTATCTAGCGAATGTTAATATGGCAGCCCTCTCATGTCGAATTGGGCAGCATGGGCTTATTTCGGCGCTCTTGTCGATTCGTGAGACATTTGATGGTGCCAGTTTGCATGGATCAAAGCTCATCGATGCCACCATAGCTACCCAAAACGAGAGCAATTTTGAAAGAGACTGCAAGGTAACATCAGCCCAATACCCGTTATTCGCGTCACGTATCGAAGGCTGGAGAAAACATATCGCTCACAAGCTGTTGGTCGCACTGGGTTGCAGCTTTTCAAGCCACCAACTTTGTTTTGCTCAACTATACAGCGCCAGACCGCTTCGGACCATCCCGAAACAAGGCTGCTACCCAGGTAACAGAGACCTGAAAAATAGAATGGAGCTGTCTCGTCGTTCTAGCACACCATACTTTCAACTACCGCTGTACAAATTACACGCATGGCCGCAGTTTTGGCCAAACGGGAGGCCCCAAACCAACAGTTTTGCTGCGCGGATTTTTTACTTGTTCCCAGAGACGGGACGTTGGACGGTTAACTCCTTTCTTCAGGCCCCAGAACATGCGGCCAGGTTGGGGCCAGGATGGGGGCAAGCGAGCGGATGTGTTTCCTGTGCCACCAAACTGCGTCCGGATCTGAACTAGAAACAGGTTTCTGGGATTCCTAAGTACCGAGACGGGTCCTGGAAGGATTTGTGCCGTGTCAACAGTTTCAAGGAAACGACGAGGCTAACGGGGCAGGAAATGTAGGAAGACAACGAATAAGCGACAGAAACGATGGCTTCAAACATTGAGAGAAGCAATTACGTTACGATGAAGACGATGAAGACGATGAAAAACGTGCAGAGATAAAATAACAATATACAGGTCAGACGTGGGATGAAATACAGGAAAATACAAGACTGCCACGAAAAAAGGTCCGCACAGATGTCCTGCTTCTGCTCCAATGCCCCCCAGTGATGAAATGAAGAAACGCATGCACGGTCAGCCAAAAACCCTCATTAGAACGTGCTCGAAGCCAGCCGGCTGGCAGCATTGCGTGCGTCCACCCGGTCGTCGTCCTCCTCCTCCTCGTTAATGACACCCGGTATGCTTGCGGGACGCAGCATGCCCGAGCTGGGATCGTACTCGTCCGTCGGGCTGCCCAGGCCACCGGTGCCTTCACCATCGTCACCTCCAGCCGGCGCCCGTGCCAGGACAGCATCGGAGCGGCGCGGAACACCGCTCCACGCGTCGCCCTTGGGCCCTTGGCTTGCGGCCAGGCTGGTACGACGGACATTTGTTGGGTGCGACTCGCGACCGAGGCGGCTCAGGCCGCCTGACCCGTCGATGCTGCGGATGTCGGCGCGGACGCTCTCGAGCAAGGACAGCGAGCGGCGCTCGGCCTCGATCTCGCGAATGACAAGCTCGCGGATGCTCAAGCGAAGGTCGGCAGACGTACGTGTAAACCAGCGGCGACGTTCCTGGACGAGATTGGCGGTGACGCGGGTGGTCTTTTGGATAAGCTCGGCCTCGTTCTGGCGGGCGTCGTCGAGTGCGGTGATGGCCTCGTCCACCTTTTCACGGCGGACGTTGGAGCTGTTCTTGAGACGGTCGGTAGCGTTGAGGCGGCCGCGGGTGGTCTCTTGGGCCTGGAGCAGCTCGCGGATGAGCAGCTGGCGGTTGGTGAGGGTTTCCTTGAAGATGAGGGCATCCGAGGAGTGGTACTCGAAGGGGTCGCCAATCGTAGTGGCCTCGGCGGTGGCCTGGACGGCCTGGTAGTCGCCGGCGGTCTGGAGGATCTTGCCGAGCTTGCGGTAGGCATTGGCCAAGCCCTGGTGGGGTTCCTGAACATTCATAGCACCGAGCTTGACACCAAAATCGGACTCGGCCAGGCCAAGGCCGCGGCGAGCCTTGACGAGCTTGTCGACCTTGTGGCAGGCATCCATGGTGCCCAGGTAGAAGAGCTTCACGGTAGGACGGGCCGCCTGCAGTTCAGGGGTGTCGTCTGCGGGCGGGGCGAACTGCTTGAGAATCTTGCGGCGCACGCCGGTGGCGGGTTGCTTCTTTTTGACCATGGGGCTATAACCAAAGTCGCTCTCAACAAAAAGGACCATCTCTTCGTCGCGAATGAGCACTTCGTTGCTGCAGACATAATTGAACCAGCGCTGCATCTGGGCCTTGACGCGAGCCTCATCTTCGTCGGTGCCGGCGCCTGCGGACGTCACGGGCCCAGGGACGGCAGGCACGAGGGCTTCGGGATTCGCTGAGATGAGATGCTCCGCCAGCTTCTCAAACTCGGAGTGCAGGCGGCGCACGTCGCGGTATTGGGTGGTACGGAAGCGGGGAATGTTCGTCTGAAAACCATGTCAGTACACTAGACAAGAAACAATACCACCTTTGCTGACTTGGCCACTTGCCCACTTCGACCAGACCCAGGCATCGACTCACATGAACATCAAAGCGGAAGATCGGGTCTTTCTTTGCGCTCCGCTCTAGCGCCGTAATCTTGACCTGCAGCTTGTACTGTGGTTGCGGCGGCCGTTGCGGCTGCTGTTGTTGTTGTTGTTGCTGCTGCTGCTGCTGCTGCTTCAGCTGTGAATCACCTTGCTGGCCAACGGCCGATGGATTGGCGGGGTTTGGCGGCAAGGGCGAGTGCTGGTCGTTATGCTGCTGCTGTTGGTACGAATAGTCGTCGGCACCACCGGCCGCTGTCGCGTCGGACACGCTATCGGCATTGGAGGTCGACTGCGTGCTGCTCGCCGTTCCTGGCCGACGATAGTCTGCGGCGTCGCCTGCACCTGTGCCAAACCCGCCATTGTCGTCGCCGCCACCCAAAAAGTCGTCGCGGTCGCTGCCACTCAGACCGCTGCTCGACGCCGTAAAGGGTCGTTGGTACGGCGACTGGGACGGATCACCGCCCACGCCGCCAGCACCGAAACCGCCGGTGCGCTGGGGTTGCTGCGGCGAGGTCTCAGGCGAACCCCACGGGTCGCCGCCCGAGTGTTCATTGTCCTGGTGGATGGAGGCGCTGTAGTCCATTGTGGCCCCGGGTATATGACCAGGCGAGGGAGACTGTCGAAATATCGGTTGGGACGCCGCGAGGGTCAACTGGGGGCGATGAGGAATCCGATTGCCTGTCACAGATGGACCGTCCCAATGGTGGGAGGCGGGCCGTCAGCAAGGTCGTACGTCTGTGAACCAAATTGTGCAATGTCCGCCTAGCTCGCAGGAGTGAGGACGAGAAAGGAGGTGGAACGGGGGGCGATCGGCAGGTGGTGATGTCGACAGCTGGACGACGTATCGTGAAGCTGACGTCGTTGCGTTTTGCCGGTTTTCGTGTGACCTAGGCTCCTGCATTCTTTCCCCGTCGAGAATGCGAGAGACAGCAGGAGCCAGTGAGAGCGGCGTACTTCGGAGGCAGCGACGGGTGGCTCGTGGGCGACGGTGGCTGTGGGTGGAGCAAGGTGGGGCCAGTGGGAGCATGGGCCAAGAACAGCAAGAGCGAACCAGACGAGCTTGCAGGAAGCGGGTTAGCGCTTTTGTGTGGAGTTGGAGGTCAGGTGACTGCATCCAGGACCTGAAGCTTTTCAACTTCATCGGCTTTCAATGAGACGACAACGTCGGACGCCAAACTAGGCCAATTGACCTCTTCACGTTGCTCCGAGGTCTAAAACTGCCATGTCATCACGGCCAGCGGTCAATCGGTACCGCAGCTGGCGTGTGCATCTATTTGGCCAGCTATCAACAAGAACAACAGCAACAACGGCGAGAATAATACCAAGCCCAAGAGCAGCATGCTTGACATTGAGCCTTGGCTTTACGCGAGCTGCATCCACAAATGCGGTGTCCAGTGCCGCGTACCATGACGCAAAAATAGAAGACATTCGCAACATCGGCATCATTGCTCATGTGGACGCAGTACGTGTCTGAGGTCTCATATGAGAAGCTTTTTCCTTTTTTTCTATTTTTGAAACATCAATTTTTGTGGTCTAATAATCAAACAGGGCAAAACAACCACGACAGAACGCATGCTCTACTACAGTGGCGTGTCAAGGCATCTCGGAAGTGAGTAACCCATTAACTGTGTCTCACGTACAGAACCCCGTTAACCAGCCAGACGTCGACCATGGCGACACCATTACGGACTTTCTGCCAATGGAGCGGGCCCGTGGCATTACAATCCAGTCGGCCGCCATCAGCTTCAACTGGCCGCCCAAGCAACATCTTGCACAGGGCCAGACGCCCAAAACGATCAATCTAATCGACACGCCCGGCCATCAAGACTTTCGGTTCGAGGTCGACCGCTGTCTTCCGGTCCTCGACGGTGCCGTGTGCATCATTGATGCTGTTAAGGGCGTCGAAGCGCACACGGAGCGTGTGTGGGCGTCGGCACAGCAGTACAGCATTCCGCGGCTCGTATACGTCAACAAGCTGGACCGCGACGGCGCGTCGTTCCAGCGGTCCGTGCTTGACGTGGCCTCGCGGCTCAACGCCTGGCCGCTCGTGTGCCAGATCCCGCTGTGGGACAAGACTGGCGACGAGTTTCAGGGCGTCGTGGACGTGCTTGAGCGGCGGGGTCTGCGGTGGTCGTCCAACGGCACTTGCTCGCTCGTCAAAGAGCAGACGCTGCGGGCCAACGAGGCGCTGTGGGACGAGATGGAGACGGCGCGCGTCAAACTCATCGAACGGCTGTGCGAGGACGACGACGAGCTGGTCGAGGCGTTTTCCGAGCAGGGAGCGGACCTTCCGTCGTCGCTGGTCAAGGCCAGCATCCGACGTGTGGTGCGGACGGCTAACGGCAGCGTCGTGCCCGTCTTTGCGGGGTCGAGCCTGCGCAACATCGGCGTCGAGCCGCTCCTGGATGCCGTCGTAGACTACCTGCCGAACCCGCAGGAGACACACGACGTTGAGGTGCGCATTGGCCAAGAGGCCAGGATGCTGGGCGATGTTATGGCGCGAGACGTGGCGACCGAGGGTGGAAAGAAGGCAAAAGGCGGCAAGGGCAACAAAGCATCGACCGACCCCAGCAAGACGGGCGCCTTGGCATCCGTGTTCAAGGTCGTCAACGACCCAAGTCTGTTTGCAGGTACGCATGGCATGCTGACATTTGTGCGCGTCTACCACGGATCGCTGCACAAGAACGCGCAAGTGTGGAACGCCAACCTGGCCAAGTTCGAGAAGCCGTTTCAAATTGCACAGGTGTCGGCCGCCAAGATCGGCGAGATCCCGTACCTGGCGCCGGGGCAGATCGGCGCCGTTACGGGTCTCAAGTCGGCGCGGACAGGCGACACGCTGCACATTCTGCCCACCTCCACCCAGAACATGAATCTCACAACGGCCGACCTGCGCGCCATGACGATCCGACCGCCGGACGTCGGGCCTGCAGTGGCTTTCGTGTCAGTCGAGGCGTACGGCCAAGTGGAGACGAAGAAACTGGCCGACGCGCTGGACAAGATCTCCCGTGAAGACCCGAGTTTGCGGTGGCAGCGCGGCGAGGAGGCCGGCAGCGAAGACACGTTTGTGCTGTCGGGCATGGGCCAGCTGCACCTGGACGTGGCCATGGACCGGCTGCGCACGACATACCGGGTGAACGCATCGTTCAGTGACGTGCAGGTGGACTACAAGGAGTGCCTGGCCACGGCGACGACGGGCCCGACACGGCACGTCTACGACCGCACAGTGGCCAACAAGGCGGGCATGGCAGCGTGTACGGTGGAAGTAGAGCGCATTGAAGAGGGCGAAGCGAGCGAGCTGCAACAGCAGCAGAAAACACACAGGGACGAACCAGGCGAGGCCTCGTTCTACTTTCAGCGCGACGGAAATGTCTTCGTCATCCGGTTTGAGGGCGGCGGCGAGAACACTGTGTTCCCCTTTGACCTCGACATGGTCAGCCGCCAGCTGTTCAGCGGCGCCTACGGTGCCCTTGCTCGCGGCCCCCGTCGCGGTTCGCCGCTGCACGGCTGTAAAGTGACGATTGTCTTCAACGCGAAGACGGACTATGGCGGCGCCGACACGGACGGCCACATTGTGAACGCGGCATTGCACGGCGTACGCAACGCGTTGCGGGGGGCGCATGACAAGGGCCTGGTGGGTGTTCTCGAGCCAGTCATGAACGTACGCATTGCGTGTCCCGACGACAGTGCGGGCGCCATCCAGCGAGACATCACGGGCTCCCGAGGCGGCGTCGTTCTCGAAGTCCGTGAGAGCTCGTCGGCGGGCGCGTCGTCGTCAACCTCATCGACGGCCGGTGACTCTCCCATCGACCTCGCTCAAGTGTACGCGCCGCCCGATCCGTACGTGTCCATCCAGTCCCTGCGCGAGGCCAAGCGCGGCGTGACCCGTCTCCTCGAGATTGTGGCCAAGGTCCCGCTCAAGGAGATGCTGGCGTACGACACGCGGCTTCGCAGCATGACGGGTGGACGCCACTCCTTCACGATGGAGCTGGGCAGCTTTGAGCGCGTGGTTGGTTCACGGGAAAAGAATGTGTGAGATGGGAGGGTGGGAGGCCTGGACGGGGAGAAGCGGAGCGAGAAATCGAAGGCTAAAAAGCCGTATGTACAATATATAAGATATGTCGATATCCACGTGAAAACATGAGCAAAATGGATTGAATACGAAATGGTGGCAGGCATATCATGAATTGATAGCTGGAAAGGCAGTGTAAGTCTTGAACTGCCATATACAAGTATATGTATATGTATATCTAAGTATGTCTATCTCAATACAATATATACGCACGTAAATCGAGTTGCATGCGAAATTTTCTGTCAATAAATCATAAGCGCGACACTTATCTCGTTTCGTCCCTTAATTCACATTATGAGGCTCAGAATGATATCACCATGTAGTGTATTTAGCGTGTTTGAACCACTATATGCGCTAAAATTCTGCGACGCCGTAAAACGACAGCCTTGCCAACCCAACCTAACAACAACCTCAACTGACACGAGCGCCTGTCACGAACACCGCCCGAGATGTCGCACTTGACAAACCCACTCGCCACGGCCGCACAGCTGGCCCGCTGCCGTGACCGCGCCGCGGCGCTGCAGCTGCCCAGCGAACTGCTCGACGCCGTCTTCTTCGCGACACAGCGCTTGACCCAGGCCGCCGGCTTGCTGCTCGAGCTGCCACAGTCGACGACGGCGCGGGCCAATGTCCTGCTGGCGCGGTACTGGGTGCAGGCGCCTGGGTTCGACATTGACGAGTCCCGCGCCACGGACTACCGCCACGTCTCGGCCGCCGCCGTCTACCTCGTGGCCAAGACAGGACCGCTCCCACGATCGGCCCGAGACATTGCCAATGTGTACCACTATCTGGCAGTGGCCGGTGCTGCAGAGGGCACAACCGGGGGCGCGAGCAACGATACCGAGTACGCCGCTTTCCACACGCACGTTCTCGCCTGCGAGACGCGCCTGCTGGACGTGCTCGCGTTTGAAACGCATGTCGCCTTGCCCCATCCTCTCGCCATCACGTACCTGCAAACCCTCAGCTTCCTGGGCGACACCGGCCCGCCAGCCGACTCGGCCCTCGCCCACCGCGCCGTCCAGTACCTCAACACGGCCCTGCTGTCGCCGCAGCTGCTGTATGTCACGCACCAGCCGCACGAACTGGCTGTCGCGGCTCTCTACAGCGCGGCGCGCGACATTGGCGCCCGACTGCCCGACGCAGCCGGTCCGTGGTGGGAGGTCTTTGACGTCGACCGCGAGACGCTGGGGTTTTTGGCGGTGGCGCTGCGCAGTGTGGCGTCGTGGGCGGCAGCAGCACAGCTGCAACAGATAGCGCCGGCTCTCTTTGCGTCGGTTGGTGGCGGCCTGACAAAGAAGAGTGTTTATGCGCAAGCGCAACGGGTAGGGGAGGAGTGATAAGAGGCTACTGGAGGCTCCTGGAGGCTACGGATGTAACATTTGTGATTTGTACAGGCGTTTGGGTTTTTTGTTGGTTAGCATGGAATTGCTTTACGAGGATACAGATTCGTCCTACTTAGATATCCACTTTTGATTTACGATGTGAATAAAAGACCGTCACATTGCAATGTTTGTCAAAAACTCGTGTATTTCGTTTGCCTTTCTGGAAAGCAATTCTCCAGCTACGACGGACCTGGATTCGCGTCTCGTCGCGCCTTGGCTCCGGCCCGGAGCTTTTCCCATTTCTCACGGTACTTTTGCAATGTCTTTTCCTGGTGGGCCCGCTCCTTCTCCGACGCATCCAGCCGCTGCAGCGCCTGCGCCAGCTCCTCTTCCAGGTCCCGTGTTTTTGAGAGCAAGGACGCTGTGTCCAAGTTCGAGTCGGCATCCGCAGACGTGCCAAGACCGCCGGTGTTCATGCTGCCCGCCCCACGATTCGCCTTGAGCGAGGCCGCGGCTGCCGCTGACGCTGCTGCTGCCGCTGCCGCCGCCGGCGTCAAAGACGACGTCGACGCCCCAATTCCGCTCCCGCCTCCACCGCTGTTCGGCGACCCCGGCCGCATGAACCGCATACTCTCCTGCAACGCCATGTGCGACTGCTGCGCACTCGCTTCGAACGTGTGCAGCCGCCGGCTCAACTTGTCCAGCATGTTCTTCAGACCTTGGTTCTCCGTGTACAGCTCTTCGATCAAGTGGTCCACCGCTGCCACGCCCGACTTGGCTCCCAGCTGGTGCATACGGTTGCCCCGTGCTCGGCTGCTCGTCGGCGACGGCGGCTGCTCCTTGGCATCGACGAAATCGTCGTCTCCGTCGTCGGCCACCTCGGGGATCTCGTCCATCATGCCGCCACCGCCGCCACTTCCGCCATGGAACGATGCCGCCATCTGCCGCCGCTTTTCCTTTTGGTCGAAACTCAAAATATTCGCATACGACGCCGTGTGGCCCGTCTTGGGCACCACATAGAACGAGTCGTTGGCGCTGCCCATGTGGCCTGCCGTGTCGCGGCCCAGGGCGCGCAGGGCGGCGCGAGAATAGATCTGCGACAGATCTGGCTCGGCAGCCGACGACGTGGACAGCTGCGACGATGAACGGCCGTGAGCTGGGTGCCTGGGCGCCGCACCAGCCTGTCCGTGCGCCTCTGCAGTCGTCGAAGCTGGCGCGGCGTCTGATGCACTCGCCTCTTCCGTGATCAGCGGCAGGCCTGCAAAGGCGAGTGGCGCCGACAGCCGGTTGATGATGCTGCCAAACCGGCTGTAGAACCGGGAGAAGCCCTCGTCGGCCTTGGCCATCACCTCGCCCTCTTCTGTCTCTGTGCCCACAAACATGTGCGGATGCGACTGTGGCTGGGCTGTCGGCGGCACCCAGCTGGGCTTGGCCTGCTGTTGCTGCAGCACACTCTGCATCTGCGCACGAGACCCGCCGCCCTCTTTGCGCCCAGGCGACGCTTCGAGGTTGCCGGGTGCCTGGTCGTTGGAGACACTGGGTGCTGCAGGCTGGCCCCGATGGTGCAGACGGGCAGCAGCCGACCCGCCGCGGATGCCGCGTGCCGACGCCAGGTTGTTCGCAATGGACGACGACAGCTCGCGGGACGGAGGGTAGCGACGGGCCCCGGCCTGGATGTTGGCCATTGCAGCAGCTCCGGCTTGGTGTGCCGTGGCCGTCGCAGACATGGACGCGGCCGCGGCCGATGCGCTGCCGCCGCTTGCCGCGCCGCCCGAGGCGCCATCACCCCCACCAGCGAAGCCACCCGCCGTGCCACCTGCTGCCCGTCCGGCAAACTCGCCGCGCGAGACTACCCCGGACACAGACGTCGTTGTCGCAGCCGTTGCAGCTCCACTCCCCGTCACGGCGGCCTTTCCATCCCCGGCACTTTGCCCTGCTACTTTCTCGTTGATCGAGTCGCCGTCCGGTTTCTGTGCCAGTGCCCCGCCGGCGCCTGGCAGCGGGTGCTCAAGCGAGTATCGCAGCAGCTGCGAGAGCCGTTGGTGGTGCTGCTCGAGCAGCCGCAGCGTGCGCAGCGCTTCGGCGCTCGAGGTGTCGCTCGCGGCCGTGGCGAACTCGCCCGCCGCCAGCGCATGCTCGTTGACTGCGACGACGGTGTCGGCGGCGTGTGTTGCAACAGATGCTTCGCGAGCATGGTCGTGAGCCTAGATGGGGAAGCAAGGTTAGTCCGCAAACTCGAGATGGGTTACACAGGCCACGAATCCGACATGTCGACATTTTGGTTGCCTACCTTGATCAGCGGCGAAGCCTCCATCGTGAGGCCCGCGTGAGATGTCCCTCCAAGCAGTCACAGTCGGTTCTAAAATGTAATCGCCAAGAAGCTCTCTGGCTTCTGTATTGGTATCGTGAAATTCGAGGTGACCTCAAGACCGGTTGGATGATGGTTCGAGGATGACGATGTCAGCGTCAACTGAGTGAAGTGTGACCGATTACGGGCGATAAGGAGGCGGGAGGTTAGCGAATACTGTGTTATGTAATATTCACACTGTGGAATGTGTACGGTACATGAGCTACGATAGGCACAGTGCGATACCGTCACCCCGCCGACTCTCACTCGCTACTTCCTGAAAGTGGCTGGCTGGCTCTGTGCCTTCCCCCTTGGTGTACGAATGTAGCTTGGCGACAACGCCAAGGAAGGGACAATGTGGCTACTTGCTCGATCGTGATTTACGAACGACCTGGGAGGGAAGTAGCAACCATGACAAGGGGGGAAACAGAGGGAGAGAAAGGTAGGTAGCCTGATTCGCCCCAGGGACGGCAAGATGCTGGAGTAGCACCTTCCCACGTACCTCAAGAGTCGCAAATGCAACAGCCTGTACTATCAGTTTAATTCGTAGTCGAATGGGGGAATTGATGGGCAGGAGCACATGAGCATATGTAGGAAAGTATCGTCGATTCCTTTCCGCGCCGCATCTTCGCGTCGCCTCTTTTCCCCCCTTTTCCTTCCCATTCACCAAAACCCGCCGACATCACCACCTCCATCCCCCAGGGCCTCGGATCTCTCCGTCAGCTCTCACGTTGCAGGAGTGACCCCACGTTTCGCAGAGCACACGGCCCAATTCTGCTGATGCGCTGCCGGCCATTTTGGAGCCCCCTGTTTTGACTTGCTATTTTTATGTTTTTGTGTTAAAACCTGCTCCTCTTTTGCTGTCTGCGTTTCTACGTTTTACTCTTTTTGTTCTTTTTGCTCCTTTTTACGTCCTTGTCACCACGCTGCCTGGGCAAGCTTGCGCGGCCAAGCAAGACCGACCCACTACTGTTGCAGCAAATTGCGATCACGAGCGTCAAGAACATAACGGTGTCCAGAGGAACCCGAAGCGAGTCTCCAGCCCAAAAAATCCAATCCCAATCCGACACCCGGGACCCTGGATCCTTCAACATCGGCCGTCGAGGGCAGAGTACAGGACAGTCATTGCTTTTAGGAAAACCAAGAGACCATGAGACACCAAGTCTGACATTGTCAAAGACGGCTTATGTCAGATGTCAGACTGCGAAGCGGTCTGCGCAGCACGTTGAAACGCACGAAAACGAGAACGATCTGTGCCGAGACAGACGAAAGGGACAAGAGACCCTGGCTTGGCGAGGGACCGCGGAAGAGGCGGAAGCTCGTTGGCAACTGAGCAAGAAACAAATCAACAACACGACGTGAAGCCGCACATCAATAAAGAAGAAAAACCACCATCAGCGCAAGTAGCAAAATAAGCCCATCCACCCACGCGTCACGGATTTCGCAATTGCGCCGTCCCGCCGCTACCGAGTGCACCAAACCCTGTTTACTGGGCCCCATTTTACGAGGTACGAGAGAACGAATACGGAGCAAAACGTCCTGTATTGCAGCTCGTAGCGCTCGATAATACGACGCTTGCTCGTCGAGCTCTTGGAGCTCCCAAGCTATCCTGTCACTCTTCAGCTCGCCAGCTTTCCAGATTCCCAGCTCCCCACTGACCCAGGCAGCACACAAAATTGCACAGGCGCATTCCAGCTGCTCGCAGCACGTCCGCATCTCGGCCAGTCACTGGACGGCCCATCCAGATACACACGAACATGTCAGCGGAATCAAGCCCGGCCAACAGCATCAACGGCGGCAAGGGAACAAACAACCGTGGCAAGCTGCCCAGACCCAAGTCGATCCGGCGCTGGAAGCGGTCTGCCCAAAAAGAGCCGACCGACGACGAACCAAATCGATCGCGAGGGCGCACTGCCCTGAGCCAGCAGACCACAGCCACTGGCGACGACAGCCTGCTCAACATGGTTGACGAGGAGGACGCCAGCGGGCGATCCGACGACGATCTGCTGTGAGTTTCCTGTTCTCTTTGTTCAGCAGTCTTACATTTGCTGCGTCGTTTGCATTCATTTGTTTCCCAGTCGTTCTGTCTACATGCAAACCACATACGCGTGTTTGTTGTGAAGGCATGTCTACGTTGCTTTTCGCTCCCCTCCCATCTCTCGTGGCCAGGCAACAGTGACTCGCTCTCCTCTCCCGGTTCTGTAACGCTGAAGACAGGCGGCCAATTGTCCCAACGGCCAAAATACTCTCCATCTCGCCTCACGTTGCTGCGTTTTGTGCCGTCAACATTTTGGCTCTCTGCCTCGTGTTTCTGCCTCTTTTTGGCTTGTTGTATCTCATCGCTGGTTTTCTGGGTACTTTCGCCGCCCTGTCGCTTCGTGACGTCGTCGGCTGAATCATCCTCGAAAATCCTTGCCTCTGTTCCCCAGCTTCGTCCCTGCCTTTTTTGCCTTCGCCCTGAACTGCATTACGACCGCTCTCGTCTTAGGAGCTTTTGCTAGTTCATTAGCTTATCCTTTCTTTCTTCGCTCTTTTTGTGCTTTTATCCTGCTCACCTTTTGCCAAGCCCGCTGCTGAGCAGCGGTCAATTGACTTTGCCCAGATTCTACTTTTTTTTCCCGACGCTTCCAGTCCAGCTTATTGTTTTCTCTTAACGTCCCGCTTCCTTCCCGTGTTCTCCTTCTACAATTAAATTTGTGTTTCTATTCCCCCTCACATCATTGTTTCCAAGGCGACATTTACATCTTGCAATACTCTCACTTTCTCTTCCGGCATGATTCTCTAACGTTCTCCTAAAGCCCGTCGCGCCCCAAGGGCCTCTCAACCCACCCATCCCAGATTGGCTACCTCACAACGTCATCACCACTAGTCCAGGCCAACCATCTCCAAGACATCCGCACTCCAGACGACGACGCAGAAGACCCTTTTGCGCGTGCATCAACGCTCCCACCGGAAACCACCGACTCCGACACGCTGGGTTACACGCTTCCTTTGTCCTCAAGCAAGACGGGCCTGGCGCCGCCATCGTCCAAAAGCCGCCGGTCCACGTCACCGGCTGGCCGTTTTCGCAGTGTATTCAAGTCCAAAAAGAGCCCGGCCGCGAGCATCGCCAGCACCGACAGCCACAGCCCTGAGCGACAGCGACCTGTCGATCTCATTCGAGCGGACACGGCCGAAGAAAGCAGCAAGAGCTCCAACTCGCCCGCCTCTAGTTTGCAAACCACGTCCTTCCCCTCCATTACCGTTGCCGACAGCTCGACATCCGCGACACCACCCTCCTCCTCCCACAGTGTGGCCGGCGCATCTCAGCACCAACCGGGTACCTCCAAGACCGCTCCCAACGAGCGGTTCCGGCGTGTCTCCCGTGGTCAAAAGGTTGACACGACAGCCCGCCCCGAAACACCGCCGTCCGACGAGAAAGCCACTCCGGTCATTGTCAACACACCCCCGACGCCGACTGACCCAAGCCATCTGAACACCATTGTTCGCCCTCGGACGGCTGTCACTGCGTCCCCTGACGCAGTCAGCTACAGCCCGGTCGGCCACTCCAACGGGTCCTCGCCTGCGTCCGTCAATCACAGTATAATCGCGCAGAGACGAAGCCGTGCCGGATCCGCTTCTCTAGTTCCAAGCAAACTCTCCAACTTTACCCTCGCTCCCCTCACGCCCACGCCCGAAAGCGGTGCGGTAACACCCTCTGCCAGTGGCTTCTTCTCGTCCGTCCTCTCTGCTGCGCAAAACGCCACAAACAGTCTGAGCAACGCGACCAACAGCTTTGGCAGCACCATCGCGAGCACCAATCTCACAGCCCCCTGGAGCAACAGCAGCAAGAAGACCGGTGGCAAAGACCAGGACGACAAAACCGGGTCGAGCCTCACTGTCTCTACAGAAGGCACCGGGGAGGACCACGACGACGAGGTTGAAGTTGAGTCGCTCGGCGCGCCGCTTGTTCCGTCCGTATCATCGAGCTCCAAAGAACCAGCTGTCAAAACACTTGGCATGGGTGATTTGAGCCTGAGCCAATTGGGCATCGCTGACCAGCCCAAGAACAACGGCAGTTTGGGCGGCAGCTCGGCCGCCAACTCCGCCAACATCTCTGCCATGGCCAACTCGCCGATCCTACATGCACAGAGGGTCGCTGAAGTGTCGTCCGAGTCCAGGCACCGGTCCGAGTCTGCGCCAGCGGACAGCTCTCATTTTCATGCGCCGTCCGACTACACAGACCACGGCAGTGATGCGGGCCATAGCGGCCGGCCCGGATCCGTTTCGGACTTCGCACACGACGACCGCACACCACCGACGGCCAGCCTGTACGGTGACAAGGAGCCAAAGGAACCAGCAGCCGTCCAGCGTACCGGGAGCATAAGGAGTGCGATTGGGCGCCGGAGAAACCGCGGCAGCTCCGCCGTGTCGGGCGGTACCATTGCTGCCGCGATTGCGGCCGCCAATGCGTCGGTCGCGCACCCGGCCCACGCCGGCAGCACGCCGAAGCTCACAGGATTTGCCGTTGCCAGTAAGAAGCGCAACCGGGACTTCCACAACTTCTTCAAGAGCGTGCCAGACGACGACTATCTCATCGAGGACTATAGTTGCGCGTTGCAGCGCGAGATCCTGGCGCATGGTCGTCTGTATGTGTCCGAGGGCCATCTCTGCTTCAGCAGTAACATTCTCGGCTGGGTGACGACACTCGTCATGAGCTTTGACGAGATCGTGTCGGTCGAGAAGCGCAGCACGGCCCTCGTCTTCAAGAATGGCCTGATGATTTCGACTCTGCACGCAAAGCACATCTTTGCCAGTTTTGCGAGCCGTGACTCGACGTACGACCTGATTGTGAAGATCTGGAAGCTTGGCCACCCCAGCCTCCAGAGCTCACTCAACGGTGTGCGCATCGACGAGACCGGCGGCGACAAGACCGAGAAGATTGACGAAGGCGACGAGGGTGCCTCTGCGGGCAGCCGCAGCGAGTCAGATTCGGGCGACGACAGCGACGACGACTCAAATGACGTGTATGACGAAGACGCCGAAGACGACGACGCACACGATGTGGCACAGGCCGCCGAGGCGAATGGCGGGGCAGCGGATGCCGATGCCGAGCGCACAGTGGCACGCAAGGTGTCGGGCACAGCGGCCGCCGCTGCCGCGAATGGAGCAGGGGGAGACAAGCCCAAAGATGCACCAGCGGCAGCGGGCGGCGCCGATTACCCCGGCCCGACGACGCACGCAGTGACCGACTGCGGCAACGCCGACGCCCACTACGACAAGGGTCTTATTGACGAAGTCATCCCTGCGCCGCTGGGCAAGGTGTTCAGCTACATCTTCGGCGGCGCATCCGCGACGTTTATGCCCAAGTGGCTCAGCAACGACCAGAAGTGCTTTGACATCCAGATGCAGGACAAGAAGGGCCTCGGCACAGACAACAAGTCGCGGACGTTCTCGTACATCAAGCCGCTGAACGCGTCCATTGGCCCAAAGCAGACCAAGTGCATTGTCACGGAGCAGGTCGAGGCGCTCGACTTTGACAAGGCGATCCACATTGTTTGCTCAACACAGAACCCGGACGTGCCGAGCGGCAACGTATTCACGGTCAAGACCAACTACTGCTTGTCGTGGGCGGAGGGCAACGGCACACGGATGCAGATGACGTGCACGACGGAGTGGTCGGGCAAGAGCTGGCTCAGGGTGCCGATCGAGAAGGCTGCCAACGAAGGCCAGGCCCAGTACGGCCGCGACTTGCTTGCAGGCCTTAAGGAGGCGGTGGCGACACGGTCACGCGCGGGCACAGCCACGAACGGCGCGGCGAACGGCGCCAAGGGCGGCAAAGCCGGCAAGAAGGGCCGCAAGGGCAAGGCGGGCGCGCTGGCCTCGGGACCGACCAGCGACTCGGAGCGCAGCAAGCCCAAGCCGTCGGCCAAGTCGGACTGGGGCGTGCTGGAGCCGGTGCACGGGATCCTGGGCCCGGCGGTGGACATTGTGAAGCCGCTGCTGACGGGCAACGTCATGTACGGCCTGCTGGTCGGGCTGTTGGTGGCCTCATGGTTCCGGTTCGGGTCGAACGGCAACAACAGCGGCGGAGTCGGCGGCGGCGCCTCGCGCCGCGGTGCCGGCTACCCCGACCGGCTGGTGGCGTACGAGGAAATGTGGCAGCGCGAGGAGAGCGAGCTCTGGGACTGGCTGGAGGAGCGGGTGGGGCTCGACCGGCTTATGGACAACGGAGGCGTGGTCAGCGGGGCGGCCGTCGGCCATGGTAGTGGCGGCGGCCGTGGAGGAAGCACCAAGGGTGGCGACGCAGCTCGCAAGCGGACCGTGGAGCCGCGGACGGTCGAGGAGAAGCTGCGCGAAGAACGGATGGACGACCGCGAGATTCGCGAGGCGATTCGCGTGACAGAGGAGAAGCTGCAGGTGCTGAAGGAGGTAGTGGACAAGCGGGAGAGGATGTCCGAATGAGTTGGGGGGGGGGGGGGCTGAACTCAAAAACTGGCGCCAGCACTACGGTCTTTTCTCTTTCTTTTTGTTTTCTTTCCTTTTTCTATTGTCTTTTGCTCTTAACAAAACCATTTCCTTTGTTCCATTTTCTTGCCAGTTGCAACTACTCCACTGTCTGTTTTCATTGTCTCCGTTTTCTTTTCTGTTGCATTTCTTGTACGATAACCCCTTCGGCGAGCATTTCTTTTGGCTTTTACTATCTATATTATTCCATCAATGCAATCGTATGAATTTGTGTAAATGATTGTTCTTTGTTCTCTGTGTTGTGGTATCATACTAGATGTATACAAATCTAGTTCTAAATAGTCCTTCCTATATCCATGCCGTGATCCTCTATGTCAATAAAGAGAAATAAACTATGTGGTAGAATGATAAGTAATAAAAATAATAAAAATAATAAAAAATAAAAATAAACAGAAAAAGCCGAATGCTTTATGAATACAATGAAGACGGGACACAGCTGCTTGTCTACCGCAGCAGCTGGCCAACATCACTCAGTCGGATGTCGTCCAGGGTGTTGTCGGCCGTCGCCTGGCCAATATTGGAGCGGTCGATGCGGCCCCAGCCGGCGCCCCAGCCGGGAAAGACACCGATTCCGCCGTGGCCAAGATGCGCAGGGCCCTCGCCATCCGACGAGAAGCCGTCGCTGTTGGTGGTGCCGCGCGGGTACCGCTGATGCGCGGCCGTTCGTGGGGGATGCGCCAGGCCGCCCATGGCAATGTCGCCGTCGTCTCCGGGCAGCCTGCCGCCGTGGCCGGTGGAAAAGGCCGGGTGCAGCGGATGGACCATCCGGCGGCTCGGGCGGTCGCCGGGCTCGCCGCTGTCGTCATGGTTGCCGCCGTAGCCGGCCGTGTTCGCGTTGGTGTATGTCGTCAGCGTGGCTGCGGATGTGTCCGAGTCGCGGTCGTGGTCGTGGTTGCGGTTGCTGCTGGAGGCGCCGCCGCGGCTGAGGAGGTGGCGGCCGCTGTGCGAGCGGGACGGCGCGGAGTGGCCGATGTTCGCGGCGGCGGCGGCAGCCGCCGAACCACCGGCGCCCTTTTTGCTGCTGCCGCCCTTGTTGTTGCGCGCGGCTTCGCGCTGGGCAGCCAGTTCAGGACTGGTCATAATGTCGATGCGGGCGTCGTCGCCGTCGTTTGTATAGTCGTCGCCGCGCATGCGGGCACCCGACCCGCCGCGCGACGAACCGCGGCCGCCAACGCCGCCGCCGCCGAGGACGCGGCCAAAGATGCGCCGACGGCGGTACTTGCGAGCGCCCATGCGTGGATACAAGAAGCCAGCCGGCTGGCCGCCCGCAAAGGGGTTCCAGTCCAGGGGTTCTTGGAAGGCTTTGGCCAGGGAGGACGACGAAGAGGCCGTGGCACCGCCACCAGCACCGTTGTTGTTGTTGTTGTTGATATCGAAATCGGCGGCAGCATTGCGACGGCGTCTGCGCCGTCGAGCGCCGCCACCGCCTCCGCCGCCGCTGCCGCCGCCGCCGATGCTGCCGTTGCGGCCCGCATTGTAGGACGTGGGCGCCTCGCCGGACAGCTCCTCGAGGGTGACGCCCTTGGTCTCGGGGATGCAAAATAGCGAGACGATGGTGCCGCACAGCATAAAGAGGGCAAAGATCTGCATGAGGCGGTTGAGCCAGGGCGAGCAGCTCTTGGAGGTCGGGCTGCCGCCGCTCATGGTGCAGTTGGGCGGCGCGTCGCGGCTGAGGATTGGGATGCTAATGACCTGCGCGAGGATGGCGCCGATCTTGCCCATGGCCGCCGAGATGCCGTGGGCCGTGGAGCGGTAGCGCGTTGGGAAGCACTCGCCGGGAATGACAAAGGTGGTCGTGTTGGGGCCCCAGTTGAAGAAGAACTGCGCGACGACGTAGAGGGCGAGCATGGCGGTCTCGCTGAGCCGGTGGAACGCGAAGCCCATGACGCAGAAGAGGACCGTCAAGACCAGGAAGCCGCCGACCTGCAGCGGTTTGCGGCCAACGGTGTCGATGGTCAGCACAGCCGTCCAGTAGCCGGGCAGGCTGCCGGCGCACGCCAGGATGATGGTGCCAACGGCGTTGCTGGAGAGTCAGCATAAATCAAAGCTACAGGATAAACCACCCAATCCAGGGTGTACAAAAAGACGACCTACTTGTAGAGCACCGCATACAGATTGGCACCCTTGGAGTAGCCAATGGCCTCGAGCACGACAGAGTTGTTGAGAGCCAGCCCGTAGTAGGCCAGGTCGAGAAAGAACCACGACAGCATGGTGCCCAGCAGCACGCGCAGATGGTCCAGGTTGCCCCGGCCCCAAAAGTAGGCGCGCAGGTCGGCCCACGAGGCGTGCGGCACGGTGGCCGACGGACCCGACGACAGCGCAGGCCCGGCGACGCGCTTCAGCCGCGCCTGCACCACGGGGTCGACGGTGCCTTCGCGCTCCCTGGCCATGTAGGCGCGGATGTCGGCATCGGCCTTTTCGACGTCGTGCGCCACGTCAAACGTGTAGCGCGGCGTCTCGGGGATGGTGATGCGGTAGTACAGCGCAAAGCACGCCGGCAGCGCGCCGAAGCCGATGATGATGCGCCAGCACCGGTCGGCGGCCGCGCGGCAGCCCACGCCGCACTGGGCGGCATTCGCGACGCCGACAAACTCGGACCGGAACGCCGCCGTCACCACCAGCGCCACAATGGCGCTCAGCAGCTGCCCGAAGCCCTGCATCGAAAACACGGACGCCACCATGGCGCCGCGCCACCGCGTCGGCGCAAACTCGGAGGTGATGACGGACGACAGCGGGTAGTCGCCGCCGATGCCGACGCCCATGACGACGCGCCAGAACACCAGCAGGCCCGTCGAGCTCATGGCCGGGCTGGGGCTGGCGAGCGCACAGCCGAGCGTCGCCAGTACAATCACGGCCAGCTCGATGCCGTAGACGCGCCGGCGGCCCAGGACGTCGGCCAGCCAGCCAAACACCAGCTGGCCGACGATGATGCCTGCGCTCGTCGACGCCTTGACGGCCTGGTTGACGGGGTCCGGCAGCGAGCCGTGGTTGTTGCCGTAGCCGTAGGCGGCTGCTGTTTCGGCCACGAGCGCCGATGCCGTGGCGTCGCCGCCGCCCCAAAACACGAGGCCCCAGAGGTTCGTGACCATGCTGATGGCAAAGATGTCGTATGAGTCGAGGAAGAAGCCGACGCCGGCCACTGCCACGGCGCGCACGTGGTACAGGCCGAGGGGCACCTTGTCGATTTCCGAGAGCGCGAGGCGCCGCCGCAGGTTCGGGTCCGAAATGTGCGAGTAGTCGTTGGCTGTCGTCGGTGAGAAGTGAGAGAAGCCAGAGGATTAGCAAGAAACGAGTGGACGGCCAAGTGCATGCTGAGGCAGAGCACGGCACCCACCATAGTTGTGAAAAGCCCGGTTGCCGCCATAGGTGCGGCCGGGCGGCAGCCCTGTCACGGCCGGCTCGGGCAGCATGTCCATATTGGTTTGTTGAACTTTTGTTATATTATTGTGTCGGGGTAAATGGGGAATCGTCCCCGGCGGCGGGTAGAGGTGTAACCAAGCGGAATAACAGGCGAAGAGTGTCGTTGATGAGCCGTCTTTGGTGCTGATTTGATGTGTGCGACGTAGGCGACGTAGGCGACGTTGGTGATAAGAACTCTCCGGTTGTAGGGAGCCGAGAATGAAAGTCCGGGCGTCCGGGCGTCCGGGCGTCAGAAGGATAACGAAAACAACTGAAAAGGAAACGAAGAAAGGCAACAAGTTCATCAATGAGAAGGCATTGGCCGCCGATGCAAGGGCCCGTTGGAACACACGGGAGTGGGCGATAAGAGAAGAAGTAGAAAACTACAAAGAAGACGCTGAACGACAGACCGACTGGAGACTAGCGACAAGCCAAAGAAGCGATCCGCCAGTGCGGAAAAAGAAGCACTGGCACAGGGCACAAGTCCAAGCCAAGAGAAGCTAGGATCCTCGGGCGTGACACATATGCGTGGGCGGACAACAGCGGTGCAATACAACATACATCCAAATGCATCTACGACGTAAATGTGGAGTGGTGGGACTTTGGGTTGCCAAACGTGTGGCAGGCAAATCCTTATAGCGTGATGGGGGGAGTCTCGAAGGCAAATTAGAGGCCACAGGATAGACGGGGACAAGGTATTGGCTGGCGGCGCTCGTGGGTATGGGAGCCTAGGGGCGAAGACTGGAGAAGGGACTCGAAAAGAAAGCAATACTACGGATAGAGAAGGAGTCGAAAAGTCAAACAAAACTATGCAAAAGGGTCGTCCATAGCTTGAAAAGTGCATGATGTGAGTGGGGGTGGGCTGAGGAAAGAGGAAAACGAGACAAAGAAGAAAGAAAAGCAGACTAGGATGCGAGGATGGTCCAGGGTGGCCAGGAACGTGCCTGCATGGACCGTCGTGGAGTGACGACGAAGATCACAGACGGTAACCGGTGGGTTGGAAGAGGTCGAAGAGAGTGGAGGATGATGCAGAGAGCAGGCGAATGGACTCCGTCCTTTTGAACAGACTCTATGCTGTTTCTGTCGAGGATGTCGCATTGCTATGAACGGGCCAAGAGCTTATGGGGACATTGTGCAATGGTATGGTGGCAGGTCGTGCATGACATTTTCTTTGTCTGTTCATCTTTGTCTTGCTCCTGTCTCGTCCTTTGTCGTTTAACACTTTCGTTACTTCGATTTTTGTCTTGTTCCTTTTTGTGTTTTTTTTTACGTCCTTTTCTTGTTTTCTGCGATCAACAGCTCTGTTGCCTTTCCCGTGACCTGTTCCAATATTCCGTGTGTCGGTCAGCTGGAAAGGTCGCAAATCCAGTCACCGAGACAAGGCGAGAGCCGGCCTACTTATTTCCGCAGTGGAATGTCTTTCCTTTTTCGACAGCCGGACACCAGCCAGCCCAGGCAACCTTGACACACAATAACTTGACACACTGAAATACTCGAGAACGCATCCATACGGAATACAAACTGTGGCAACCTCTTTTGTTTATGCATTCGTTTGCCGTCGCATTTTGCCCAGCTCTCGTCCACCTCTTTGGCGTGTTTGCCTTTTATTGCCTCACACCTACCCAGTATTGTCTCTCTAGTACGGGGTATGTCGTACTCGACCAAGAGTCCAGGCCACTGCGACCTTTGTCACACTGTTCCTAGCTTCAAGAGTCTTTATTCTCATCCAAATGTTGCTTCCCACGTGGATTGCCACCAGTTAGCCGTTCAGGAACAGAGAGCACGGCCGGGGATGTGGCATGGTCAGGGATTCAATAAAAATACCAACGGTGCAACACTCTCACACTCAACATGCACGACGGTTCAAAGTTGACAGCGGACAGGGAGCGGCCTCGAGTTTCCTCTGAGGTGCTCTCGGTAACGTCTACTTACACGCGCAAGTCGGCCAATCACAGCGCAGAGATCGTGCACATGGATCTTGCTAGCTCGGTACGGAACTCGCGGTAGCTTCCAGGCGGGAAAAGTGGGGTGCAAAACTCACCTAAAAGTGGCAAGAGCAGACGCATGCGCGCCAGGAAGGAGCGCCTGGCGGTAGCAGAAATCGTCGTGTCAATGGCAGGGGGCGTTTTTCCACAGGGGCCGTGAAGACTGCCTCGACTGCTTCGTCCGAGCACAAGTGCCCAGGGTGCCGGTTCCATGTCTGGCAAGGTTGTCTTGGCTTTCTGAACTATGTGTCTTGGCACGGCCGGCCAAAGGTTAAAACGACATTTCCGATGCCGACAGTGGCACCTCAACTTTCCGGAGGACGTGGAAGTCCCGTTACCTGGACTTTACACATCCGAGCTCTCTGGGACGCATATTCATTTTCCAATTTTTAGTTTATATTCTATGAGCGTGTTTCAAGTGTAGGCGGAGACGATAACAGTTGTCAATTGTCTCGGGGAATTCCCTCTCCTCGGGCCGCACAACTACCATGCCGTAATGTCGTCCACCTCGGCTTCGCCAAAGGTGCTCGACTTGGTCAGCTTGCCCACCGAGCTGGCCTCGTTGCCGCCGCTCGTGCTCTGGGCGCCGTTCGCCACGTCGGCGCCGTCAACGGCACCCTCGTCCGTGCGCGCCAGGCCTGGGCGATTCATAATGTCGGGCAGCACCTCGCGCAGGAACGCAAGGATGTAGCGGTTGACCTGCTCAAACTGCAGCAGGAACGCGTCGTGGCCCTCTGGGCTGTCAATGCGCTCCAGCCGGCAGTCCGGGATGTGCTCTGCCAGCTCCTGCTGCTCGGCAAACGTAAACAGGCCGTCGCTCTCAATGCCCAGCACCAGTGTCGGCTGCTTGATCAGCGCAAGGGCCTCGGCCACGCTGTCGGCCCGGCTGCGCGACACGTCGTGCGTGTCCAGCTTGCGCGTCATGGCAATGTAGCAGTTGCTGTCAAAGCGCTTGACAAATTTGGTCGCCTGGTAGCGCAGGTACGACTGCGCCGAGAAGTAGGTCGACGTCGGCGGTGCCGATCCGCCCGTCAGGCTCTCTTTGGCGCCAGCGCCCGCGCCAGCGTCGTCGACGGCACTTGGGCCGTGGAACTGCGGGTCTGGCGTGGCCGCACCGCTCGACTCGTTGCCCTCCGTCTTGCCGCCGCCACCGCCGCCGCCACTGCCAGATGCCGACGATGCGGCCGACGTAGCCCGGAACCGGTTGGCCTCCTTGATCCGGTGGCCGTCGTTGTGGATGCGGAAATGGCCCTCAGACGGCGACGCAGGCGGCAGCGTGTGCGGTGCCAATGCCGACGACAAGGAGGCAGACGACGTCGCCGCGTGCGCCCGCTCGCGCTCCAAGATCAGCTGCTGCCGCTTCGGATCTGGAATGTTGCGGCCGAACCGCGCCTCAAAGGAGTTGCGGCTGCGGTAGGTCAGCAGCGCCGACATGCGCGCCGCCCCCAGCCCTGTGACCGGTGGGTCGTCAAAGGGGTAGTAGCCGTCCTCGTACTTGGGATCCGCGTAGATGCTCTGCCGCTGCGCCTCGCCCCAGCTGATGCCCCACGCGCTGTGCCGGCTGCTCGTCGCAATCGGCACCACGCACCGCACGTAGTCGGCGCCCAGGTAGGCCCACTCCAGCACGAACATGCCACCTAGCGACCCGCCAATCACGGCCGCCACTTGCTTTACGCCCAAATCGTCCAGCACCATCTTGTGCAGCCGCACGTCGTCGCGGATCGTCGTCAGCGGGAACTCGGGGCCGTACCGCCCGCGGCCAGCATCGCCGTCCTTGGCCGTCACGGGACTGGCGCTGCCGTAGGGACTACCCAGGCTGTTTACGCAAATCACAAAAAAGCGCGACACGTCAAACGCCCGGCCGGGGCCGCCCAGCAGCGGGCCCCACCAGTCGCTGACATCGGCGCTGCCCGTCAGCGCGTGGCAGATGACCATGGCGTTGTCGCCGGCCGCATTGAGCGTGCCGCGGGTCGTGTAGGCGACGGGGACATTGCGGAGCGTCACGCCGGACTCGAGGTCGAATGCGGGCACAATGGCAATCTGCTGGTCGGGAATCAGGCTTGCAAACGGGTTTTCGGGCTGCGCTGAGATTCTTTCTTGCAGGTATTCAGCAGCTGGTCTAGGAGCGTGCGGTGTGCTTGTGGAGGTGGAGGGTACTCGTAGCTACTGACCATAGTGTGGCTGGGGCGTGCCGTTGGCGGCAACGCCATCCGAAGCCATAATTGCAAATGCGTCCGGAGCGGACGGCTGATCGGAAGAAGATCTCGGTTGCGATGCAGGCGAGAGAATGGACTGGAAAAATGGCAAAGAAAAATAAAGATGAGAAGCAACAAAGATGTCCAAACACGCCAAAACAAAGACACGGGCTGTATTAATGGGCGCCGATACTGCTTGCCGGGGGATGTCGTCTGTGATCTGAGTCACGCTGTGAGTCGTAGGTAAGGGGGTGGTTTTGCGACCTCGATGCAGAGAGGAGAGTGCAAGAAAATACTAAAATTCTGACTGTTGCTCCGTAGGTCGGCTCGCGCCATCAGACACCAGTGCGTACTAGTACTTAGCCAACGCGCTTGTTACCACCAGCGCAAAAGTACTGGTACACGTTAGAGACGCTTCCCCGTGTTATTGGATAGCCCGTCGTAGACGTCGTCGCTCATCGCTAATTGCATCTATGTACGCCACAAAACACTGAGTCTTTTTCTTCGGATTTCTTCCATTCTCCTACGTAAGACGTATCTTTCGTACGACACTGCATTCGTTCGGCATCATTGCTGCTGTGAACAGTGAGAAAGCCACCCCACGCCAATGCCCCACTTTTATATCGACCAAACCGGAGCCTTTTCTGTGACTCTCGCACATGTGGCGGTGCAGTATTCAAGCCACAATTATCACACAACCGGCACGACTTGGCCCCACAGTGCTCCTTCCCTCAAACGTGCCCAGTGCACGGTGGAGCCTTTGCAGGAAAGCTCGACGCGAATGTGTCGTGAGGAGCAAAAAAAGAGGCAAAATAGCTTCGCAACTGCATCTCACTTTTGCCTCATCTCTCCACCACCTCGTTTGCCGACTCCACCATCTTGTGTCTCTCGCTTCTCGCTCGTCGTTTGAGAGAGGATTGACAGAGACTGCAAACAGGCGCTTGCCAGCGACGGTGCCATTTCCACGCCTCGCTGTGTGTCCTTTCCTTTTGATAGTTTCTCTGTTCCTTTCATTCTTTTCCTTTTTCTTCTTTTCGTCGTCCTCGTTTCGATTGTCAACATTGCTTCATCTCTTCGACCACACGTCTACTCGATACCTCCAGTTTGAATTCATCGCCCACGTCGTGTTATCGGCCGACGGATACGAGCAAGCGACACCTGATTATCGACGGATCGTCTCGTCTCCATCACAACTCTCTCCACGCACGCATGACACAACTGTCGAGTCGTCCACCGACGTAATCAGCCCTCGAGGGCCCTTCGACACCGATTTGCCGGTCGATTTTCTCGAACCCCCTTCCTTCTCCGACGTGCGTACGTTGTCTTCCAGAGCCGACACTTTCAAGTCTCTCGTTTCCTCCTATAAACATCCATACACATGCATCCTTCGGACACTTGATCACCTGAACATCTGAACATTAACACCCATGCCAAGGACGCTTGATGCCTCCTAAGCGAAAGCGTGGCGGCACCGCCGACAACGGTGGTGTCCGGCCCTCGCCGCATCGCCCGGAACAGACACATCTCGGACAGCACGACCGCAACGACCGGGGCCATGGCTATGTCGACGGCGGCAACGACGGCAGCATACGTGGGCGACGGGGCAGCAGTGGCGGCCGTGGTGGTGGCATCGTGGGCAGCGGACGCGTGGGCGCCGACCGTAACAAATGGGGCGAACGTTTGGGGTCGCAAGGCCCTTCACACGACAGCAGCGCTGCTCGTCCACCACCCACAAACGGCACCGCATCGACCACGCCCTCCGTCACCGCCTCGCCAGCAGCCGTCGCGCGACCGTTGCCACGGAACAGCACACCTGCAACGCCTTCCGAACCGCCAGCACCCCCACCGCCCGCGCGACCGTCTCTCCCGCACGTTTACGCCATCCTGACGGACGACCGAGTTTCGACCTGGACGACCGGCACAGGCCGCCAGGAGATTGTCGACGCCGGCGAGACGGCCCGCACCGATGAGGACGAGGTGGCGCTCTCGACGCTGTTCCAAGAGGCCCTGCGGTCCGTCGTGGACCGGCGGCGTCCCCCGGCCGAGCTGGGTGCCGTCGTGAAGCAGGTCCTCGGCGACGACAGTACGGCAACAGCAGCCGCCAGCGCCGCGGCCGCCTTCAGCCCGTCCATTGTCTTCCTCGACACCGTCTCTGTTTTTGTCGAAGTCGACGACGCGGCTGCTGTCCCGGCCAATCTGCTGTTGCTGCGCACGTTTATGGGCGCCACGGGCGTGCCTCCCGCGCTCATGCGCCAGATCCTCGACCACGAGTTCCTCATGCGCCTCGGCCTGCTTCGCGACACCTTCCACCGCATGACCATCCGCTTCTCCACCAACCTGCTCTACCGCCAGCAGAGCTACAACCTGCTGCGTGAGGAGACCGAGGGCTTCTCCAAGCTCGTCACCGAGCTCTACAACAACGCCGTCGCCCAGCAGGACCCGTCCTTTGACACGGCCCGTGCCACCTTCGAAAAGGTCAAGGGTCTTATCGGCACCTTTGATCTCGACGTGGGCCGCGTGCTCGACACCACCCTCGACGTCTTTGCCGCCACCATCGTCAAGCAGTTTCGGTTCTTTGTCAAGTTCCTGCGCATCAGCTCCTGGTGGCCCCGCGACCACCCCGGCCACCCGCGCAGCTCCTTCTTTGGTGGCCTGCCGCGATGGGCCCAGCCCGAGCTTGCTGAGCGGATTTCTCGCCTGGGCGCAGCTGCCGCCGCAGACGAGGTCGACAGCGAAGAGGCGGCTGTTGTTGCTGAAGAGCGCCGCAAGCGCGACGTTGTCTTTTGGGACATGGCACGCCAATTGCACATCTACGCCTTTTACCAACTGGGCGGCCGCGAGGTTGCCGATCCACGACTGCAGAAACTGGTCGAGGCCGCCACCGCCAACGGCAAAGCCGATGGTGCCGACGACATGCTGCTTGGTGACGACGACGACAACAACAACAACAACAACATCGACGGCGACGCTGACGCCGACATGAGTGCGAACACAGCCGACACCGAGGCGACGGACATCTCCAACTTTTCCGAGAACGAGCTGCAATGGATCAAGAAGACCAAAACAATGCCGCCACCCGGCAACCGCGTCGCCGCCCAGATTCTCGGCTTCAAGCTGCGCTTCTACAGCTCGGATGCCCGCAATGCGGACGACATCCTACCGGCCAACCTCCTCTACCTGGCCGCTCTCCTCATCAAGATCGGCTTCATCTCCTTCTGCGACCTCTACCCCCACCTCTGGCCAGCAGACGACGACATGGATGCCGTCCGCCGCCGCCGCGAGGACGAGTTGGCCAAGAAGGAGGAGAGTGAGCGATACGGCTCGGCCGACGCCGCGCTTCTGGAGACGGTCCTGGAGGACGACGACCCACCTGCTGCACCAGCGCTCGAGTTGAGCAAGCCAGCAGCGTCTACGGCCGCAGGCGGCGACGCGGCAGCAGCTGGTGCAGCATCGGCGGAGGCGCCCGCCGACGCACCACCAGCGCTCCCCGCGCCAACCGACATGAAGATCCAGATTCTCGACCAGCTGCTCCTCATCGGCGCCATCCCTGAGGCCCTCTTCATACTGGGCCGCTACCCCTGGATCATGGAGCTGTACGGCGAGAACCTGCTGCCGCTCATCCACCGCATCCTCCTCCAATCGCTGCACAAGGTCGCTGCCGAGGCCCGCCCTGTCCCTGCCTCGGACGCCGCGGCCTCGCTCATCACCGACGGGCCCCCAAAGAAGATTGCCGAGTACGACCAGAGCGGCACAATGAAGGGCTACGTCAAGCGCGGCGAGCAGGCCATCCGCCGCCCCTTCCGCTGGCCCTTTGCCGACAAGCTCGACGTGGCCGATGGCCAGCCCTACCGCTACTACTTTGACGAGTGGCTCGACAACGTCCCCGTCTGCCAAACCGTCGACGACGTCTTTGCCCTCTGCGACAGCTTCCTCGGCGTGTCCGGCCCCAACATTGGCCAGGAGCCGGAGCTCGTTCTCAGTCTCGCGGCCATTGGTGCCAAGGACCTGCATGACGACCCGTCCCCCGCCAACCGCCAGCGCTGGTATGACCTGCTGCAGCGCCTGCTCGTCCCCGCCCTGAGTCTGCTGCCGGCCAACCCCGCCTGTGTCGACGCCGTCTGGCAGCTGCTGCGCACGTACTCGCTGCGCCAGCGCTACGAACTCTACACCGCGTGGTTTGAGGGGTCCGTCGCGCGCCAGCCCGTCATGCAAAAGGCCTTTGCCCGTACCAAGCGCGAGGCTCTGCGCATCATGCGGCGCATCTCGCGCGAAAACAGCTCGCTCATGGGCCGCTCGCTCGCCAAGGCGGCCCTGACGTCTCCGGCCGTCGTCTTCAAGGTGGCCCTCGGCGAGCTCGAGGCGTACGACAACCTCATCGACGTCTTTGTCACCTGCGCGCGCTATTTTACGGACTTGGGCTACGACGTCCTCGTCTGGTCGCTGATGGGCTCCATCGGCGGCGGCCGCCGCAGCCGACACAACGCCTCGTCCGTCCTCATCGCCAGCAAGTGGCTGCAGGCCCTGTCGCGCTTTGCCGGTCTCGTCTTTGCCGCGTACCCCAACATGGACGTCAAGCCCGTCGTGCAGTACGTCACGCGCCGTCTCTCTGCGGCCGGCGACCCAGGCGACCTGATCATCCTGCGCGACCTCATCGTGTCCATGGGCGGCCTCGCGGCCGATTCGGACTGGACGGAAGCCAAGATCCAGGGCATGACCGGCGGCCCGGCCCTGCGTCGCCTCACCCTGCTCGCTATGGGCGACGTGCGCGACGACACCGATACGAGCGCCAAGGGTGCCAAACAACGCCACAGCGCGCAGCGCCTCGTCAAGACGCTGGTCGACGCCGGCCTCGTGGGCCGCCTCCTCATCAACATTGCCCAGCACCGCCAGGCTGCCATTTATGCGCCGGCCGCGAAACAGGCCCACATCAAGTATCTGGCGACGCTGGTCGACGACAGCCAGGAGATTCTGACGCAGTACCTCGACCTGCTGCGCAACATCCTGACCCCCGCCCAGTTCGATGCTCTCGTACCCGCCATTCCCGAGCTCATGAAGGAGTTTGGCCTCGACGCCAACCTGGCTTTTTTAATCGGCCGCCCGGGTCTCGATTTTCACGCGGCCATGGCCGCGCTTCCTGTTCCGACGATGCCCACAGCAACAACAGAAGACGCTTCCAGCGCCAAACCAGACGCAACCGCTGCGGACGACGTGGCCATGGAGAACGACGACGACACGCCCCAGGCCGACGGTAAGGCGGATGGCAAGCCCGAGCCAAATAGCACAGAAATGGACGTCGATGCGCCGTCTGCGCCTGCTGCGCCTGAGACCGTCGCGCCCTCGCTCACCACGATGGGCACCCTGCAACCCCTCGTCGAGTTTATCGCCGCGACCCTTCCCGAGCGGATTCTCAAACGCATCAGCCCCGAATTCTTTGTCACCTTCTGGGCCCTTCAGCAGGGCGACATTGTCGTTCCGCGAGCGCGCTACGATGCCGAGATCGACCGGCTGCGGAAGGAGAGCTCTGCGCTCAAGAACGCGCGTGGTGTGCAGGGCACAGAGAACCCACGTGCCGCCATGATGCGGCGTAACGAGGAAGCCGAGGCCCGCCTCAAGGAGCGCCAGGCCATCGCCGAGGAGATGCTCGCCCTGGGGACCCGTAACCGCGACACTAAGCGACACCTGCTGGTGCATGCGCAGACCTGGTTCACCAACAACGGGTCATCGAGCGTCACCATCGCGTCTGCCTCCGCGCTGTCCGACATTTTGCTCGAGCAGTGCCTTGTGCCGCGCATTCTGCTGTCTGTGGCCGATGCCGAGTACGCCTTCCGCTTCGTGCGCTTCCTCCACGAGAATCGCGTGCCCCACTTCCAGCTGGCCACCTTTTATCAGCGGCTGTTCAGCGCCAACCGGCTTCGTGACCTCATCTTTACAAGTACCGTGCGCGAGGCCGAGCGTGTTGGTCGTTTCCTCAAGCTGATTCTGGCGGACCTGGCACGCTGGCATGGCGACAAGAATGCGTACGAGCGCGAGGCTCTTGGCCAAACCAAGAACGGGCGGCGCAGCTACCTGGGGTTCGTCAAGAACTCCAAGGCGGCGGCCAAGCCTGCTGGCAAGGCTGCTGCGACGTCCTCCGAGAGCGCCGAGGGTGGCAAGGACAAGGACAACAAGGTCAACGAGGACAACGAGGACGGCCCGACATACATTGAGCACACCGAGTTCCGCGACCTTCTCTACAGTTGGCATAAGAACCTCAACATGGCTCTGAAGGACTGCCTGGAAAATCTCGAGTGGACGCACATCCGCAACGCCATCAGCGTGCTCAAAGCCGTCATGGACGCCTTCCCGGCCGTCGATTTTATGGGCCGCCAGTTCGCCGACCAACTGCAGCGCATTGCCGCGCGCGAGTCCGCAACGAACAATGCCACGCCAGAGGCCAGCCAGCGCATCGATTTGTCCGTCACCGCCCGCGCCATCTACTCGGAGCTGCTGCGCCGCAAGTCCAAGTGGGTCATGGTGCAGGCCTTCCGCTCAAACGTGTCAACCAAGTCGTCCGCCGGCGATGACAAGTCCAAAACCGCTTCCAATGGCGAGAATGGTCTCCGACCCGATGCGCCCGAGTTCCGACCCCAGCGCCTCGGCGGTGCGGATGCAGAGGACGGCGAGCTCAAGGATGCCGGGACCAGCGGGGCCAACGGCGTCAAGCGTGCGACATCGACCGCACCGTCCACATCGTCCGGAACGGGCGGCGGTGGTGGTGTCACGAGCAAACCTTCCACACCCCGACCTGGTGCCGGCCACCTGCAAGGCAACCGCACACCCAACGCCTCTCGAGGCGGCGACGCTCACTCGCAGCTGCCTAAGCAGCCGTCTGCGCTGACCTCGCTTCCCCTCTCGCACAGCCTGCCCAACCGCCCCGACTTTTCTGTTGGTGGCGGTCGCTTTGCGCAAGGCGACCGGTTTGGCCAGATTCGGAACCAGGACCGGCGGGACGCTTCGTCGCCTCGGGGCCCTTCGGCACAACATCACATGGACAACAGCAATGCCAACAGCACCGCGAGCAGCAATCACCAGCAACAGCAAACGCCGCAGCAGACGGCTGCCACGCCGCCGACCGATCCCCGCGGACCAAGAGATCCGCGCGATCCGCGCGACCACGGCCGCGATGGTCGGAATCCACGTGCTCAAGATAACAGCAGTAGCCGTCCCGATCGGCCCCCTGGCGGCCGTGATTTTGCCGGCAACATGCCTGGCGAACATGGTGGCCGTAACCGCATGGACAACACGCCGACACGGCGGGGCGGTGATCTTGTGCGCGACAACCGTGACGCTCGTGATGCCCGTGACGGTCGTGGCGCCCGCGACGCGCGCGATCTACGCGATGCGCCACGCGATGCGACACCACCCGCAAACGTCACACCACCACTGGGGCCTGCGTCGTCGACCCCACAAAAGAAACCCGACGCGGTGGCGCCTGAGGTTGCCATCAACCCCGAACGCGCGCGCTTGATTCAAGACGACAGCCGAGACCGGACTCGATCAGGATCCGGTGTTGGGACAACGACGCCCGGTGGAGGACGCACACAGTCACCTCGTGTCTCCGACCGCCGCGGGCAACCCTTGGCCATCGAGCCTGCCTCGGCCAACGACCGAGGACGTGGTCGGGATGGTGATCGAGAGGATCGCGACGCTCGTGACGGGCGTGACGGACGTGACGGCCGCGATGGCCGTGATACTCATGAGGGCAGGGATGGCCGGAACAACCGGGACCGCGAGCATGACCGTGATAGGGAGCGGGAGCGCGACGATCGCCATGGCCGGAATGCGCCTGCCGGGGCTCCCAGCCAGCCGAGAGATGCAGCAGCAGCCGAGCCAGGCCGTGAGTCCCGCGCCGAACGCGGCGAGCGGTCAGAACGTGATGTGCGCGGTGAAAGGAGCAGCCGTGGCGGAGAACGCGGCAGTGATCGTGGAGAGCGCAACGATAGAGCCGAGCGCAGTGATCGTGGCGATCGTGGCGAACGCGGTGATCGTAGTGACCGTGGTGACCGTGGCGACCGTGGGGAGCGCACAGAACGTGGCAGCGAGCGTGGGGACAGGGACCGCGACCGGGATCGCGGCGAACGCAACGAACGCAATGAACGCAGCGAGCGCAGCGAACGGGGCGAACGGGGCGAACGGGGTGACCGTGGCGATAGGAATCGTCCGCCACACGACCTCAGCTACGGCCGTCTGAACGCCGTTCCACCCCTCGTCGACAGCAACAGCTTTCCACTTGGCCCTCGTGGCAGTCGAGGACGCGATGGCCGCGATCCTCGAGACCAACCTCTGGCCGGCCCTCGGGATGGTGGCAGATCCTCCCAGCAACAGCAACAACAACTATCCTCTCAAGGCTCAAACGCCGGCGACAGCCAGCAGAACCAGCCGCCGTCTGGCCCATCCCGCTCCGCTAGGAGAGGACGCGGCGGCCAGCTCGATGGCGGTTCCGGCAATAGCGGCCGCAGCAGCCAAGGTTCGGGACTCGGGCCGCCCGCCCCTCCCTCCGCACCCTCGACGTCGGTCAACGCAACGCCTGTGTCAGGCGACCGCATGCGCCAGTTCAACAACAACGCGAACGCCCGCGGTACACCGCCTCCCCCACCTCGTCCTCTGCCTCCTGCCGGGCCGTCATCCGGAGCTCCAGCACACAGTGGTACGCCCGACCGCTCCGGGCAACAGCATCAGCAGCGCGGACAATCCTCTGCCAGCCTCCCCCAAACGCCTGCCTCCGACAACACCACCACCACCAACAACAACGCCAGCGGTGGCCGAGACATTCGTGGTGGTCCTGATGGCAGTAGCAACGCCGGCACACCGTCGTCGTCGAGCCGCGACAACAACGGCGGCGGCGATCGCTTACGTTCCCGTGGCAATGAGCGTGAACGCATGATGAAGGGCATCCAGGACGCCATTGCTGGCGGACCCGGGAGCGGCGGGCGGCGCGCCAACAACATGAGCAGCCGTGGCCACATTGCGGGTTCGGACGCGCAGGTGCTTACTGGTGGCATGCCCCCTCCGTCGCCCGCCTTTGAGCGCAACGATCCCCTGCGCAACGGCGGTGGCGGCGGTGGCGGCGGTGGCGGCGGTGGTAGCAGCAGTGACCGTCGCAGCGACCGGAACGACCGCGGCGAGCGGGGTGACCGCAACGACCGTGGCGACCGTCGCAGCTCGCGCCGTAGCAGCCGTGAGCGCAGTCCTACTGGTAGTGGTGGTGGCGGTGGTGGTCACGGCCATCGTGGTGACCGCAGTGGTCCGCCACAGCAACAACAGCAGCAACAGCAGCAGCAGCAGCAGCAGCAGCACCATGGTCTGCCTCCCCCGCCTCCTCCACCTCCTCCAGGACCGCCTCCCGGTCCCGGCCTCCCGCTTCTGCCGCAGCAACAGCAACACCAGCCAAGCTCCTTTGGCGGTTCAAACTCCCGGCGGTCATCCAACCGTGGTGACCTATTTGGCGGCAGTGGCCCGCTTCGCGGCAGTGGCAGTGGCGGTGGCGGCGGCAGTGGCGATCCGAACCGCGAGCCCGTGGGCCCCGGACGGGATGCTCGCCGCAGTGGCGGTGGTGGCGGGAATGACTTCCGTGGTGGTGGAGGTGGTGGTGATATTGGAAGCGGTGGAGGTCGCGGAGGTCGCGATGACCACCGTGGCCGCAAGCGGCGTAGTGACGAAGGCGCAGGCCTATTGTCCAACGACCGGGACAAGAAGCGGCGGCGGTAGAGCCGACCGATGTGGAAACGAGCGAGTGTGTTTTGAGTTTGTGAAGCTTTCCCTGGTCGGCCGCGCCATTTGTCCATTTGATATTTCTCGGCTTTGTTCTTACAGGATTTCCTATTTTCATCTCCCTACTGTCTTTTAATCTTTCGCCTGTCCACCCGGGTTTGCATTATGCAAGTTTGCTATGTATCATTATACACCAGCTGCGTTTCTAAAAAGGAAAGGGGACTAGGGGACTTTTGTCTTATTTGTTTCAATCTTTTCAATTTACTTTTGCGAGTCTCGGTTTTCTTGTCTCCAGCAAATAGCAAAGCATGCAAAATAGCGTTCAGGAAAATTATTCTATTTCAACTGTGAGCCACATTTACTGACATCACACAAATAGCCATGGTGATTTGTATGATTTATTTACATCACAGTTTGGGCCGTTGCAAAATTGTGAAGTAATCGAGGTTACATTGCTGCTCTGTAGATTCGTTCCTATTTTCCTTGTCCACGAGACAAAATTCCTGCATGCTGTCCCTGTTGGGCTTTCCAATAAATCCCTCTCCTTATTAAACCTGTGATGTTCTTATATAGAGCCAGAATAGCATCATTCTGTGCACAAACACCGTAAGAAATAGATGAATCTAACATGAAAGAGGACGCTTCTCCATGCTCGTGCCGCAAAATGCTGACAAGTAAAGAAGATGAGAACGCCTGGCCCAAGTAAGTAATAACGCCGCCATCGGTATCAAAATGAGTCAGTACTATCGGGGAAGGGTGAATTGGTGGTAAGGTGAGACACAGCTATCTCCGGGACACCTTCTGTCTAAAATATGCGACAGATAAAAAAAAATTAACAAAAGACAGAACCAAAGATCATCAGTCATTACTATCCGCACCACAATCTATCCATATAAAAAAGACGAGATGTGTCGTGATGTTCGTTTTTTATCTTGCTTCACCCCACTGTGTCTCTTCGGGGTATTCGGCACCACCTCGTAATGCCGGGTGTTGTTGTTGCGGTTGCTGGTATGGCTGCACAAGAGGCCGTGGTGCAGGCGCGCGGCCACGGCTGTCGTAGCCACCACCATGCGCAGTGCTCGACTCATCGGCCCCATACACGTCGTCATTGTAGACGCCGCCTCGGCTTGGAACAGCCGCGTTGCCATGGCGCAGGTTGTCTTGGTCACGATAACGCTCGGGACTGCCATCGTCGTGGTCGTGGCCCACGGCTGTAGACGACATTGGCTGTGCGTAGGCGATCAGACCGGCAGCCTCGTCGCTGGCCTGCCGCCGACCGTTGGCACTCCCACCGCCGCCGCCGCCGCCGCCGACGTTGCTGCCACTACCCTGAGTAACGGCCATACCAATGTCACCTCCTTGTGAGGATAAACCCGGTCCACTCTCTCCTTCGTCTGTCAGCATGTCAAAACGGCTTCGGCGAAATTGTGTCGCAATTGGCAAATGTTCGGTACTCTTCATACCGCCAAAACTTGAGTGGTACCCCGTGTCGACGCCGTCGCCCATCATCACACCTTGGTTGTTGAACTTTTGCGGCGACAGGTCATCTAGATCCATCTCAGACGACTTGAGCGGCGTCTTGTAGCTGACATCTTCTCGGCGGTGGCGCACGCCGACAAAGAGCCAGCGGATACCACGACCAAAGGCCTTGATGACGTCCCAGATGTTAAGCGCGTCAAAAATGGCGCGCAGGCCCATAAAGCCACCGCTGCGCGGGAAATGCTCGTTGGGCTTGGGAGATGTGTCGGAGCCATCGGGGTCAGCCACGGGGTAGAACGTGGGGCGCGCACCGTCCTTGTAGGGACGGTACGGGAAGGCCCATATGTGGAAGATAGCAAAGCAGGCCATCTCAAAGCACAACAACAACGACGGGATACCGACGACAATATCGGGGTAGGCAATGACGGCGTTGGCGTGCACGATCTTGAGGGTCGAGGTGCCCAGCGAAATGGCAGTCGACTGCCAGAAAGACAGGAAAATGACGAGTTTGATGGCCAACACCTTCTTAAAAGGCTGGTGCTCAGCCAGAGGCGCACGCATCTGGACGTAGAACTGAATGACAAAGTACATGGCAATAGTGACGGCGAGGGACTCGATCACGAGAATCTAAATTGTTAGGGAATCCGTAAGAGACATAAAGTATACGTGAGTCGCACCAGCGTTGGACGAAAAAAAACCTACCCAGACATGGCTGAACACGGGGCTGTTGGAGCTCTCACAGTAGCGGCCGAAGTATTGCGTGACGACCGCGGTGACAGTCATGGTGACGCGAATAAAGCAGTACTGGTAGATGCCGATCCAGATGATGTTAAACCAGGTCAGGCCGCTGGCCGGCGTGCGCCAGGGCCCGCGCTGGCCGCCACAGCACTTTCGGAACCAGCTGATGGGAGCAACCCAACCCTTAATGGCCCGCAGGTCGCGGAAGTAGTTTTTCTGGTCGTGGAGATCCGGTCGAACATAAGAGCAGAGCAGCGCAAAGAAGGACGATATAGCAAAGGCTTCGTAGCAGTCGCTTATGACTTGGAAGTAGATGGCGTGCCAGTAAAAGCGGAGAGACAGGAACGAGGCGGCGGCGTAAACAGGAACCATGAAGAGAATACGAATGATGCTGGGCATGCAATGTTAACCGGAGAAGATCACAGAAATGGAATATCCGGCAGGGTACGCACTGTCTCTGTTCATTGGGCTTGGTGTAGTGCAGGGCGTGCATCCAAATAAGATACAGGCTCATGCAGACAGCAATCAGGGTCGAGGCACCAGCGATAATGAGGGCGAGATCGTGGAAGGTCAGCGGGCCGGCGACCTTCAACTCGGATGTGGGCAGGACTGTGAGACGGGGTTAGCAAGACGGCGCGTGGTTGAAAACGGACAAAGGATGACAAAGGTCAAGAAGCCATGAGTCGTACTCCGAAGATCGTCCAACGTCGTGTTACACGTTAAATTCATCGTGTCGGAGACGTCGCCGTCAGGCGAACAGGAGGCCGGAGACGGCGGGCGATGAGCGAGGAGGTGTCAAGCAGCAGGAGTGTTCTTCGGAAGTGGTCGCGGGCTCGGTCAAGGTCCAGTCGTGCACAGTCTCGTCGAATGGTCCAGCCAGGCAGGGACAAGCGGTGCCGCGCACGTGAGGTCGTCGATGTCGAAGCGATATCGTAGGCTGAGACGTAGGAGGGATTCGTCGACGTTGCGCGTGTCCGTTGACTTGCAAAGAAAGAATGAGGGAGGAAGTGGAAAGTCACAAACTCGTTTCGACGTAGGTTGGGGGTTGGTCCGCAAGTTGGAATGTGACCGTTGAATGAACAAAGTCAAGACACAGCGACCGTACAGCAAAGTCGATGGGTCGTTTCGTGTAAATAGGAGAACATAAAAGAACAAATCGGCGTCAAGTAAGACGAGGAAGTGAGAGAAGACGAGTGCGAAAGAGAAACACGAATATCAGAAACAGACTACGCATACACAAAATGCGAGACGGGAAAAGCGCATCGACTCTTCTCTGAAGTAATGTGTCGTACTGGCCGTGGAGCGTTGACAGGCGCTAGAGGCAATAGAAGGTGGGCAAAAGCAGCCCAAAGCGATCCAGGGACCCCTTTTTTGGTCGATCTTGGCAACTGGTTTGGACCAGGGCAAGGAAAGGGACTGAAGAATAATGGTGTGTGATAGCCCGGGAGGCACAGACAAGCGGCGGCCGCCAGCTGATGGCTCATCTGAAACAGGGCAGAGATTGTTGGAGAACTAGTCTTGGTCGAGAGAGGAGCTAGCGGGCGCGAAGTGTGGCAGAAAAGCTTGTGCGGCAGAGGCACAAAGAACGCCTTAGCTGCTTAGCACCTCGCTGATGCTAATAATAAAAACGACAGAGGTGTGAGAGTGTGAGAGGCAGAACTGGTGCCGGGTACAGTGTGGCTGGGTCTGGATGTCTGGATCCAACCAGACCTAGCCAAAGACGGCGGGAACAAGCGACGGGGACGGCGAGAGAATGGACAAGGCGAAAGCGACGGTGCGAAACAAAGCTCGTGATGGAGGTCGATGGTTGTGAAAGGAGGCAAAAGAAGGCAAAAGAAGGCAAAAGAAGGCAAAAGAAGGCAAAAGAAGGCAAAAGAAGGCAAAAGAAGGCAAAAGAAGGGAGGGACCTTCTCACGAGAAAAGGAGTTTTGAGCAAGGGCAATGGTTGATGCCCAGCAGAAAAGGAAGCCGCGATTAAGCCTGAAACGGCTGACAATTTGCGAAGATGACCCAAACAGGAAGCGGCAACGGAGAATGGATGAGCTTCAATGCCCTCTTCGCACTTGCCTCCGCGACTCGCATTCGACGTACGGACTGCGCTTTCCTCACGAGCCCTACGAAGTCACCTTACATTCCGATGCCAGGAAGGCGCAAGCCATACCTTCCTTGTCTGTAGGAAGGGCCGTAAGATGCGTCTTACCACCACTTTAAATTGCACTCCTTTCGTCGCCCATTTTACCGAATGGAAAGAGCGCACAGCGGAGATGGGCATTGAACCAAACGGGAAAGAGGCACTTTGTAAAACGACGCAATCCGAACTTGGAGAAGGAGCATGCAAATATTGCAATGTGGCAGTGGAAGGAGCGAAGCTCCATTCATGAATCCTTTCTCACCGACAGTCCACTCCCACGGAAGGAGTGACGAGAGGTCAACGTTGTCAACGCATCCTTCCGCTCTTTCCCCAAAGAGGTTGGTTTTCACGAATGCCTCAAGAGGCCGCACGGGACACACTTTCAGACGGACATTGGGAGAATGTCACATTATCAAGCACAGGTAGGTTTTGTAATACTCCGTACGGCATAGCAAAATGTGCAAATCGGCAAATGCGAGCGCAAGGCCCATGCCACGTCAATCGTTGAGGATGCGCGTCGAAAACTGCCAAGAACCGGTAGCGTGAGGCTGAGCCTTGGCTTCGGACAAGCTCCTGGCTGCGCATCTCAAACCTTGTCCTTTTGTATGAGGAGAAGAGGACGACGTATGAACAGTTGGTTCTAACAAATCGCTTCTCTCGAAGAATATCGTTTCAAAAATGTGTGCCCTCGGGCGGTGGCTGAGGGCGAGGAAGAAACGAGTCAATATAAGTACTTCCAGGCCAGCAACCCACGCCCCCATCTAAAGCTTTTGTGAGATGCTAGCTTCTCTGAGACGGGGAATGTCGATTATTTTCTAGAGGCCTTCGACTGTTTCTACTCCGTACGGGGTGACGTGGAACGTAGAAGCGTAGCAGTTGACCACTCAATTTTGAAAAGTGGGCATCGTGGGAGCCGAGCAGTCCGAGACGCGTTTATATGGACGATGAACAATATTCCTCCGATACGATGCGTCGCACGCCGGACAGTGTAGAGACCCGAAGGGAGGAGAACATCAGAATAAACTGCATATATTTTATAACTTTGAAAGGGTCGAGGGAAGAGGCCATCGTGGAAAGTACGCCTTACACTCTGGGAAATTTGGATACGCGCTGGTGACGACATAGTCCGGTAATACTCCCATGTACAATTCGTATCGCTTGACAATCGCTGACGAAACATGGCAACGCCTCATAGAGGGAGGACTTTGGGTTTTGGGTTTTCGGGGCTTAAGGAACACTTGCCAGCGCTTAATAAACAAGGGGGGCCAACATTCACTTCACCGGTACGGTCTCTTCTTGGCGCCTGACATCGGCAACACGGTCATGATTCAAGCGGCCCGCACACAAACAAAATCACGTTTTGTTCTTATACGAATATGCCGCCGCTCAATGCACATCTCCACTTACAGCGGCGCACAGAGAACAGACAGTCGGGAAGATGGACCATAGGAACAAAGCTAACAAAACAAAAGCGTGGCATTATGAAGTTGTGGCCACACGGCGCGCTCTTTTACTGTCAATGGCGCATTGGCACCCGTGGTACTCCATACACGCGTACGGAGTAAGTACTCTGTACGGAGTGTTATTGCATGCGGAGTATGTCGTACTCCGTACAGGGTAGCTGTGAGGGTAGTCGCGGTGACAATATAACATTTCGTTTTTGAACTAGGCAGCGCAGAGCAACAAACAGAAACCAAGATGGCACATAACTGCGATGTAGAAATAGGATGTGTCTGTGCAGACCAGACAAAGCAGGCTATGTCGTCGGCTCGCGTGTATGCTCGGCTTACGATTGACCGGTGAGAAAGACCAGACGAAAAGTCTGAATAAAGGGAAACGAATATTATGGAGATATGGCAGTTTTGCAATTATCAACGTCAAGATCGTATATCGCTCCGTTTCGGCAATCGCTTCTGTCAAGACGGACGTGAATAAGTACGGGACAACTATCGGTGACCGCACCACAGTTTCGGGTTAGGAACCAAATAGCATCAGGAAGAGATCCGGAGGAGGCGGCAGGTCACAGACTGAACACACTCCGTTACAGACGCACACAAAGCCAGACATGGAAGAACATAAATCACACTTCTTGTTACACCGGATCTCCCCAGACAACGAAGCCAGACGCACCCCGGCGCTGCCACCGTCTCAGTCGCTTGTGTTGTCTCTTCTTACGCGTTCTTTCTACCGTGTGTGATGTTGTGCTGCAAGACACGCATCGTGGCTTGCTGCGTACCGTTCCCAACGATCTGTACGACGTGACTCCGCAAACAAGGAGACGGTAAATCGATGATGCTCCCCCTCCATTTGTGGTACCGTCGCGGTAGGTTTTTCTCGTCGCTTACTGCGTCTGGACGACCTGTGATAAGGGAAAGCCGGTTCGTCTGTTGTGTGTCTTATGGTCTGGATTCCTGTGCCAGTTAAACATTGAGATATGCTTGTGTAGAGACGAGGAAGGGCAAGTGACTGAAAGCTTAAAATAAAAGTCGAGAAATAAGCAAAAGACAGACATGCGCGCACGCCGTATGATAAACAATAATAAAAGAACGCTGGCAAGTTTCAACCGCACCGTAACCAAAATGGTGATCGACGGGAAATAACGTCGTATTTCGTTGCTTCCCGCAACGTGATCTTTCGTGAGACAAGCCCTCGTGCCAGACACATAGTCCAACATATGGGCATGTTGCTTCACTTCCAGCGGTTTGAAAATATCAGGCCTTGTTGACGAAGTAGCGCCCTGCGTTGTGTATGACACCACATAAGGATTCAGTGACAGCCATAGAGGACGAGCTGAGCAAGACCAGACTCAGTCCTTCACATCATATCAACTTAGTCGCTAAAAGTCCAGGGCGAGATAGGGAAACCTTGTACTGATAGAGGTCTGATGCCTCCGTGCTGTGTTGTGGACTCGCCAACCATTCCGTGTTCTCCTGAAACATCAACAACACAAAACAAAAAAAAAAAAAAAAAANAAAAAAAAAAAAACCTAAACAGCGATCCACCACAGCTTGGTAGCGTCAGGTTACATGTCGCATAATTATCGTACTGTGCCACTGCTCGTAAACTGCGCGTATAAATTGTGCAGACACAGATGGCCTTCGGTAGATTTCGCCACCGATGTTATATTGCAATTTTAACTAGGAGACAGCTGGTAAAAGTAGCATGCCAGCCATGGAGCTATTTGGCATCAACGTGGGAAAAATGCAAAATAAAAACAACAGAGCGGGCGCTACCCAAGCTACATTCCACGGCGCCGCCCCCGACAATCTTCTCTCCGTGGGGAGCCCCAACACGACGCTTCTCAAAGCATTGCTTCAAACCATGAGTGTCTGTTTCGAGAGTTTTCTGTATGCGGTTGGATAACGCGACGGAAAGTCTTGGCACGGAGGCCGGGTCGGTGAAAAGCAACTGTCCGAAAGGCCCAAAAGAACGCAATGTCACATTCATCCTCTCGCAGGTTGATTGCAAAAGGATGAGAGCTCGTGTTCAGCCACTGTCGACTCTGCGCTCAGAGTGTCCCGCATGATAACACTCGACAGTGGAGGTCTAGATTATCTCGGCGTCTTATCGAAAGTTGGGAAATGCTCTTGCTATTGGTGATATATTTGGACTCTAACGCGGTCGTAGAATTATATCAGCTTTTGTCAGATTACAAGGTACGTAGGTGTGCATCCTCCCATTGCACACATGACAAAAAGAGTTGCCTTTCGTCGGTTGCACGCTTTCCACTCCGTCGTAATGAATGTGTGGGATGATTTTGCTTCCCCTGTGGAACCAAAATATGTTCCCAGTCCCAAAACAAAACGCCTATTTCCTGGTATCTTGGGGAAAATGCAAAGCAGGAAAATAATAAAAAAGAAAAAGTATGGACAAAATAGGCCAAAAATGATCGCGGGCAAGTGTAACAGCCGTAGATGTAGATGTGGTGTGGCAAAGCAGAGCAAGAGCGTCTGCTTAGCTGCGGATAAAAATTCGTGTACGTCGTAAGAAGAAAAAAAGTCTAGTAAATAGAACAACATAGGAATCCAGTTGTCGACAAATATGTTGGGTTGAAGGGGGCCGCCGCTAATCCCATGGAAACAAAAACGAAACAAGAGTGGGCAGTGTTTGAATCATGGCTCCACGTCAGGATCCGGGTTGGTCGCTCTCAGCACCCGGCCAGGTTGGTGGACTCTGCGAGAGTAATCGTGGTCGTCCCGCAGAGAATTGACGCTGTCACGGCTCTTGTTGTCGGTGCGAGCATAGATGCCGCTGTAAGCTGGGTCGATACGCGGGTCGATGGGCATCAGAGTGCTCCGGCGGCGGCCAGACTGGTCACTCTCCCACTGGCCCTCACCCACCTTCCGGGCGAAGGCAGGTGCGGACGACACCTCGCTAACCTTGGGGCTGTTTGAGGTGTTGGGAGAGGTGCCGCGAGGTGACGGCGTCTTGGTCTTGTTGCCAACGAAAAGAGCGTCTTCGGGCTCCTTCTGCTGACGTTTGCGGCGCCAGACAAGGAATGCCACCACGCCGGCAAGTACAGCAATAGCAACAACACCTACGGCGATGCCGGCGGCAGCACCGGCGCTGAGGCCCTTGCTGCTAGAAGAGACAGATGCGTTGTCACCGGAGCCGGACGACGGCGTCACGGTGACGGTCTGGACAACACCGCCCGTTGTAACAGTCTGCACGGTGGGGGTACCAGCGCTTGTTTTCTACAAGAAACATGTCAGTAATCGTCTCCTTCCACCAGACGCATATTGCACGCGATATGTATATGCACCAAATCCCTTCATTTGGTCTCAATAGCTGCTGTCATGCATAAAAGTCACAGTCACACATGCAAGTGCCATTTGCCGTGCCAGTCATATCTGCGTCTCTTTCGATCAATCTTGCAGTCGGCATTTTTGCTGTGTTCCTCGCTACAGCAATGGAGAGGAAAGAAAAACGCATCCGGCAAAGAGTAAACAAAAGGGAGGTAATTTCGTACAGTATTTGATGTTGTTGAAGTTGATCCTCTTGTTGATGATGATGCGGTCGAGGTCTTTGATGTGGCTGGTGTCTGGTTGTCATGAATAATAGTTCAGTCGACGTGTTCCATTCCAGTATTGTAAAACACAGTCCAGTCTGTCCCAAAACTGGTCCAGAAGCTTCGTATAAAGCGACACCGCTTTGCAAATGTATAATATAGAGTGTACTTGGTGCTGGAGTGTTGAAAAGTTGAACGCTGAGAAAACGCTGAAGTGTTGCAGTGTTGAAAAGGAGACGATATACTTATAGCAGCGGCAATGGCAGTCAAGCAAGAATGGATATGGGAGTCAAGGCATGGGCACAGAGACGAATAGGACTCAAGAAAGCAGACATTGGTGGAGCAACAGGTGACAGCATAGCATGGGTGCACAGTATTCGTCGTTGTCAAGAAGAGGCCGAGCGGAGTCGATTCTTCTCATCGCAAACGCAAAACGTGTATTTCAGTCTGTTCAATGATTGTAACTTACCGACGAAGAAGTGGGAGCAGCAGAGCTGCCGCTGCTGGCTCCAGCAGTGCCAGAGGGCGCCTTGTTCAGGGCCATATAGCCGAAGAGGTTGTCGCCGCCGCAGACATCGGAAGGCCAGCCGGAGCAAGTCTGGTCGCATTCGGAGACAGAGACCTGCGAGCTCTTGGTTGGGGTGTAGTCGGAACACCAACAGTCATTGCCCTGAACAACGGCAAAGGCGTACTGAGAGACACAGAAGTTGTAGCAGAGGCCATCGGACTGGTATATACTGGTGTCTAACAAGAAAGAGGCAAGTTAGTAAGAAATGTCGCGTGTGTTGGGAGAGGCTTGGGATAACCCAACGCTGCTCCAAAACCTGTCGTCCTTGGGAAAAAGACATACTTGTAGGTGTTGTGCCTGTGTTGACTTTGGCGCAGTATGCAATTGGGACCGAAGGAGTGGCATAGCTTCTTGCGAGCAGTGTCGAGGTAAATAGCAGCCCATAAAGGCGAGACTGGTATGAGGGAGCCATTGTGTCGTTGACGAGGGAGGTGCAAAAAACGGGATGTCAACGCAAGATGCTCCAAGTAAAGCTTTCTTAAAACGAGTGACGATGCCTGTTTTAACGATCACGAATCGTATGAGAGAAACCGCTAGATCTGAGAAATGCAGTTCGCTACTGCCATAGCAGAGCCGAAATAGGTCGTGAGTGGGAGACAATCGTTGCCGTGTCTTCAAACAGGTCCTGTGATTTCTTTTCCTATTCCGTCCAATGCTTGTCGTCGAAAAGCAGGAAATAGCCACACACAAGTGTCGTTCGTGAAGTCGGTCGTCACGCTCGTAGTCGTCAAGACGGGAGATGAGGGGAGGCGAGGCGATCAAAGAGGAGCAAGGAGGAGAAAAGGCAGCACACGAGAGAATAATATTGGGGTTGCAAGTTCCGTTTGACGTTGTGGCTTCCGAGGGAACCCTCGAGCCTTTAGGAGATTCAGAATTGGGCGGTCCAGAGTCGCTTGGAATGCTGGTGTTGGGGGCTAGCCGTCCTCGGAAGCGATAAACAAAGGCAAGTGAATGCTTTCTTTATCTCGGTGGGCGCGCGGCCAGAGATGCAGACTGAAGAATGCAGGACGAAGCAAAAGAAAGGAAAACGAAGGCGAAAGCGAGATGAGTCGTTCGTTGGGTTGTGCTGCGCGCGGAGAGGCCGGTAAACACAAACTGAGGTCGAGCCGAGGAGGATGAGATAGGAGACGAAGATGCTCAGGTGAAACAAAGAGAGTCCAGAAACGAGGAGTGGAAAAAAACAAAAAAACAAATGAAAATTGAATATCGAGAAATCGAGGAATCGAGGAATCGAGAAATCGAGATTGTGTTATTCTGACGTCCAGAAGCAAGAAGATGGACATAAAAAAAGAGGCTCGAGGATGAATGGAGGTGGGAACGAAGGGGAGAGGAGACTGGGGAGAGATAGGGGGACAGCTGGGAGTGTTTATGAAAGGACGGGGCGGGCAAAAAAAAGGACGCAGAGCGAGGAAATCCACCAGAAGGAGGGTTTCCAAGGAATATGGAAAAAGAACGACGGTCTACTTCGTAGGGAAAAGTGGGCAGGGGTGGGACAGGGGTGGAAGGAAAGAGGGAAAGAGGGACAGAGGGAAAGAGGAAAGAGGGTGGTGGTGACAGAACGGAAACCAGTGAGTGAGTAAGAAGTGGAAGTAACGAATACGGGGTACAAAAGAAGTAAGTGGAGAGAGCACACGTCAAGACCTCGTAATACAGAGGGATTGGTGGCTCGAACGGAAGCGACGATAAACAATCCGTACAGAACTGTATAGAACTGTACCAAAAAAAATTGTGAGGCAATTCGTGAGAGAGAATAGCAACCTCAAGTGCACAGGAAAAAGCGATGGAAGCGAAAGGAGCAACCGCCGAGCATAAGCAGGAGCAGACATGAGGCAACACATCAGGAATGTAAACCGGGAGGCTTCCAGCGCGTCTTGCGGACTGGCAACGAAGGCGTGATCCAGTGTCGGTAAGCTGGTCATGCCAGCCAGTCTCTCTTTCCTTTTTCTGACCGATTTTACAGACGTTCTCGTGCCCAGTTCCTTCCTTTGTTAGTCCATGAGCGAGCGCAGGCATGTGCGCAGGAAAGAATCACGAAACAAAGGAAAGAGCACAGGAGCACAGGAGCAGCGGACAGGAACAAAAGACCGACGCACAAAGGCGCACTGAGAGTGCCCTGTGGCAACCAGCCGCCGAGGCACGTATGTTTCTATTTGTCTCTCTCGCTCACACAGTCACTGGCGATGATCTGAAATTGGAAAACGGAATGACAAAGAACACACTTGGGAAGGAAACACTCCCTAAGAGAAACAATTTGTAGGGCAGCACCTGCCATGAACTTTGGGAAGCGGAGCAGGGGCCGCCCAGAAGCAGAGCCAAAACGGAAACAACCTTTTCTCCCGTTCACAACGGAAGGCACGAATGGGCCTCCACCCACACCCAAGGTGCACCAAGCCAAACCAGCGCGCAGACACGAACCCACACCAGCCCACACACACTTTCCGACCTCCTCCAAACGCGCGCAGTCAGGCTCAAGCTTGCTCAGCTCACAGTTCTCCTTTTTCTCGCAGAAGCGCAAACGGGAAACGGGACGACGAGTTATTCAGTGGCTCAGCCAACTCAGACCGGGGCCAAGTCAGCTAATACAAAGCCCCGAACGGACAAGGGAAGAGCCCTAACCAAGAAAGGCTACAAAAAAAAAGTGAGGAAAATGGGCCCAGAAAACAGGAGTCAACTGTTCTCCCCTGTCCCACCCAGCACGGCCTTACAGGTGAGTGAAGGGAAATCGAGAAAGGAAAACGAATGCGCGCCACGCTCGGAAGGTGTCCTCGCCGAAATGGCAGGGATCCTGCAGTGGTGACTCTCGGTGGCCTCGATCGTGAGGGCAGAGCGCTAACCAGAAGTAGGTTTGAAGAACGGAGCAGGATACATCCGTTTCGGCGGTTGTCCTCGTAGGGCGAAGCGCTTCGGACTGTTCTCACAAGATTCGGCGGCAAAAGAGATTCGGCACGCCAGCGTTCTCGCGATTCTGCAATCTGCTGGGCAGTTGCTGGATGCCGTTCCAGATCAGGCTGCAGATAAATTTGGCAACGCAGCGCTGCAGTGGCCGCTGCAGACACGTTTGGGGGCCCAATTGTCTGGCGAGAAGAAACGCTACGACGCCTCAATGCATGCCCCTGACTTTCTAGGCCTCCGTTTTGGTCTCCATTACAAAAAACACGATTACTTTGTTACATGTCGTCACACGTCTCGATCGTGCATCCTGAAGTTAGTGCTGTGGGCACTGGCCGATCTTTTTTTTCTGCGGCAAGGGAGAGTGAACCGCCTCCACTGAAGATAGTCTGCAAGAGTTTAACCCCAGATCGAAAAGGACTGGTTTGCAGGCGCCGTCGTCTCGACATTCCTGCCCACCGTCCTTGAACTCCTGGCTTAGCTTAGTTGCATGCACGTCGCTGCTGCCAGCGCATATTCATTATTCAATAGTGCATATGAATTCAGCTCGACCAATGGGCAGGGGTCGTCACTGTCTCCTCACGCCCTGACTCGGTGTGGCTGGCCCAAAAGGTTTGGGCCAGCCGGCCTGGTCTAGGCCGGACAATAGTTGCATGCTGTCATCGTGGCATGCTGCCATGGGACAGGATGGCACGCAATTCAGCTGGTTTTTATATCGTCAGGGAGTGGGAGAGGCGATGGAGGAGGACATTGACCATGCGATAAAAGAGGCGCGTGGGGAAAGGGGTTTGAAATTATGCAAGATGTTTATTCCCACCGACGAAGAGTAGCTGTATATTTTAAATTTGTGGATTGGCAACGATACAGGCAACATCCCAGTTGGGTCGTCTTCTCTGATTATCATCTTTTCTTTAGATATTCCAGAAAGGATCAATATCTTCGGCAATTTGTACGGACCACTCCAATGTCGTACGACACGCCGAGAAAGACCACATCGTCTGCAAATGGCCGTTTCGGCGTTTGCGTCCGCCGTTTTGGGGGCCGTTTGCAGTCATGTTGTCCGCTTTTTGAAAGACCGTCCCTTGATTCCCACTTGTAATCTCCACGCCAGGCCGATGGAAGTACGATGGAAGTACGATGCGGAGGCGAGGACGAAGAGAAACCAGAGCAAGAGGATAATAAAACAGAGAAAAAGTACAACTGTACAAAATCCCAGATTGGGAATTCGTAGTCACCTAATCAATCGACGCCATGTCCAGCATCCTAAATACAGTACGGCTACACCATACAATATGCAATGCATTATGCAATACAATATGCAATATAGACTGTCGACAAGGCAAAACAGGGCTTTTGTTCTGCTTTCGAGGGGATGAAGTCCCAAATCAGGATTCAGAAATCGTATCGCTGGGCCCGGGCGAGCATTCACATGAATAAACAGGTGTATGTGCAGAGTACGGAAGTATTACGACATACATGCAAGCAAGGTTATCTCGGCGACAGCACGCCTCGACGCGACGCCATGGCAAGTCGATGTCGTCGACATGCAGGATTTAGATAAGGCCAATAAAGCCTTGTCCCGCTCGAGCGTGTCCATTGTGCCACCGACTGGTCACCCAGAAGCACCCTTGCAAGTCGGGTCCTTCGACTTTGAGTGCCCATTGCCTCGCTCCAAGAATATTGCAGCCCGCACGCCGTACTCATTAACCGGAAAATCGACGTCCATTGCCAGTCGTTGTTTTCTTTGAATCGTTTGTCGTTGCATTGGTAAGTCGACCCTTTGTTTCTTTGTTCTAAACCGGCGTCCGTCACTCACACCATGCTTGGCGGCGATCAAGGAACCAGGTAAACCCTCATTTGAGCGTAGCGGCCGTCGATTACTACGACCATATGGATGTCCAACGTACAGAGCATTTCGTACCCTATGATCCGTTCTCGTCTGTTTGTACTCGGACGTACACCGTACTCTGTACGTATCTCTCGCTTTTGAGTTGCAACCTGACGCAGGGAGCAGCGAATGTGGGAACACGGCAGCGAACCAAGGCTGACGATTAGAATGAGGAAGGGTGCCGGGGTGATCTGTGCGGCCTGGGCCTGGTCCAAAATGACGGCCGTGACAGAATACGGACAATGGAGAACTGGGAACGGACAACGAATGACATCTCACTTGTTGCCCAGTGGCGAGCGGGCCACGGCCTTTTGTGTTGTATTTGTGGCGCAAGACGGCAATCCTCCTTTCCCACCAAAGATCCGCAAAAGAAAGACATTCATTCAAGTGTGAATGAATATTTTGTACACCGTAATTACTCCGTATAAAGTGATGCATCATCACAGTCACAGTGGCGTTTTGGGGAATGTTTTTCCACAAACCTAATTTGCACATGACTTTCCTGCAATCACTTCCGAGCACTGGAGAAAAGTACCGAGTAATAATACAATGTCTTGGAGCTGACCAGGGGGTCGTTTTGTCGTCCAATTGACTTTTGATTCTGCGACGGAGAAACCTGTCATAGCTTGTTGTCTGGAGAACAGAATCAAAACCAGGCAGATCCGATTCCCAGCCTCTTCTTTTTTCGTCTTTCGCTTTCAGTCTGTCGAAATTGGCCAGTCGGGATCAGTACCACGACGAGCTCCGTCCCTGTCACTGTCATCCCTTGCGCCCCTCGAGTTGCTTAGGACAGGGCCAGCCAAAAGAAAAAGGAAAGAAATGACACGTACAGTGGAAGCAGAGCGTAGCAGGGGGCTGTACGATCTCACATACGCCGCACAACCCGTGGTTTCCTTTACATGATATGTCGTACTCCTTTCTTCTTTCGTTCTTAGCTTTACAGAGTGCATCTTTCCCTCTTTAGAGGTCTCGTATTGAGAGACTGGTGAGACCATTGAGCCGATCCGCAGCGAGGCACAACCAGCAATTAGAGCACGGAAAGAACGTGTATCGTATATTATGTCGACGCCCAGTCCTCAAACTACCCCATGATGATATTCGGGAGCACGACCGGCGGGGCGAGGAGGGGCAGTCGCTTAAAAGGACAACAAGACCGCCGGCAAAAGGACGATGCAGGATGTCAGGATGTCCGGACGTCAGATAGGTGGATAGAATGTGGATAAGAAACCGATGTTTTGCATGCGGCCGTGGAGCCATTCTTCTACTCTCGTTTATCGTCTTGCAGGTTGCATGCGCCGGGGTGGCGAGACGGAGGGGTGGCAATGAGGAGGTTGGTGCAAAAATGACAAGATAAGAGGAATTCGCAATGATATGGTGACAGAGAAGACGACATGACGACAGTGAGAGTCGTTGTTCCTTTCTTTCATTCTTTCCTTTTTCCTTGGTTTTAAGCCGCTGGACTCCTTCCATTTTTGTTAGCCGTACGGAAGTGGTTCCTGCAACCTCGAGCCGAGGACATAAATAACGTTTGAAGCCAATATACGAACTACAATACATCAAAACTAGAAACGAAATCGAGACGAAGACCAGCCTGGAACTGCACATATGCACAAGCACAGACGAATCAATGGCTTACGTTGTAAGGAGCTACAGACACATGTCGGGAAAGCTCGGCATCATCGTTGCATATACCAGTGCCATGAACTTCATGTTTTGTCAATTACCACAGTCTTTTGATCTCATCAAAGCCCCCAACTAGCAAAGGTATTCTCCGTACTTTTGATGTAAACCATTGATCGTCAGCGGTAGTTTTTATCACGGCTCATAAAGATTTGTCATAAGAAGTTCCATGTATGTTGATTGATTCAAACACCCAACCCATCCCCCCACAGCTCGTATCATGCAAGCATTCTACCACCAACCCCCTCCTCGCTGCACCAACCTCGTATTCGAGGACCACTACCTGCAGCGTCACGACGCCCGCCCGCAGCCTTGGCATCACACGATGTAATGATCCGACGACGCCCGTACAGTGGCCTTGCAGGCGGACAAATCTGCTTGGACTCGACGGCAAAATTCAGGGTCCAGTGGGACGAGAAAGAAAAAATATAAAAACAAGAAATAAAAAGAAGAAGAAAAAGATCAAGATAGGACAACGAGGCTGGACGGATACCAACAACCTAGACCAACGACCTCCACATCCGAGACAACCACCACTTTCCCGATTCCTTCTCGCGATGACGAGTGTCTTTCGTGGAGCCCTTGCAGTTCATCCGAATGTTCTGACAGTCTTTTGAGCGAAGACGAGGTCAGATGGGAGCACTTTTTACCAAAAGAGCGCTAAAAATGAGCAACACGGTGAAATACGAGTAAAGCGGGCAAACACCAGAAGCGGATGAAAAAACAAGAGACAAAGCTAGACGCTCGGGCAATCCTTTTCATAAAATAGTGGTGGTTAGCTCAATCACTCCAACTGAGAGGTAAGAACCGCAGCCTGACATAAAAGACACTGCAGTCGACATCCGTGTCAACCATAACGGTGGAAAAGGTCAAAAATCAAAATCAAATTTAAAAATAAGAAAACACAAAACACAAGTCAGATACGCCTTCGATCGACGGCACCGGCATAGCTACTTGGCAAAAATAGACGGCAAAAAGTACCGTCTTCGGCACGTCATCTCAGGTCACCTCCCATGTCTCATTGACGTCTCCATTTTTATCTACGACGTAGTCCTGTCGTGAATACTGTTGGCCGTCTCCTTTTCATAGTTTCGCAGCTCACAATGGCCCTTGGCACATCAAAAAAAGTTGCTGACTCGGTGGACGCAAGGGGGTCTCGATGGCCGGAGTAGGGAGTGCCGCTTGACAGACATCATTGTCGGGACGGTCTTTTTCGTCTGCGGTGGTTTCTGTACAAGCATGTCCGCCACCAACCGTAATTGCCCCCCTCCCCTTGACTCCCCAACAAAAGCCGACTGTCCTCCATTCATCGCATATCACATGTGTTTACTTTGTACATAGAGGGCCACGAGCTAAACTGACGCAAAACTTACACCCCTCCGGGACCCATTTTGTCTTTCCAGCCGTCGATACTCCCTTTCGTCGCCTCTTTGACGCTGTCATTGATCCGTCAGCCTGCACCGAGTCTTGGTTCGAGGCCGGTCTTTTGCAAACTTTCCGCCCGGCATCCAGACAAGTTGGTTGATCGAAAATTGCGCGACCTTATCGTTTTTGTTGACTAACAGTTTCTTGGCTTTTTCTCTTGGCCAAGCTTGTAAGAGGAGGATTCCAAGTTAAAAACAGGACACAGGAAAGGAAAGGAGCAAAGGAGAACTGGCTCGACTGGGCTTGGCTTGACCTTGGAAAGTGGAAAAGAAAAACGGGAACAGCCAAGTGCGTCACACTAAGCAAATCCAGGAAGAAAAAAAGAAGAAAAAATTGTTACATCGCTGCAAAGTGGCAACACAAAACCAGGAGGCATCCCGGCTCACTGAAGTCTCCGTTCCGTCTTCCTCCTTGACGAAAGCTCAGTCAGGTCGACAGGCCGAATCGCATTTGCCATGCCCAGCCGAGCCAGCATACCTCATTCTGCCCGTTGCCCACTCTGCCACGGCACGACAGCCAGCACTGAAAACAAGCACCAACCCTGAGCATCTCCCTAGCCTCCATGGACGATCGATCGCATCGTCCGCCAAATCGTCGGCCCACGCGATCAAGGGAAGGAAAAGGGAGACCGAAACCGCCCCAAATTGTTCCCCCCCGCGCCACTGCCCATTAAACAAAAAGAATGGTGGGAATGTGTAAAAACCGGGCTGGCAGTGTCGATCGAAGCCAGTGGAGTGGGCCGCATGGGCTGAAGGCGATCATCCAAGTACAATGTATGAAATAAATAAATAAAATAAATAAAAACCAATCCCAAGTTGAGCGACTCGGGTGTGCATGTGATTAGTCACGTGCTTTTTCTGTCGTGAGCCAATGGCAACCGTTCGTCAGGCACGTTCGCCATGGAGTCGTTGAATTCGGCTTGAGCACGTGATTTCGACCTCAAACACGGCAGCATCGACGACGACGAACCCTCGAAGTCATCATCCAGCACGTCTCAACGGCAGAAGAAGAGGGGGAGTCGTCTCTTCCATCTGTATCATTTATTCGTCTTCTCTTTTGCCCTCCGCCGCCTTCCTGCACTGTGTTGTGTCCGTTCCTCCGCATGCAGCAGCCAGCATCCATCTCGAAAATGGTAGCGTTGCGAGCTGTCTTGCACTCAACTGAGCGTTAACGCGTATTGCGGTCATTGCTTTAATTTGCCCCTTGGCCATCAACTATACTCCTGTCTTGAGCCGCTTCCCTCCGCTGCCATGACCCTTTTCCCCCGCCGCCACCCGGCGCCCCGACCGGGCAAACGGCCGTTGGTGCCGTGCATCGCGACCAACGGCAGCAACACCCGCTGCGCCTTTCTGTCGGTGCCCTTGGTGTTGCTGCTCGCATTTATACTGACGATATGGTTTGACGTGTTTGACCCCTTCCCGGTGCTCGAGTCGCCGTCGACCGCCAACGTGCCTTTCATCCAAGCCCATACGGCGGCCGAACTGCAGGCCGTCGAGACGGCCACGACGGCAACATGGCCTGCTGGCGCCACTCCCTACGACCCGTTGGCCCCCATCAGCACGAGTCCCGAGGACAGCCACGCCTCTCCCTTCTCCTTTGACATTGCCGCGGCCTTGACGGGCCGCAACGCGTCGTTGTATGCCGACTGGATGGCCGCCGCGCCGGACGACTGGTCGTTGGCCCGCCTCGCCATCCCGGGCACCCACGACACCATGACCCACCGTGTCGATCTCCTCGGCTACCGCTGCCAGAATGCGGCGCTGGGTGAGCAGCTGGCGGCCGGCGTGCGGTACCTCGACGTGCGGGCGCGTGTGCAGGTACAGCCAACACCGCCGTCGTCCCCCAACACCGCCGACCCCCTCGGCATCTACCACGCCTCCGTCTACACGGGCTACGAGTTTGCCGACGTCGCACAGACCGTCTTTGCCTTTCTCGCGGCCCATCCGTCCGAGATTGTCATTATGCGCCTCAAGGAGGAGGCCCTGCCCCTCAACGGCTCCGTGTCCGACCCGCCCGGCCCGGCCAAGGACGCCGGCCAGTTCGCCGTCGACGCCGCCGTCTCGCCGCCCTTTCTCGCCGCCTTTGACAACTACCGCCTGCACGACCCGCGCACGGCCCCCGGCCTCGCCAAGCATCTCTACCGCTTCAACGCCACCGACGACCCGCAGTTCCAGACGCCGCCGCCCGCCCACATCCCCTCAGTCGGCGAGCTGCGCGGCAAGATCCTGGTGCTGCAAGAGTTCCCCTACTTCCCCGTTAGCTACTTGGCCGCGCCCCCGGGTGCCATCCCCTGGTTCGGCGTCCCCTGGGAGCTGTCGTCCCGTCTTCTGGAAATTGAAGACTACTGGCAGACCCCCGATCTGGCGGCCCTGGACGACAAGTGGGACGCCGTGCGCGACAACCTGCAGTCGGCTGCGAAGAATGCGACGGCGTCAGACGATGCCACCAAGGCGGGCATGCCGCTCTTCCTCTCCCACCTCAGCGCCAGCGTCGGCTTGTCGCCCATTGACGCGGCGGCCGGCCCCTTGAACCACTCTGTCGTGGGTATCAACGACCGCGCCGGCCGGTGGCTGGAGCGCGGCGATGACGTGGCCGAGGGCTGGGAATCGGGCGGTCCGCATTCTGGGCCGTACACGCCCGTCGGCGTCGTCATGGCCGATTTTCCAGGCCGGCGCCTCATTGACGCCATCCTGCGGCGGAACTCCTTTTTTGAGTTTGAGGACTACTAAGGAGCATGGATCGGTTTCATTTTGTATATATTATGGGGTACTTTTGTTGCACTTTTATGGCGTTCATGGTTAGAAGGAGTGTTCAACATTCATAGCAATCGGGTAGAGCATTGCTAACACAGCAGCTCGTAATTTTGCATCATTAAACATTATGGGTTTACAATGGCTACTGGGAAGTACGATTTACGTGATTACTCTTAAAATTTTCGTATTACATACAACACCTTGTCTTTAATTTGCATATTTACCTGGTACAAATATACTGTTGTGGAAGTGTACGAAAGGCAAAAAGTGTTACGACCGTAAATAGATATAAATCTGCGGAGTAATCCTGTACCATACGAAAAAATATCCCTAATAATAATAAATACATCCCGCTCCCCGTGCCATCCGCACTGCCGCCGGCATGCCCACCGCCGTGGCCAGCGCGACACGCGCCGCCTCGGCACGGCTCCGCGGCATAGCCGCCCCGCTGCCCCCGTCGACCAACAAGCGCACGCGGCCTCCCACTACCGACAGCTCAACACCGGCCAGCAGCCCACTACGCAGCCGCACCAGCGACGTCGTCGTCGCGCCCGAAAGACTACAACGGTCCCCGGTCAAACGCAGCCGCACGGCTGCCGAAATGCGCACCGTGGCCTCGACCCTGCACGGCCGCGACACCGCTGCCGCTGCCCCACCGACCCCGACCGAGGCAACCAGCATGCACGCCACCCGACCGGCCATAACACCGCACACCACGAACGTCCCGGAGGACGTCGCCAAGATCTGTGGCATCGCTAACGGCCACGCGGATGCTCTCGCCACCGCACTTGCTATTGTGTACGAAGCCGACCCCCTTACAGGCTCGGCCGTCGACACGATCCTACAAAAGCTCTTCTACACCGTCACCTCGCAGGCACACCACGCCGCTACCACGACACCGCCTCCGGTCACGACGGCCGTACCGGCCACGACAACCAACCCGCCACCCACATACGCCTACCGCGTCACCTCACAAACCACCCCCATGTCACAACAAACAAACAATAGCCACAGCAACACCCACACCACAGCAACGAAGCCACGATACGAGGAGGTTATCCTCCACACCAGCCGTATGACGTCACCACCGTCATGCGAGACTATTGTTAACGCCGTCAAGTCCGCCGCCGGCGACCGCACTCCAGCCCACGCCGTACGCCAACTCCCGAGCGGCGACAGCGCGGTCGTCTTCCCGAGAGGAACGGACCGGTGGTATGTCAAGGACATGTCCTGGGCTGACGACCTCGGAGCCGACGTCACGATCACTGGCCCGAAGGTCGTCCTCCACGGCGTACCAGCCGACACACTCCTCCAAGATCTCCGCACCAGACTCAAGGCGCCTTGCCCAATACTCCAGACACGCCCTATGGTCCGCAAGGACAGCCCGCCGGCCCGTCCCGGTAGCTTATGCCTCACCGTGGCCACCGACGCTGACGCCACCTTGCTTCTCCGGGACGGTGTCATCCTCGACTACTGCCTCTACCGCGCCGTCCCGTACAGACCAGACACCAGACCACATATCTGTAACCGCTGCCAGACCTGGGGCCATAAAGCACGCACCTGTCGAAAGCCACCCCGGTGCGCCCACTGCGGAAGCGCCCACGAGAGCCTCTCTTGTGACAAGTCCTCAGACGAGAGACACTGCCCGAACTGTCGTGGGCCCCACCCAGCCTACTCCCGCACCTGCCCCTTCTACTTAAACACTCTTGCCGAGTACCGGGAAGCTGGCGGCCCGGGCCGTCGCCCGCCGCCCGCCCGCCCCGATAAAATGACCGCGACACACACACCACAACTGCCCCCCATATCCTTCTAATGGTAGTGATCATTTCATGGAATATACATAAAACGAACCACCACGCACAGACAGCACTACACCACGCAGACACCCTTGACGCCGACGTCGTCTTCCTACAAGAAATAGTCAAGACGAAGAACGGCGACGCACCAGGACCGGCCTCCGGCAAATACCACAAACTCTGGGCCGGGGAGGGACGCCTTGCCGGCTACGTGGCGAAGCGCTTACCGCTGTCCTGCTGGGAATACACAGCCGAAAAAGACCTTATCCACATCACTCTCTACACGCAAGGGCCGCGCCCTCTCCACATCTTCGGCGTCTACAGCGAGCCATTACCACCTGGTCCGGGGCCGTGGGACTCGCCACTGCCCCGCCTCGCCGCTCAACCACAACCCGACACAGAGGCCGACGTCGTCCTTATAGGAGATGTGAATCTCCACCACCCACTTTGGGACACCGCCGGACGGACCTCTACCCACGCGGACGTCCTCCTCAATCTCACAAATACGTGGGATCTATCTCTACTCACGCCGCCGGGCACACCAACCTGGCAGCCGCAGGGTCAACGGTCCCACCAGCGCCCATCAACGATAGACCACACGTGGGCCTCGCCACGGCTCCGGGCCACGCATACCGTGCTCGACTGGCCGGGCTCCGACCACACGCCACAGGCCTGCTTTATACCAGCGACGACACCACCAGTACCGGCAGACGGCTTCTGTTGGTCCCGATTCAATCAAGATAAAGCCGCGGCCCTAGGGAGAGATATCCTCCTCCCGACGCCACCGCCGCCTACCGACGTCGCCACCCTCGAGCACCAGACCGACGACTTAATCGGCAAACTCGCCGGTATTATGCACGCATGCGTCCCGGCCAAGTCACCCCCCCGGGGACAACGCTTTCCTGGTTGGGACGAGGCTACCGCCGCCGCTACAAACGCTCTCCGCGCCGCGGAGAGAAGAGTACAAGCCGGAGACCAGTCTACGGCCGCATACGACGCCGTACGAGACGCACGCCGAGAGCAACGGCGCGCCCTCCGCCGTGCCGGTACCCGTCACTGGCGGGCCGTATTATACAAGGCCTCGGCAAGAGACGTAGACCTATGGAGACTCGAAAAGTGGGCTCGCTCCCGGAGCCATAACCCCTCCGCTCCGCCACTCCTCCCCCCGCTTCGGCGCCCTGACGGCACGTACGCCACCCACGTCGACGACAAAACGGAGATCCTCTCCCACCGCTTCTTCCCGACTCCTGACGCCGCACTACCTCCACGGCCGCCCGCGACACCACACGGCCGTATCTTTATTAGCCAAAATATCTCTATAAACGACGTCACAGCAGTAGTCTACCGTACCTCCCCGAGGAAAGCGCCGGGACCGGACCAAATACCGAACGCACTCCTCCGTGCTTGCGGCGACTCTCTCTTCCCATGGCTCCGGAACATCGCCACCGCCAGCCTCCACCTCGGCCACTGGCCGTCACACTTTAAGGCGTCCCGCACAATAATTATCCCAAAACCCGGCAAAACCGCTCAAGAGAGACAAGAAGCAAAAGGGTGGCGCCCAATCGCGCTGCTTAACACCGTCGGTAAAGTCATCGAAGCTATCGTGGCCCGCCGGCTGGCCGAGACAGCAGAAGAAAACAAGCTCCTCCCGGAGGGTCAAATGGGTAACCGGCGCTACCGGTCGACAGAGCTCGCGGCCCGCCTCCTCACCGACGCCGTACGGAGCGTATGGAGCGCCGGCGACACGGCGTCTCTCCTCCAACTTGACATCCAAGGGGCCTTTGACAACGTCCACCACGGGTGGCTCATTCACACACTACACACCCTCCACCTCCCGTACTGGATAATTAAGTGGATAACGAATTACTTGACAAGCCGGACGACGGAGCTCGCCTTCGACGGTAAGGTTGCCCCGGCACGGCCCGTTACCGCCGGCGTCCCCCAGGGGTCCCCGTTATCACCCATCCTCTTTATCCTCTTTACGACACCACTCTACCAAGCCCTCCGCCGCCACCATAAAGTTATTACCCTCGGGTTCGCAGATGACACCAACCTCCTCGCGAGCGGCCGCACGACAAGCTTTTGCTGCTACCTCCTTCGGGAGGCATGGTCTACCGTCACGGAGTGGGCACAACCGAGAGGCGTCGTGTTCGAGCCGGCGAAGAGCGAGCTCCTCCACTTTTCCCGCACACACGCGGCCCCGACGACGACGCTTACGCTCGACCGGGATACCGTCCTTAAGCCCCGACAGTCGGCCCGCTTCCTCGGTATCTGGCTCGACAGGAAGCTCCTTTTCTCGGCACACCTCCGGCAAATAAAACGCCGCCTCACCACACAGAGCTATGCCCTTACGAGACTCACCGGGAAGACGTGGGGCTGCACGCTCCCGTGGGCCCGCACGATCTATACGGCAGTACTCCGGAGCACAGCAGCTTACGGCGCGAGTGTCTTCCTCCCGGAAAAGGACAACCGCCGGCCAACGAGCTCCCTGGACACTATCTTTCACGGCTACCTCCGCACCGTCCTGGGGGCCTACCGGTCTACACCTATCCACCTCCTCCACTCCGAGGCAGGTATACCACCACTAAACCTCTACCTAGCTTACCGCCGCGCCGTCTTCTTATCCCGGCCAGACTACCAAGCGAAAGCCCAAGCTATCCGGAGCGCGGTCCACCGCCCCCGGCCGTTCACTAATTATTACCCGCCTATCCCCGCCCCACCCCTACCGCCCAGGCCCGAAGAGACGGACTGGACTGTCGTTACCGGCCGTTGGAAGGCCCTCTGGCAACAAGACGCCGGCAACGGCCACTCTACGGGATCCCTCGCGGCACGAACACCATGCTGGACGGCAAAGGCCGTACGGCGCCGTCACCTCCACTTAACCAAGGCCGAGAGTAGCCTCCTTACGCAGATCCGCACGGGCCATATCGGCCTCCGGGCGTACCTCCACTGGAGAGACGCCGTGGGCTCCCCGACATGTATATGCGGCACTGCGGACGAGACCCCGGCCCACGTCCTCTTATCTTGCACAGCAACACCCCAAAAACCGCCAGACTGGCCACAAACACTAACGGACCTGGACCGCCGCCTACAGACGGGCCTCACGGCCCGTCCACTTCTCCGCTGGCTTATTCGGAGCGGGAGGCTCCCGGAGTACAGCCTAGCTAAGGAGCTAGAACG